GTAAAAGCGGAAAGAAGCACGCACACCTGCGGGACAATCTCCCCCTCTTCGCGCTCTTTCTGTGCGCCGTCGCCCTGCGCCTGCTAATTCTGGCGCGGGAATTTCTTTCTGCGCACAATTTCGCGCTTTCCGGGGAGATTTTTTTCAGCTGGTGGCCTCTCTGGACTGGTTTTGCTAGCGGAGCTGCTCATAGCGATTCTGCGAGTTCAAGTGCGAGCGCTTTTTGGTCTGCTTCGAATTTTGACGACTTTGAAGCATCGGACGTGCAGTCTTATGGAGTCTGGTCTGAGAGCAGACGTGCGTGTTCCAGGATTCGAACCGACGACCTTTCATTCTCCAACATTCACCTGCACAATGTGGCAATTCAAGGCACCGAGATTCACTTTTATGGCATCAATGAGGCTCGGTGGCGTCCGACCCTGGAGCGCAGGCTTGTGCCGTACCGGCACTTGGTGGAATGGGGAGAGAAGCAAAGCCCTAATTGGACGTTAGTGTTCCACAACAGCACACTGGACGTTAAACGGAGCTGCCAGCAGCGGGTTGATGCTCTCACTGGTGAGTTTAAAGGGGTCCTACCACATCGGCTTGTGATCATTAGTACGTGCTGCTGCTGTCCTATTCATGTTTCTTAGCTGTAGCTTCACCTCCCCTTTCACCTCCCGCTCTCCTCATCCCCCCCAACGCGCGCCAGAGCAGTGGTGGTGAGTCTGTGGCACGTGGACAACGCCTTTCACCTGCTCAACAACAACCTGCTCCCAGCCGTGCTGCACCTCCTGGAGTTGGGCGCGCTCCCCCGCATGCCACTGCCACCACGCGCTGCTGCTGCCTCTGACCGGATGAGTGCAGCTGGTGAGGGCAGTAGCAGTGGCAGTGGCATAGGCAGTGACAGTGGCAATGGGGATGGCAGTAGTGCTGGTGCCAGTTATGGTGGTGCGAAAGCCAGTGGAAGTAAGCAGAGCAGAAAAGGTCTGACTGGCTGGCATGGGTCGTCTTCTCTTGGCTCGTCCGCTCATCGATTTCTGCAGCGCGTGCAAGAGAGGCTCTCAGAGAGCATGGAGAGACACACGACAACGGGCGAAGGCCTAGAAGGATCACATGCAGTTGGCATCATCAAGGGCCATCTGACGGGGCAGGATAGGGGAGTCAAGGGACTGGGTTTACTGGAGGGGAGTGGAGGGGCGGAATGGGGGCAGGACGAGGAGGAGGGGTTGCGAGTGTGCATGCTGTTCTACCTCGGGGATGAGCGGCTCAACCAGTATCCCTCATCAGCCGTGGCGATCCTGTGGAGAATATTCCAATGCAGGATCCGGCTGAGCGATACCCAGGGTTTGAGTCGGCGAATCTGCTTCCGCCATCTGGCGTATGGCCAGCGTGCAGCCTTCCCTTTTTACGACAGCTCCTCCTCTCTTCCTGGCTTTGAGAAGTTCCGTGCTGTCATTGCAGCCTATCGCTCCCTCGCCTTCTCCCTCTTCAACATTTTTCCAGCTGCCCGAGCTGTGGTTCCAGGGCCTTACAGCAAATCGGAAGCTAGGGATGATACCCCGAGAAGGACCTTGAAGTTTCCGATTGCTGGGCCCTTGTTGGCCAATGATGGCAGCTTGGCAGTTCAAGGGCCAAAGGCAGCGTCAATGGGAGGAAAGGGACAATTTGATGGGAGTTCAGGTAGTGAAGAATTTTCAGTGGTGGCAGATGCAGGGAGCCTCACTGGAACACACATGTCAGACCAGCACCAGCAGCAGCAGCAGCAGCAGCAAGCCTCTCTGCCTGTCCCAGGCATATACTCCAGCGGCCCAATTGTGGTGTACTTCCCTAGGAGCTCAGCGTTTGGTGATGATCGTTACATTACGTTCATCGATCCCTGGGTCGAAGCCATGGGTCGGAACGGCTTCCATTGCATCGTGCCCTGCTGTGACTTTGCGCACGAGTCTATTGAGAAGCACCTGGCTCTTTTCTCTGCGGCTCATATAATGGTGGGATTGCATGGAGCAGGGCTCACCAACGCCTTATACATGTCGCCGGGTCGGCTCTTAGTGGAGTGGCAGGATGAGTTTGCGTTGGGCACTGGTGGTAAAGACCGGGAGCTGTTGTTTCACTGGGTGGCCAAGCATTCAAGTTTGAGGTATATGGTGGAAGACGTGAGGCCGCTGCATCTAACTGGGCACGGTATTGTAATGACTAGGGAATGGGCAACTCGTTCTGCTGCACGTATTGCAGACGAATGGCATACTCAGATGTTTGATACATGAGGCGTGGAATCGGTGTTGGTTGTGAATAACACAGTGCTACGGTACCGCATGTTATGTTGCGAAACGCAGGACCACCTGCACGGTTATGCATTGAGCATTTTCAGGCCCTTCTGTACATTGCCCTAGTTGCTTCAGGCCAGGAAAGAGCGAAAATCCGCAAGAAAATATTTTTGCGATTCATCAGATTTTATACCACTCATCCTGCACCCTTCTCATGGGCTGTTTTGCTCAAGCTGAACCTTTGATTTTTGCTTTTTTTTTTTTTCTTTCCAACTTTTATTTTGCAACTGCTTCTCAGCGCAATGTTTCATTTTCTTCTGTCTGTAAGTAGGTGCTGCCTACAGCGCATGAGGATGAGAAATGAAAGAATCGCTTAGTGCACCGTACCGTATCCTCGAGACGCATTAACGTATCTTTCTTTAGCACTGCTGGATGTGCTCTTTCTGTCGTTTCGTGTTTCAAATATTTCGCATTCTGCCCTTTACCCCAAATATTACGTTTTTTTGCTTGAAATCTCATCATTCCTTTCATAACCGTAACGTTCGGCTCATTCTTCCAGCTCACCTCCAAATAGCACGTGTTGAATGGGGATAGTTTTTGCGATGCTGACAGCCTGTAGAGTCACATTCGATTCTCCGCTTTCTTATTGGTGAACTTTGCAGATGCAGGGATCACATCATGAACAGTTGAGGATGTCCAGCAATGAGACGAGAGCCTTACAATTTCGTCCAATGGACTAGGCCGTAATCTGGCTTTCTGTTTGCCAGCAACGTGCATGGCTGGAAGGCGAATGAGTCCTCGGCCACATAAAAAGTGGATATGGTTCCGCTAGGAGTTTCTTCTTTCTGCCCCGAGCTTGCATATGGATGGATGCCGTTGCTGAGCTGACATCGTACGCTTCATCTTCTTCGCAATATCCTTCTTGGCGAGGCGAGCCGTGCCCGCCGGAAGTATCTTCTGACAAAAGGCGAGGCGAATGCTATGCGCGTTTCACCTTGCGCACAAATCCCGCACTGAACCATCGAAATTACACTGCACCACCGAAGGGCCAAGCTGCCATCACCACAGGCGGTTGCTAGGTTCGGTTGCGGGGGGGTGCTTCCTCTGGTTGTTGGCTATGCTGTTCCTCTGTGTACACCCTGTTTCGCGCCACACTGACATTCGCCATACTTCAAGCCGGATGTACTGACATGAATGCGTCCAAATTGGTCCCAGAACATACAATATAAGCTTATTTACCGTATGCAACCAAACGCAAAAGCACGTTTTCTTCCATGAACCGTTGTTTACCGTTCTCCTGAAGTGCATTTCGGTTACAAGCACCAGCCTGCTGAATCCAATTACACGTGCGCACTGTAGCCGGGGCTCCCGTTTGTCCGAACATCGAAAAACAGGGTGTATTGCCTCCTAGGGTTTTATGCAAGCTCCCGCACCTCTTGCACTCCCCTCGCGCTCTTCACCATGTTCCGCCAAGTCCGCTTCTCGTACCCCCTCCCCTCCTCTCCCATTCCCCTTCCCCCATGCTTTCCTTTCCCCCTCTCCTCCTGACTGCTCCGCGCACGGAGTTTCTTCCAACAAAGGGGCTCTGCGCGATCTCGCTTCAAATCCCCCCTCCAACTGCCGCCGCTCCCCGCATAGCCCTTTCTTTCCCCGCGAGCCCACTCTCGTCTGCTGACCTATCCAACCAACATCTCTCTTCTCCCAAGCTCTTCTGACTCACCCCACAGTAACGACGGTTCCCCCTTCTCCAGACCAGACCAGCATTAGACCAGCATTGTTGCCCTCATCAAGAATCCGTGTTTATTCGTTTTGGGAGCGTAAGCAAGGCATCAAAGAGTAGAGCATCTGTATTAGCTCCCTTACATCCATGTTGACTACGCTTCAAAGATAACTGCAGTCATGTTTCAAGCGCACTGCAGTAGCGGCAGCGGAGGCAGTCGCGCAGGGATTTGGATTTCCGGGCATGACTCGTTCAAATCCTCCTCTCAGTCCGCCTCGCCGCTGCATAGAACAAACCCTGCTGGATTCGACTGGGAAAATTTCTGGCGTGACTCTCGGCATCCTCTAGGTTACCAGCCGTGCGCGGCTGAAGCGTTTCGCGCTAGGTCGCAGTCGCCAGCCGACGACGAAAAAACCGTCGCAGAAGTCGCTAGGCCCGTTTGTGCGTATCAAGGCTCTGGAACGATTCTCTGGAGCTCTTTCGCGAATGTCGCGAAGGGTTGCGAACCCGAGAAGGAACCGCAGCCTGACGCGACGATAGGAGTCGTGCAAGAGCGAGAAGGGGTCGTCCCTTGCGACGCTAGCCGTGGTATTAAGGAGCGGATCGCCTTATCTCGAGACCCCTCTGAACCAGCCGCTGACGATATGTTTTCTGTACGCGGGAAGGCTCTCGGGTGTGGTCTTGACGAGACTTACCTGGCAGCAGTACAGAAGAAGTGTTTAGTTGTTGGCGAGGAGCACGATTCGTTGTTCGACAAAACTAGGGATTTCGCATCGTTTCTCGGAGGGGGTGGTAAGTCCGCTGGTGTTAGGGTGCGGTCCGGGGGAGTGAGAGTTCTAGTCGGTGGCGGAGATGGCGTGGCAGTGGCGGTAGCGGGAGATGTGCAGGGGGAAGCGGAGGCGGAGTTGTACCCGTGTGGCGCTGAGCATGCGAGCGTTGGGGGGCTCGCGGGTCGAAGCGCGAGCCAGCGACGAGAATCCGGTGGTAACAGTGGCGTTTGGCGAAACGGACTTGATGCTTCGCATCGGGATGAGATGTGGGCCGACATGCTCTTGCAGGAACTCGAGCAAGCCTCTGCCAACCAGCCGGTTACTTTGTCGGTTGGCGGCAAGTCGAACGGCGAGAGCGCGACGCGCCGTCAATCTACTGAAGCGGCGTCTCGAGAAGCACAGTCCCCGACGCGCGGCGACCCTCGATCTTTAGGGTTGGGGGAAGGCATCAGCGGAAGCGGGCGGAAGAGAGAGCAGGCGGAGCGGAGTCCGCTTGACGGTTTGCAGCTGGGGGCGGGAGGAGGGGGTTGCGGCGGTCAGGGATTTCCGTTTTCCTCTGTCGGCAATCCCGAGGGTCATCAGAAGCGGCAAGAGACGAACCCTCGGGGATGCAGGGATGGAGTGATTGCACGCAATGTGACTATAGGTCGAGCGGACGGTCAGTACGTCGAGGGAAAATCACTTGAAGGGCAAGATGCTAGGGGTGTGATTGAATCGAGACCGTTAGGATTCGAGCGGGGGGGAAGGGAGAAGGAATCTTCCAAGGGCGATGAGCGCGAGAGTGAGAGGGAGGGAGACGAGGCGGTAAGGGAGGGGATTGATGGCGGAAGAAGGGGAGGATGGGAGGGGTGGGAGAAGATGGTTGGGGCTGGAGAAGAGGTTTGCGCGCACGTTCAGCAGCAGCAGCCGCATCGAGATTTTGAGGCGTCTCAGAACCACAAACAGCAGCAGCAGCAGCAGCAGCAGCAGCAGCAGCCGCCGCCATCGCAGAACGTATTTGGCGGCGACGCGCATCGGCCTGTGGAGTATCGAGTCACGGCGTGCGAGGAGGGGCGCCGCCCGCCCGCGTGGAAGCCGGCGGCTTTCGCGGGGCACTTAAAGCGCGACGACGACCTCACTCTAAAAGCATTCCTCAAAGGCGGCAGAAGGCGCCACGGAGGGGGTTCGGTGCGCGGCGCGCAGACGTGGCGGGCGGACGATATTGCGGACGCGTGGCGGGTGGCGGAGGGACTTGCGGAGATGGAGCGTGTGCGGCGGGAGCAGGCGGGACGGGGCGCGCATCCCACCTCTGGTTCCGCAAACCCGCCTGCTACCGCTACTGCGGCGGCGGTTGCCGCCATTCAGAGTTTCCCTGCTGCGGGCAGCCCAGCCGCTTGCTTCTCCCCCTACGCCAGTGGAAGCGCCGCGGTGAAGGACAATGGCGCGCCAGGGGGTGGGCTCGCGCTGAACGACAGCGCGCGGAAGGGCAAAGCGGCGGTTGCGGACGAGCCTTGCGCGCCCGGCTTCGGGTTTGAGCGGTGCGCCAGCAGCGAGTGCACTGGCGGGTCGTCGCAGGGGGAGAGCTCAAGGTCTCGCGGAGGGGGAAGGGCGCGCGGGGAGGGGAAGAGACGGAAGGGTTCGCGCTTGTCAGGCGGAGGGGAGCGGAAGGGGAAGGTGAAGGCCGCTGGTGCTGCTGCGAGTGATGCTGCTATTGGCGCTGACGTTATTGCTCCGACCGATTTCAGCGCTGGGGGGAAGGCGTCCGCGCAAGGCGCTAAAAGCGGAGGGGGGAGGGAGAAGCGCGGAGTAGATGCGCGCGCTGACGTGGCAGGAAAGGGCGCGGCGCAGCAGAGCGAGAAGGCGAAGCAGATGGAGCGAAACCTCAAGGTAGCTTCCGCGCAGCTTCTCACCCTTCAGAAATGGGACGAGGGATCAAGAGACCTCGCGGTCCGATGGGCCGTATGGCTCTTAAGGCTCATTCGCAAGTCCGCCCCCACGCCGCCCCCGCCCTCTATCCGCCTCCTCCTCTTCTCTTCCATTCTCATGACTCTCCCTCGGATAGCCGACTCCCTCCTCCCGCTCACCTCCCTCCCGGGCCTCGCCTACTCTTCAGCGTCAGGCTCGGCAGGAGGCTCGGTGAAAGGCTCGGCGGGAGGTTCGGCGGCGTCCGAGGTGGTGCGGCAGATGCTGCGGAGCGTGTGTGCGCTGGTGGGGGCGGTGGGGAGGAGTCAGGTGTGCTTCTCCCCCTTGCATTGGGAGATTCTACAGGAGCCGTTGGATCGCTGCAGATCGCTGCATGCCTCTGCTTCTAGAGCTACTGCTCATGCCAAGCCCACACCCAGCACCACCGCTGCTGCTGCGACGGCGGCGGCAGCGGCGGCGGTGGCTGCTACAGCTGTGAAACCTGCCGCTGCTATTGATGTTTCCACTGCTCCTGCAGCCGCTACAGCACCTGCGGTGGCAGCAGCAGCAGCAGCAGCGTCAGAAGTTGCTGGCGCCATGGCTCCTGTTGCTATGCAGCAGAGTCCCAAGCAGGGGCTCAAGAGGGGTCGGAGTGACACCTTCACCCATCTCCCCTTTGACTCCTCTCCTCCGGTTGCTACAGCTGCTGCTTGTGGTGTTAATGTTGCGGCGGCTGCTGATGCTGCTCCTTCTCCCGCTGTTGCAGCTGTCATTGCTGCGCCAATCACAGGAGCAGGCGCGGACGCAGCAGTGAGCGAGCCTGCAAAGCGCGCCAAGGGGGATCAGTGGGCGGCCAGGCAAGAGGCAACCGTGGCAGCGTCTCAGGGTGTCTGTGCAGCGGCAGGTGGAGTGCCTGATCCAGCGGCTGCAGCCATGCCTGCAGCAGCTATGCCGCCAGAAGCAGCAACAGCAGTACCGCCGCCAGTGCCAGCTGCAGCAGCAGGGGTTGAGGCTTCGAGCCCGCGTGTGCAGTCGTCTCCATCGTTCCGCAAGGGGCTAATGAGCTTCAAGTCGTGGGCTGCAAAGAAAACGCAAAGAGCAGAGGACCAGAAGAGGGTACATGCGTCTGCTGTTCCTGCTCCTGCTCCTGCTTCTGCTCCTGCTCCTGCTCCTGTTCCTGTTCCTCCTGCCCCTGCTTCTCCTGCTCCTGTTGCTGCTGCACCTCTTGCTCCTGCTCCTGCTCCTGCTGCTCACCCACCATCTACCATCATGACGTCACAGCATCACGGTCTGGACCTCGCTCTGTCTGCACCTGCAGAAGCAGCAGCTGCTCCTGCTCCTTCTGCCGGTCCTGCTACTCCACCTGCAGCTGCGGCAGTCAACCCGCTTGCACGCCAACCAGCGCCGCCCCCCCTGAACACACACTCGCAACGTGCATTCGGGTCGGCGCAGAGGAGGCGGCAGAGGGCGGTGGAGCAGCAGGCTAGGGAGCTCTGCAGCGGCCTCTTCTCCCCGTACGGGCGGCAGGCCATGTCTGGTAGCGGCGCCAGCAGCAAGCGATCAGACGGCCCTGCCCCTCCTCTTCCTCCCCCTCATGCTGCTCCAGCCGCCGCCGCCGCCGCTGCTGCCACTGCCGCCGCTGCTGCTGCTGCTTCTCCCTCTCCTAGCGCGTCTGTCTCAGCAGCAGCAGCGGCGACAGGCAGTGGTCGCACAGCCAGAGCCACACCCTCAGCCAAGGATGCGTCAGGGCATAAGGCCTCGTCAGCAGCCCGAGCAGGCACGTCGGTGTGGCTGGGAACCCCTCTGGCCGCTGGCATGGGGGCGAAGATCGCCGTGGGCGGCAGGGGCAGCGCCAGTGCTGTTTACCGTGAGCTGTCCTCCCTCTGTGGGTCAACGGGTGGGTGGAAGAGCGGAGGGGAGGGGGGTGTGGGAGAGGAGGGGACGGAGGAGGGGGAGATTGTGAGGGAGGGGTTGGGCAGTGGTGGAGGGGGGAAGAGAGTGAGGGAGGGGGAGGCAGGGGGGTATGCGGAGTGGAGTGCCAGGAATATGGCTCAGACCGAGGCGAGCGCTGTGCCTTATTTCTGGTCCGGGGTTTACCGGACCTGCAGCTCGGGTTTGGCTGGGAGTGTCGCATTGAGGGCTTGGCAGAAGGGCAGGGTGGATGCAGCGAACCTGGTAAGGTCGCCTAAGGCTGCTGATACTGCCGCTGCCGCTGTTGCCGCCGCTGCAGCTGCTGCTGCTGCCAGCACTGCTGCCACCCCTGCTTCTGTCGATGCCCCATCATCCTCTCCAGTTGCTGCTGCTGCTGCTGCTGCTGCTGCTGCTGCTGCGGCTGCAGGTGGAAATGCGACGGATGGTGATTATGGTATTGGTGCTGGCGCCAGTGTTGGTGCCCCAACAGCCAACAGGAGCAGCAGCGCAGGCCAGGGCGCAGAGATCGAGATGGGGAGTGGCGTGAACGGCTGTGATGATGCCGCGGCCACAGCCACAGCCACAGCCACAGCCACTGGCGAGGAGGCATGGGAGGGGGCCTTGGATCCCGCTGTAGCAGCCAAGGTCGCCTCCCTCTCATCCCTCTTCTCCTCGCGCTACTCTTCGCCTCCGCTCTCTCCCTCCCTCTCCCCCTCCCCCTCCCCTTTCCCCTTACCCATTCCCAAGTATGGGCCAACTCGCCCCTCTCTGTCTGCCTGTGCGGGTGCCAGTCCCCAGCAGTACCACCCGTACCAGTTGCACCCGCACCAGCAGCACAGGCGTGGGAGGCGGGGGGTGCAGATGCAGGAGGGATGGCAGCAGCAGTGGCAGCAGCAACATGGCTTACTTGGGCCGCAGTGGCAGCAGCAGCAGGGGTCGGGGGGGCGACAGCAATGGAGAAGCATGTCTGCTGCTCCGCTGGGGCGGATAGATGAACGCAGGCAAGAGGAGGAAGAGGAGGAGGAGCAGCAGAAGCAGCAGCAGCAGGAGCAGCAACAACAGCAGCGGCAGGAGCAGATGGAGGAGAATGAGAAGATGGAGGAGAATGAGCAGATGGAGGAGAATGAGCAGCAGGGGGGGAAACTGGAAGGCAAGAGCCATGAGCACTGTACTGGAGAGGAGCAATTGGGATCAAGGCCAGATGCTGCTGTCTCAGGTGCTGCTGGGATAGAAGCTGTGGCAGGAATCGCGACAGGGACAGGGGCATTGGGAGCAGTGGGTACAGATACAGTGGGGAGTGCATACACTTACACTGGGTGCACATCGGGCAGTACATGGGTGCAGGGGGGCGGTGAGGGCCCTCACATGGTGTCGCGACCACGGTCCCGGAGGAAGATGATGGCCAAGCGCGAGTGACGGTGATGTGATTTGATGTGCAGGAGTGAAGCATTTGCTTAGGGTTGCACGTATCTGGTGAAGGATGCAGCAGAAAGCAAGGTGTAGCGGCAGGTGGAGGATAGAGAAGAGAGTGAAGCGCCCTTCATGGGCGAATGGGTTGAGTATTGCATTGTATGAGACGTATTAGTGTATGATGACTCTGATTCTTTCATTGCCCAGTGGTTCTTTGCACTGAGGAGAGGCCCAAGCAGGCTTTGGATAGTGTGTGTGGCTGAGCAAAACTACACTTATTCTAAGGTATATCATACATATCAGTTTATACAGTTATCATTTCTGGCAAACCTAAACAGATCAATATCACATATGCCTGCCTGCAATCCACACTCCAGAGCTCGAGCCACAACTTCATTTGCTGCCTGAGAAGGATGCACTAAGTCCCAGAAAGTACGTGACTGGCTATCGTCGCACTGCGTTGCAGGTGTGGATGATTGTGTGCCGTTGGATATGAAAATCGACGTCCCACATTGCACGAGACCGTTGATAGGGCTAGGGGCACCGCAACACGCACATGTCCCCACATTCAATCCATAAGCCCGCGGTCTCTCTGTCATCGCCTGCAGAAGCCGATGCATCCGCGCATACACTACTGTAGAACCATTTAATTCATCTCTTAAACCATCTAAAGCAAGCGCGAGCACTGCACTGTGCTCCGTTGTAATGAGATTCACTACAGGGCTGCAAAACGAGGGAGCTGGCTCGTCTGATAGCTGGCCGCGGGCTTCGGCAATGGTTGCGAGGGCGATGGGGGTGCAGCCGATCGGGAGCGTGTCAAAGATAAGGAAATGGCGGAACCCAGAGGCATACAGAGTCTGCTTGTGCAAGAGTGGAAAAGTGGAAGGGATAGGGGGGAGAGAAGAAGAAAAAGTTGGAGAGGGTAACAACGAGCATGTTAGATATGATGCATGTAGAGCTGAATTGGGGTCTTGTTCTAACAGAGACCAGACCGTATCTTTATAATGCGCCCCTTTGTTGATAAAGAAACCCCACAGCCTATCAGGAGCCTCACACCACATTAAAACCATCTTAATCCCTTCTCTTACCCTCACAGCATCGGTGATCCCCCTGACCACATCGGTAATCAGGCTCTGCGACTGCGGAAGCATCTCAGCCAGTCGTAGCTGCTCGGACGGGTCCATCTGACGGCCCATATTTATCCCCTTTTCCAGGAACGTGATATAATCATTGGTGCCCATGGATACAATGGCGAGAGGCAGGGAGTCGGCCTGCTAGTCACATGGCGGAGTAGGAGAGGGGGTGGGGTGGGGAAGGGGTAGAAGGAAGCACGGATAGGGCATAAGTGAATGGGGGCATTGCTTACAGCAGGACTGGAGAAGATGGCTGGGGAGCGGATGATAAGTTGCAAAAAAGCTGGGCACATGAATGAAATCGGAAAAATCACATAGATTATCAGCAGACAAAGCCCATAAACTTCACCCTTGAGAGGCGAGCCACTCACTTGCTCTGCTGCTTGCAGCCCACCCAGCTCGGAGAATCTTGAGAGCTGCACAGAGAGTGGGAAGCCCTGCACACACGCACAACCATGGATGGGTGGGTGAGCACTGCTCAAAGAACCTAAGTTGAATCCAAGAATCTGGGTCACAAAACTTTTCTCACAGGAAAATGCCTTCAAACCCCCCTTTCTCCCAATTGTACCACGCTTCAAACCTCAAAACCTCCGAATCTCACCTTATCGGGAGTGGAGGTGTCCAGCACACCCGCCCCTGAGCTGGCGAAGTTGAGCCCGTTTTGGGCGGCACTGCTGTTGATGCCAGGCTGGAAGGCCGCAGGGGCGACGGGCAGCTCAAAATATTCAGCTGTTAGGAAAAAATAAAATAGAAAAACGAGGAGCTGAGTGAGGGCCTGGAAACTCACGCGGACCTGAATTTTTGTGCGGGCATGATGTCTGTCACTTACAGAGATAGTCAATAACGAGTTTGCCATCACAGAACCTCCCACTAGCGGGGATGAAGTTCATTCCATAAGGAGGAAAATTCGCGCGATAGAAGCTATCCAAGGTGCCGTAGTTGTTGTTGCCAACGTCAGAGAGCGAGTCTCCAAACGTGTAAATCGCGCCGAATCTCGGACGTGCGAGGGCGCATTTGGTGTTCACGCGATTAGTGGACAGGCCGGTGATTGATGCTTGCCTGCGCAGCTGATTCGGTGCCGGATCCGTAAACTGCGCGCTCCAGGTGCCGTTAATCGCGGCGGGACTGGCGCCATCGGCGGCGCTGGGAGGAGGAACAGTGTTCGAGTCTCCTTCGGCCAAGCCTCGACCTCTGAAACCGTGTCGCGCGGGCAGCGCGGAATCCAAGGCCGAGTCTGAGTGGCCGGCAGCGAGGCAGCCCCATGGCAGAAGATGGACGGCTGCGACGAGCAGGAGGAGCGCACGAGAGGAGGCGGAGGCGCGCGGGAGAGACGGCTGCGGCGGGCACGCTTCGGCGGAGCTCGCCATGGGATCGAGGGTGAGTGGTTCCGGCCTCGTTGGCGAAATTATATGTAATTTATAGCGATGTCAATGCCCGAGCCGAGACGCAAACTGTTCGGCTGCCAAAATAGCGGATAACCTCTCCCGTACTTTTTCCCCACGGACGAGAGAACGAGCCGCGGCTGATGGTCAAGGTTCACGTCACAGCATATGTCCCAGTCAAGGCGAGACGAGTCGGGTGGGAGTACTGTCGGACATTCTGACAGTTTATAAAGGACCATAGCTCATGCGATTATGTGTTAATGCTGACGTAGGATAGGACTAATATGTACGGGTAACGACGAGAGAGGGGCTAATTGAAAATCTGTTCTTAGTGTGACGACGGGTTAGGCAGCGGAACAGTGGTGCGGTTGGGGTTGGTGGGGAAGGCGAAGGAGTGAACCTAATCGAGGAACTCGTGCGACGTGAACGACTGTCCAGATCGTCGCACCGTGTCGTATTGGCGTTTCCGCGTCGTGGCGCACAAATCAATATGTCGGTCTACTGGAACTTTGACGTCTCGGACTGGAGTTCGAATCGTGCGATCGCGTTCACGAGGCTCTCGGATAGGCTAAAACGTCCAGGTGTCGCCAGCGCTGCTAGTGTTCTTTTCGAACCATCCAAGGCAAATATGACAAAACAACTAGTGCTGCTTTCAGTGTAGCACCAAATTTGAGAAGAAAAAACTTCTCTATGATTAATAGCTAGTTCCACATGACATGGAACTCAAATCTCACAATATACTCCTCCCACCTAAATGCTGGCCTCCTTTGCATAATAATCACTAAACCAGCTGAGTGAATGCTAAACATGTATTAGTGTACTCGCATTTCAGGGAACTTGCTGAGAATGCGAGTTGCATACTTCACTATGGTCATGTCTCCTGATCTCTTTAGCCGATGTAGAATACGGAAGATATCTATCGACCGGAGATACTCACGGCACGCCGAATGCGAGCACATATTGCCAAGGGAAAACAATGCAATCTTAACTGGTGATTGCGACTCCCCTCCCTCCCTCCGTGGAGTTTGTTGCTGGTTGGTTCCAGCCACGACCAAGTCCACCAAAGCCTGGAATGCACACAAAATAGTGAAACACATGAGAGGATCGTGTTTCCTTCTTGAAGTGTGCAAAACAAAAACATCAACTGCATCCCATTAAGGTTCTCCCCAGACATCTGCGTGGCACCCAAACCCCCCATTGAAATATGAGTTAGTGGCAGAGCACCCATGGGGTTGCGCAACATGCTGCCCTGCACCCCTGGATTACGCCCATTGCTTCCTCGCACCACCACACACGCTCACCTGCAGGGCACCGTGGGAGATGAGGTCGTGGCAGAGCCCCCGAGTTGCGCACCATGTTGCCCAGTGCCCTTCAGAATGCCTGTGTCCTCTACTACCTCTCTCCTCCCCCCCTCTCACCCCACTCTAATGACCAGCACCGGCTCCCACCTGAAGCGCCCCCTGGGAGATGAGGTCGTGGCAGAGCTCCCCCGAGTTGCGCACCATGTTGCCCAGCGCGCCTGCAGCGTTGGCCTTGATCTTGTCGTCGCTGCTGCTGGGCGGCCCGCTCTCGGCTGCTAGCAGCACCGCCAGGTGCGGGATGACTGGCCGCAGGGCGGCGTACAACGAACTGTTGTGGTATGCTGCATTGCCAATCTGTTGTGAGGCGAAGAAGAAAGATGGTACGATGAGAGGCAGAGGAAATGGCAGGACAGGAAAAAAAAAAATATCGAAGGCGCAGTGTCTGCCGGGAAGGCACTGAGAAGAAAACAAACACAGACATGGTCATCAGCTGACTCTGTCTTAGCAGATCACACTGTCTTGCTGCATGCACACACACATGCAATGCTGCACTCACCGCAAAGCAGGCGAACTTGCGTGTGTTGCGGTCATGATCTGCACAGCACTCTATGAGACGAGAGAGAATCCCCGAGTCCACCTGCCATTGACACACACACACAGGGCCAAAACGGGATCAGCACACGGGAATGGCGGCACACGTTGCCTCCACACACACATGCACGCTTTGGATCACAGCACATGCCATGATGAAACTCTCAGCACAGCACATGGGGAAAGCAGGCATACCATGATGGGGTAGAAGTAGGCGGAGTGGCGGCACATGTTGCCCACGGCGTTGCAGGACTTGGAGCGCACACCAGCATCGGGGTGCGCGAGGAACACCTCCAGTGCACCGTAGATGTCCGCCGTGGCTATGGGCTCGTAGTAGTCCTGTTGGGGGACAGGGGTGTGCTCGGCGGTATGCAATGGGAAGAAAGTGAGTGGCGGAGTCTCTTAGATGTGGAACAGGCGTTGTTATAGCGCATGGACAGCCTGTGGGGAAAGCAAGAACGGGCAGAATCAGGTTGCTGCCACGGTATCAGACATTGGCAGACGATGGCGCAAACTCAGCAAGGGCCACATCTAAGCTGATGATGCAATCGTAACAACCAGTAACGGCAGCAGCAAATGGTGTACAGCTGCGCAACGCACCTCAGAGAGCCGGGAGAGGTGTGAGACGATGAGAAGCACGTCCATAACCACCTCCATCACGTACCCCTGCCCCTCCTCGCCCTCCGCCCCCTCCCCCTCCCCCTCGCCCTCCTCAGGCTCCTCCATGCCAAACAGCTTCCCCATGAGCGCCGGGTCCAGCCCCCCGTGCCGCACCAGCAGTGCCGCTGCTGCGGGCGAGTGGTGCGCGATGCGTGACAGCAGGTTGATTGGACCGATGAGTGCTGGGCCCTGTAGGACCGCCAGTGATGCCAGCAGCACTGGGATGGCTGACGACTGGGTGATGGGAGGGGGTGGGAGAAAGGGAGAGGGGAGAGTGGGGAGAGGAGCGGGCATAAGATGCTGCAACACGATGCGGCTCATAGAGACGAGCAGGTGACAGGGGGGAGGGAGAGTATGGACTCAAGCTCGAGCACATTATCATGCAGCATGCTGCATGTGAAACCAAGATGCTTCAAGGCCCACCCCACGCACCTCCTGCAGCATCTGCAGGTACTGCGGCTGCAGAGCCAGCAGCGCTCGTGAAAGCTCATCCATCTCCCCCCCACTGCCGCCCGACCTGCCGCTGCTGCCGCCCGCCGCCCCGCTAACCGCCGAAGCAGCGGGGGCAGCGCTGGTGGTGCCGGCCGCACTGGTCGCCCCCCCAATGGCATCCCCTGCAACGACTGCGTGGAAGGGGAAGAGGAGCACGTCCACCACCCCACACACTAGCTCCACCACCATATCCAGTGATACCGGCTGTGCTACTCCCTCCAAGCTTCCCTCCATCACCCACCCTGTTTCCCCCCACATCTGCCCAGCTTCCGCCCCCCCTCCCCCTCGCCCACCTCCCCCTCCTCCCCCAGACCCCTCCGCGCCTCCCCCCCCCAGCGCGAGCTGCATTTCCCCCCATGGCCCCCCCTGGCAGTTGTCCCACGCCTGCAGGTGCGCCAGGTGGAAGGTTCCGAGAAGCTTCAGGAGGATGTCGATGGGGTCTGCGCCAATCAGGGCATAGCGGTAACCACCGGCTGAGAGGGAGAAGGGAGAAGGGAGAAGGGATGGCGCAAGGGGGAGTGATGGGGAGAGGTGAGGGAGCAGCAGAGGAAGCAGAGCATGGGGACAAGCAGGAAACACTACGCGGGATGGGAGGCTGGAGAAAAAATCGGTCATTGAGTTAAAAACGAGGCACGAAGCACAGCGGAGACACTGCAGTCGAAGTCACGGAATGGGGGGCAAGAGGAGAAAGTTGTGGAACGGAGGGGCAAAGGATACGCACCAGGCAGGCACATGTAGAGCCCAGCCAGCAGCCACATGACGCCCGTGGGTGACAGCCCCACATGGTCCGGGGGCGCACACCCCCTCTCCCCCGCCGCCCACGCTGCCCTCTCCCCCTCGACCGCCTCCCCCGCTCCGCCCCTCCCCCCTCCGCCCCCTCCTTTCCCCGCACCAACACCCCCTCCCAGCACGCTCATCATAGACACCAGCAATCCATCTCCAAGAGCGTTCTCCACCGCCTGAGGGCCCCCCAGACGCAGGGAGACAGTGAGCATGCCCACATACCCGTCCCGCACCCCGTGCCACCGCCCCACCACCCTCCCCGCGCCCCCCCACAGCTCCCCCCACCCGCCATTGCACGCCCCGAACCCCTCCATCGCCTTGGAATACGCCGGCGCGTGAGCAACCCGCAGCTTGGAGGAGAGCAGAGAGAGGGGCGGGAGGTACTTCAGCACAAGGTCCGAGATGTTTGAAGAGTCAGGTGCGTCTGCTGGGCTGCTGCTACCAGGGGTGCCGCCGAACGAGGCTCTACCACCTCCCCACGACCCGCCTCCGAAGGAGCCTCGGCGCTCGCCTGACTGTGCGAGTTCTAGCTCCATAATCACTGCCATGGCCAGCGCTGCTGCTGCTGCTGACGGCCGCCCCGGCCCCATCCACATACCCTGCTGCTGCTGCTGCTGCTGCTGTTGCGTTTCGCCCCTTGCTGCTCCTCTCGTTCTGCTACCACCTGCGGCTACAGCTCTTCCTCCCTCTCGCCCATCCCTGCCCTCACCTGCAGATGCACCTTCCCCGAATCCGCCTTCCCCTGCCAGCCTCCCTAGAGCCGCCAGCCTGACTTCCTGCACTTGAGAGTCTGACGTCAGCACCCACTTGCCGCCCTGCAGGCCCCTCAACCCCAACCCCTCCGCTACAGCCGCCACTACCAGACAAGCCAACGCCGCCCGGACGCTACATTGCAAGGCGTCCTCAGGAGCAGCAGGAGACGGAGAGTGGGAGGAGTGGAGGAGCGAAAAGATAGCGGCAAGCAGGGAGTCGGGACCCCCTCCTGACACAATGCTGCCATCGTGCCCTGGGAATGGGGCGTTTGGGATGGGCGCACGGGCCATGAGGCAGCAGAAGGACGGGGAGAAGAGGCAGCAGCGCAGCAGCAGCTGCAGCAGCCTTGGCAGCAGCACATTGTTCCCTCCCACCATCTCTAGTGCAGCAGCTATAGCCCCACTCGCACTCGCCCCATTCCCTATAATCACCTCCACGACTCGCCGCAGCAACCTCTCGCCCACAAACCTCCCCTTCTCAAGCTTCTCCCCAAGAGCCCTCCGCAGCTTCCCTCCCTTCTTCCCTATGCCTTCCACGCCCTCCCACCCAGGTGCAGCCCCAAGCATAACTGCCAGTGGGAATCCTTTCCTGTCGCCGCTGCTCCACTCCCCGCTCGCTGCCTCCATTCCTTCCACAGCTGCCCAGATTCCCAGCAGCGCCTGCAGACTCGCCTGCTGCCACTCCCCCGCCTCCTCTGCGTCAATCTTTTCAGCTGCCCGGCCGGCACCCCGGGCAGCAGTGCCACCTCTTGCAGCCCTCCTCTCCTGCTCTTGGGCAGCGAGCGAAATGCCCTTCCCTGCGAGAGCAATGCAGCGGGCCATGTGTTCCGTCACAGCCACTGACTGTGCGCATGACAGTATCTCCGTATCCACGTAGCTCACACTGCCCGCCCCTGCTGCTGCCCCTCCCCGACCCCCTGCCCCCCCTGCTGCTGCTCCCTGTGTGCCGCATGTGCTCCTGTCTCGAGTGCTCCCTCCCCCTTTCTGCTGCCGCTGTGAGCCGGTGGACGGGGGCGCGGTGGCGGAAGGGGCGGGGGGAGAGGGGCCGGGGAGGCAGGCTGCGCGGACGGCGGCAGAGGAGGCGGCGAGGAGGAGAGTGAGGGAGGCCGTGGCGAGGTTGCACGCCTCGCCTGACTGCTGCGCTAGCCCTTCCAGCACCTGAGCGCAGACGAGGGGAGGGAGTGGAGAAGATGAATTGCATGGGAAGAGAAGGAATGTACATGGGGTGAAAGGCTTTTGGGGGTGACAAGGGGCTGATCACACGAGAGGGAAGAAGTTACGAGAAACAGTCACACGGTGACAGAGGCATTGCGACAGGTGCATGGCGCACCTTGGGGTATTTCTTAATAAACGCCAGAGCATTCTCCAAAAACGCTCCCTCCGTCTCTCGATCCCACTCCCCCTCCTCGCCCTTCTTCCCTTTCCCCTGCCTCTCCTTCTCCTTCTCCTTCTCCTTCCCCGCCTGGCTGCCCGCGAGGGTCGCTCTGAGGGCGAAGGCGCAGCGGAGCAGGGCCAGCGCGGGGCACAGCAGAGGCTGCAGGCGGGAGGATCTGTCCGCGAGACACGTGTCGAGCAGGGATAGGACGGCTGGGAGCACGTCGTAGTGCAGGCAGCGCACGTCCAGAGGAGGATCGGAGGGGTGGCGGTCGGTGACGAGCGATGCCAGGGAGTGCAGCGCACTCGCTGCTGCTGCTATGGCGTCACTGGTGGGGGAAAGCGGAATGGAGAGGAGGAAAGTAAAGGAGAGGTGAAGGAAGAGAAGGGAAGGGGAATAGTGGGGAGGGGAGGGAAGAGTGGCATGTGGTGCAGCAGGCGTGTGGATACGAAGGCTGGCGAAATGAGGCATGACACGAGTGTGAGTAGCGCAGGCGGGGCACTCACGGAGACGCAGAGGCAGCCTTTGGGAGGAACGAGCGGATGACTTCCAAACGCTTCAGCAAGCGGCTCCTCCCTGTTGGGATACCACGGGGACGTGCATGGGATACAATGGTTACAATCATGGTGGCATGGATGACACAACCATTGGCGCATACAGAGGATAGCAACAAGCACTCGTGGGAAGGCCGATTCCAGAACAGCAAGGGCACATGCATTCGTGCTACGAATGCGGCAGCCACGAGCAGGTGAATCACCTGTGGCTGCTGGCTGAGCGGGAGGCGGCATCTCCTCTGCTGCTCGCGCTGCTCTCGCCCCTCTTGGCCCTTCCTCCCCCTGCTGCCTCTGCTGCTGCTGCTGCTGCCGCTGCTGCTGCGGCTGCGCCGGTGCCTGGGCGGGCTGACCGGGCGGGGCGGGGGCCTTGGCGGCGGGCAGGAGGTTCTGGGGGGTGGCGCGCGCCTCTATGTTGCGCAGAGGCAGCTCGCGCGCCTTCTTGCCTGGCGGACATGGCACGGGCGTCGTTCCCCCTGCTGCTGGCGCCGCCTTGGCGTCTGGTGGAGGCACAGGGAGAGGGGGAGGAGAGGCGGGAGGGGGGAGAAGTGAGCCGAGAGAAGGGAGGGGAGAGAAGTGAGCCGAGTGCCAGGTACAACCTTGCCACGCAGTGCCAGGTACAACCTTGCCACGCAGTGCCAGGTACAACCTTGCCACGCAGTGCCAGGTACAACCTTGCCACGCAGTGCCAGGTACAACCTTGCCACGCAGTGCCAGGTACAACCTTGCCACGCAGTGCCAGGTACAACCTTGCCACGCAGTGCCAGGTACAACCTTGCCACGCAGTGCCAGGTACAACCTTGCCACGCAGTGCCAGGTACAACCTTGCCACGCAGTGCCAGGTACAACCTTGCCACGCAGTGCCAGGTACAACCTTGCCACGCAGTGCCAGGTACAACCTTGCCACGCAGTGCCAGGTACAACCTTGCCACGCAGTGCCAGGTACAACCTTGCCACGCAGTGCCAGGTACAACCTTGCCACGCAGTGCCAGGTACAACCTTGCCACGCAGTGCCAGGTACAACCTTGCCACGCAGTGCCAGGTACAACCTTGCCACGCAGTGCCAGGTACAACCTTGCCACGCAGTGCCAGGTACAACCTTGCCACGCAGTGCCAGGTACAACCTTGCCACGCAGTGCCAGGTACAACCTTGCCACGCAGTGCCAGGTACAACCTTGCCACGCAGTGCCAGGTACAACCTTGCCACGCAGTGCCAGGTACAACCTTGCCACGCAGTGCAAGCAGTATTGCACCACACTCACAGCAACGACCTACCGATGAGAACGAGAGAATGATTGGCATGCATGGGCAGGGTCACTGGCTCCGGTGCTGGGGGCGGACCTGGTGCAGCGTTGGCGTTCTCCTTGGCGGCGGACGGCATGAGCGGGTGGGGGAGGAAGGTGCTGGCACGCGCGTGCCATGCTGCCCTGCATGCTCGCTCCATCGCCTTCTGTGCTCGCTCCTCCTGCCATTGCCAGTTCGTTTCTCATTACCACGCCATTGCCATAGACATGCGAATGCACGCCCAAGCAGCACACACACATGCATGAGTATCAATGCAAGCCTTGCCAACCAAAGCTAGATTCTGACCAGCATGGACAGCAGAACGAGCACTCCACTCCCCCATCATCACCCCAGCGCCCTGCCACCAACCAGCACCCGCCTCCGCCCAGCACCCCTCCTCCAGGCATCACCCCGCCTCCACGCAACACCAATCTCCTTGCAGCGCGCGTAATCTACTCGGCGTCTCCTTGACCAAGGGTTGCTCCAGCAGCGCGGGCCACGTGAGGCGGTTCTGTGGAACGAGTACGACACTCCCCCATCAACACCCAGCACCCCCCACCAAGCACGCCCTTCCACACAGCGCCCGTACCCACGGCCATCCACTTACACGTGCTTGAATCTCTTCGGCCGTCTCCTTGACAAAGGGGTGCTCCAGCAGCGCGGGCCAAGTGAGGCGGTTCTGCGGCGTCTTATTGAGCAGCCCGTGCAGGAAGTGCTTGAAGCTCGCGCTCATGGCGTCGGGATACTTCACTGGGTCCTGTGCGGGGAAGCAGGGAGGGTTAAGATGGGAAGTCGAACCGTTGTTGAGATGTCTGGAAGAGAGCAGCCCGTGCAGAAAGTGCAGAAAGTGCGGAAAGTGCTTGAAGCTCGCGCTCATGGCATCAGGGTGCTTCACCGGGTCCTTCGCCAGTCGGGTCAGGGAATGAAAATCAATGAGAGAAAGAATGAGAGGTGAGAAGTGGTGAGAGGCACGACGGCATGTCGATGAACTCGGATGAACACTGGATTGGCCTACATGTATGACAGGCAGCCCCAGGGCTTGCCTTGATGATGTGGTTGATGAGCGTGTAGATGGAGTTGGTGTAGAAGGGCGGCTGCCCCACGTAGAGCTCGTAGAGGATGACGCCCAGCGACCACAGGTCCACCGTGTGGTTGTACGGCTGCTCCTGCACCAGCTCCGGCGCCATGTATAGCGGCGTGCCTGCTCGGGAGTACAGGAGAGGAGAGGAAGGGAGAGGAAGGACACTTGAAGGAGGACGACCGAACAAGCTCCTGCACCAGCTCCAACGCCGTGTATAGCGGCGTGCCTGCTCGGATTGACAGAGGGTGAGGAGGAGGGGGTGATGGAGAATGATGAATGGAGTCGAACATGACAGAAAGATGGGGAAGGCAAGGGATGGGTGACTGGGGATATGTTCAGTTCAACCCCATACATGACCCTGGCTCACCTTTGATGGATGTGAGCACCATGGTGTTGCACGACATGGCGCGCGCAAACCCAAAGTCGCAGAGCTTGATGATTCCCCCAGCGCCCACCAGGATGTTCTGCGGCTTCATGTCGCGGTGGATGATGCGGTTCGAGTGCAGGTAGTACAGCGCGCGCACCTGCCTCGCGCGCGGATGGGGAATGGGGAGGGGGAGAGGGAGGAAGGGGAAGGGGAACGAAAAAAATGTTTTTAGTGACGGGGGAGGTTGTGTGTGAGAGGGAGTGGAGGAGGGAGGAGGTGAGGTAGATTGGTGGGGGGCGGGGAGAGGGGGTGCATGTAGATGAAGCACGGAGGGATAAGCTCCTGGGCTGTGGGACATGGACTGGCAACTTGGAATTTGGTTCATTATGACTCGACTACCTCTTCATCAGTTTCTCTCACCAGTTGCTTGGCGATGACTTGCACTTGGGCCTCGGGTAGCGCCTGGTCGTTCTGCAGGATCTCGAACAGCTCGCCCTGCCGCGGACGGAGAATGGCAGGGACGGTCAAGGAGAGGAAATGGGGAAGAGAATCGCGGGATTAGAAAGGAGGATGGGAATGAACAAGGGGCGCGTGTTGCGAGGGAAAGAAGAGGGTGTGGGCGGGGCTGGGAGGGAGGCTGGATGGGAGGCTGGGAGTGACTCTGGGGGGAGGCTGATAGGAGGCGAAAAGGGAGGCTGGAGAGAAGGCTGGGAGAGAGGCTGGGGTGGAGGCTGCCTCACCTGTGCGAACTCGGTGACGACGCAGAATTCCTGCGGGGTTTCGAAAGCGTCGAGCATCTCGATTATGTTCTCGTGCTTCAGCTTTCGGAGAATCTGATGGGAGAGAACGTAAGTAAAACGTGAAGAAAATACACGCTATCATTAAAGGCTTAATGTTTGGGAGTCTTGGTTCAGGCAGAACGGCAAAATCCTCGAGTGATCAAACGAGCGGAATGAACAAGAGCGGAGTTGAAGTGGAACCTTCCGTACCTCGATCTCCTGCCGTAGGTTCTTTATGTCCCGCTCGCTTTTCCCGTGCTTCAGAATGAATTTCATTGCCGTCATCTGCGGCGAAAGCAGGCCAGAAAGGTGAGTCAAGATCCACCTAGCTTCATGACGTCTACGTCGCCCTGAATTGTGCTTTTGCGTGTCCTCACCTGGCCAGTGAACTTTCGTCGTCCCTTGTACACCTTGCCGAACGACCCCTCTCCTACTAGTTCTATCACATGATAGTCTTCCAACCCCATTGTATCAGTCTGTAGTCGACTATTGACTATGTCTAGTTAGTCGCATAACTTAGTGTAGCGCTGGATCCAGAAATTGAGAGCAAGCCTCAGCTTACTCGAGGATCTGACCACGGCTTGTTGGAACTCCTCAGAAGGCGAGATGCAGTTACTACAAAACGCGCAACTACGCCTTGTGCGTCCCCACACGATCGTGACAAAAATCGCGTGCAACTATGTATATTTGAGAGAGCTATGACACCATGACCTTCATACAACACCACGCCCTAACAACGAAAGAATCTTGCAAGCTCTAAGCTTCTTTTGAACTAGTCATCTGGATGTTGGTTTTGGGGACTCAGGGAATGCCGTCACAGCACAACCAGGAATCGCATGGAATGGGCATCCCATGGTCGCTGCGCAGAATTGAAAAATCCAGGTTGGGTGTGCGTCCACCATCCATGCTTTGGCTCGGAAATGGCCTTGCTTTGGTTCGGCGGTCGATGGGGAAGTTTGCAAAACCGCCTCATTGGCTGTGCCCGGTGGAAATACACGATTCCCCGCCAGGCCAGGAAAGAACGGTTCAGAAAAGCGCGGGAAAAAAGCGACTCCGCAGTGGTCTGGTGCAATATTCAAACGTAAACAGCCGTACCGTAACTACCTTGACCAATTGATTTGCACCACAACAGAGAGTGACAGCAAATGAATGCTTTTTGTGATTAGTGTCAATTAAAAATTCCATACTCCTATAATTAGAGGTTAGAGAATCACTAGGCTTCCTATGACATCATTCAATGACCCCATCTTCACGTGTTTGGGGGAAACATGAAGCGAATAACGCTTCACATTTTCCTATGTCGCTTGCAGTCGATGCTACAGCTGCTAATGCCATAATCTGCCCAAACTCATCCATCTTTTTGTTCCTCTCCTCCAGCAGCTCATCGAACCTCTTATCTTCGTCGTCCTTCACCTCTGCCTCATCCTCCGCATCATCAATAACAACCGGTTCAGAAGCGTTCACAAACGAGCCTCCCCATTGCCCCGATCTGCGACAAGAAGCGCTAACAGTTGGCACCGATTCTGTTGGCGCCACATCATCCCACGCCCCACCGCGCATACTCCTCCTCCTGCCACGCCAAACCTCCTCAACCTCTCCCTCTCCAGACTCCACCCCCACTTCCCTGGGCCTCTTCTCACCGACTTCACCCATCCCTCCAGCCTGCTCCCTCCCTGAAAGCTGATTTGTAAACGCCATGACAACAGGATCAAAGTCAGCAGCCATTACAGCCACCTCCTGCACCCACCGCTCCCCCCTTTTGACTGCTCCGAATCGCTCCTCCCCTGCTTGACGCCCAGCAAAGGGTCTAGTCGAAGGGAAAGTGGAATCACGCGGTAGGGCTTTAGAGTGTGATGCTCTAAGAAACGACCCTGTGATACCATCAGCAGCAGGAGCACCAGAGGCCGCCCGAGCCCTCTCTTCCTCGTTCATCCTTCCAGAGCCATCAGCTGCCACGGCAGCGAGCATCTCAAACCCTGCCTCTGCAGCTCGCACATTCACCTCCTCCTCGCCTTCACCCCCCTTACAGCCCTCTCTTGCATCCCGCTCCCCACTAGCATCAGGGGGACACCAGCGCCCGCACAGGGCGGCACAGGAGGCCAGTCCGGAGAGCTGCGTGGCATCACAGGTGAAAATCTCCTGCAGCAGCTCTGCATTGCTAGTGTACCGAGCCAGAGCTTCGGCCCGAGCCTGCGCTGCGGCTTCGTCGGCCTCATGGAGTCTTTGCAGGCGGAGCTTGTGTGCCCTAGAGGACTCCTGGTGAGGGAAGCGGGAAATAGGGATACAGGGGGAGCATGTGAGTCAAGGCAGCATGGGGCTAAAGGACAAACTGTTCCTCGAAAGAATGTGATGAGAATAGCATGTGCATCACGAAGTGAGAGGAAACAGCAGTTGATTGAGACCACAAACACAACAGCAAACGAACCACAACAGCAAGAAGTTACAAGCAAGCCCATGCAGGGAGAGGAGCAGCACGCACCACAGAACACTGGGACAGCACGGCCTGCAGCGCCTTCATCTGCAGCTTGCGTCGCCTCAGCTTCTCCCTCTGCTGCTGCTGCCGCCGCCGCCGCCGCCGCCGCTGCCGCTGCTGCTGCAGCCGCTGCAGCCTTGGTATCAGCAGCGCTTCTCCCCGGCACTGCTTGCTGTGGGCCCACGGCACCTGCTTTCACCTCTGCGATGGCGCTACCTGGCACACCAAGACTTCGCTTGATCCCCAGAGATCCAGCACCCTGCCCTGCTGGCCCAGGCGCTGCTGACCCAGGTGCTGCCCCAGAGAGGCCAGTGGAAGCACAGCTGGTTCGGATCTCAGCCTTTGCTGCTGCTGTGGGGGTCGCTTGTGATGCTGGCCGTTTGGGTAGAGGGGGCGGCGAGGTGAGTCGGGGCAGGCGGGAAGAGGAGAGGGTGGGGAGCTCAAGAGAGTTTTGGGATCCAGCCTGTGCTCGCCTTGCTTGTGCTTGCTGCGCCCGCTGCTGTGCCTGTGCCTGCGCCTGTCCCTGTCCCTGTCCCTGTCCCTGTGCTTGAGTATTTCCGTGTGCTTGTGCCTGTGCCTGTGCCTGTGCCTGTGCTTGTGCCTGCTGCTGCTTCTGCTGCAGTTGCGCTTTCTGTTGTTGCTGTGGCGTTGGCACTGCTGCTGCTGCTGCTGCTGCTTCAGTGCTGGCTGCTGTTGCTGCACCTTCCCATGCTGCTGTGGGACCTGCACCGCCTGCACCTGCCCCTGCACCTGCCCCTGCACCTGCCCCTGCACCTGCCCCTGCACCTGCCCCTGTTTCTGCTGCAGAAACCCCTCCACCTGCTGCTGCAACCGCTGCCTCTGCGCATTAATCTGCTGCTGCCCCTGCTGCCCCTGCTGAGCTTGTGCCTGTGCCTGTGCCTGCTGCTCCTGCGCCTGTTGCTGTGCCTGTACCTGTGCTTGCGCCTGCGCCTGGTGCTGAGCCTGTGCCATCCTCTCCTGTACTTGCTTGGCTGCTGCGCTCATAGGGGGTTTCACCTGCTGCCCCGCTCCCCCTGCTGCGCCAGGCAGCCGCAGCTGCCCACCCCCTGGCGCGAGACCCACTGCTGCTGGCGCCTCTGCCGCCCCCTGCCCCTGCGCCTGGATCTGCCCCCGTCCCTGCGCCTGCGCCTGTCCCTGCGCCAGTCCTCGAACCTGCGCCTGCTGCGCCTGCAAATCACGGTGGTTCTGCACTTGCGCCTGGGCAGGGCGGGACGAGCTTGCCACCTGTGAAGAGTTGGCATGCTGGGCTGAGGAGTTGAGGTGCTGCGGAGGGTGCAGCTGATACAGCGGCAGCAACGCAGGCGGCAGAACCTGGGCTTTGGGAACCAGGGGCTTGTGCAGGGAGTGGTTCTGTGCATGCATGGCAGCGCCTTGCTGTTGCTGCTGTTGTTGCTGTTGCATTTGCATTTGCTGCTGTTGCTGAAACGTCTGCGACAGCAGCTGCCTCTGCTGGGGCGTGAGTTTCTGCAGCAGCTGATCCTGCTGCAACGCTCTCTGCTGCGCCACACTTAGCTGTTGAGCCGGCGCTGCCTGTGGTGCCTGGATTAGCTGCTGCTGCTGCGGCACTGGTTGCTGCTGTTGCTGCGGTTGTGGCTTTTGCTGTTGTTGCTGCGGCAACAGCGGCGGTTGAGAGTGGTTCTGCTGTTGTTGGCGTGAGCTTTGCTGCGAGGTCTGCACTTGCTGAAGCATTTCTGCCTGCAACTGCTGCTGCTGCTGCTGCTGCTGCTGTTGGGCGTACTGTTGCGCTTGCCGCTGCTGTTGCTGCTGCAGCAACAACGGCTGCAATTGCTTCATCAGCTGCTGCTGTGTCTGCACCTGCGGAATTCCCGGCTGCCCCTGTTGCCCCTGTTGCTGCTGCTGCTGCTGTTGCTGTTGTTGCTGCTGCTGCCGATGTTGTTGCTGCTGCTGCTGTTGCTGCTGCATCTGTTGCTGGATCTGTTGTTGCTGCTGAAGCTGCTGTTGCTGCCGTTGCTGCAGCTGTTGCTGAGTCGCTTGCGTCGGGTGCTGCGGCGGTGAAAGGAAGCTTCCCGGGGCTTGCACCCCCTGCTGCTGCTGCAGAGCTTGCATCTGCTGCGTTGATTGCGGCGGCTGCTGCGGCGGTATTCTCGATGTCAATGGTGGCGTTTGGTGCTGCAGCTGCTGTGGCTGCTGTTGCGCCTGCTGCTGCGCCGTTCCCTGCACTGGCCGAATGGCTATGGGCCTCGGCTGCTGGTGCACGCGAGGAGGCAGAGGGTGCAGCAACGACGGCTTCTGCGGCGTGTGCTGCTGCTGCTGCTGCGCCTGGGGTTGTGAGATCTGTTGCTGCATCGGCGGTTGACCCGCCTGCTGCTGCGACTGCATTAATGACTGCTGCTGTCCTTGCAGGTGCTGCTGCCTTTGAGTTTGCAGCGCCTGCTGCACCTGCTGCGGGGAAGGCTGCGGCGACACGGACGCTTGACCAGGCGCCAGTTGCGGGGAAGGGGCAGATTGTAGCGGCGGCTGAGGCGTTACCCGCGCGGACATCACCTGCGCAATCCGCGGAACTCTACTGGGCGCAGGCGCAACAGGCCGCGAGGCGGAAGTTTGCGAAATCGCGGGGTTCCCGCTTGCGCCAGATGCGATGGCGGAACTAAATTGCGCTGCCTGATGGTTTGGGGAAATGAGTCCCGCTTGCGAGATAGTCGGGGGCAGAACGGAGGACGGGGCGAGGAAGGACGAGAGTAAGGGTGGTTGAGAGGGAAGTGTGGAGGCGAGAAGAGAATTTCCTGGTAGGGAGGGATTAGAATGTCCGTCCATGGAAGTAACCAGATTCAATCAGAAGGGATTAAAAGATACCCTATGCTGGTAAAAACGCGACTTCTGCTGTAACGAAAGCTGATCCGCTGCCGATTTCGTCGATCTGTCGTCAAATGTCGTTATTCAAACTGCTGCTGCTCGCTTGGGAAAAAAATCGACCCTTCGGATGCGGCCGTAATCTAGCGACGGCGACAGACGCGGAGACTAATGCGATCGAAATACGTGTGCTGCGCCAGGGGCGTAAACGGAAACTACCGGCTATCGTGAACGCAAAGGGAATGCTGACGGTAGAGGTAAGGGGACTCCGCGGGGCTACTTGACTGAAACCACGGATGGTGCTACCCTAATGCACGACGACTATTATCTGCGAAAGAACGTCGAACAAGAACTACCGCTTTAAGCTACGCAGTCTTGGTCTCCAACCTCGCCGCAAATAACAGACGACGATCCACGTGGCGACGACGACGATCTAGAAGGAACACCTGCGCAAGGACAAGGGAAGACGCAGCAAATGGGAGGAGAAACAGAATGGAAGTAAGCTTAACGACATGGTTGAGAAACACACGAAACAACATGGCTGAAGCAGCGATGCGACGATAAACTTGACGTAATTATGCAAGTTAACTAGACGCTAGGGGCCAGTGTTGATAGTGACCAGTTTAATCCTAACGAGCAAGGCAAGTGCAGAGACGATAAGAAAACTATAGGAGCAGCGACGGTGAACGGGGGAAACTCGAGGAATAAGAGGGGAAGCAGCCTAAGTCACGGATCATGTTGGTTTCGAACGATTGACGACTAAAACGACACGAGAGACGAGACGGCGGAACCCAAGCTAAGCAACTACGCGAGCGATCGATTAGGTCTAAACACCAAGTGCACAGGGGATAGCGGCGGCGAGTTATAAAAGCAGGGAAGCGAACAGGCGAGTGGGGAGAGGTGCTCAGTGTTGTTGACTGAACCTGGTGGGTTGGGCGGTTCGAGCCACGTCGGACATGGAGGGTGGAGCACAGCCGTGGGCGTGCGAGTGCGACTGCGAGTGACGATGGAGCGGAGGGAGCGGCAGGCAGCAGCAAGAGGCTATAGCTGAGGACAGCTGCACGAGCAGCAGCGGAACCCTCTAAAAGATGACTGCCTCCTTTTATCTGACAACCCGACCTGCTGCCCACCTTGAGGGTTTTACCACCTCAAACCATTCCCAAGGCCTGGAAAGTTTCGGCTGAGTCGTTGGAGATGCATTGTCGACCGTCGATAGACTTTCGATCTGCCCGGGGGTCTTGACATCTACAGTGATCAGCGAAAAAGCGCCCAGCTCGTTGGAGTGAATATCCGTCAGCTCGTGGATGTGTGTTCTTCGCGTTGTTCGTCTGTTACCCGATAACCTACACTATACGAGAGTTGACTAAACGCTGAATTCTATCACATGAGTGATCGCTTCTGCAAAAGCACACCTAGGTATGTGTCTTTATACCAAGCCTAATGATAGCACATCATTCATACCAGAAAACTAACATGCACTTAGTAACAGACCTTATTGGTCTAACCTAGTTGTGTTATCTACGTGGTGGAGCCATAAATCCCAAGGCATCATATGTGTCCCTTAGTGTGCGGTCAGCGATCTCATTGGCTCGTGCTGCTCCCCCTGCCAGTACTTCATCCAGATATGCTGGATCTGCTGTCACCTCCTCGTACCGTTTCTGGTAAATGCAAATGCCGATTAGGAAACGTGCAGTTGCATATAAGGAAAAAAGCGGGAAGGAAGGAAAAGGGGGGAAGGGCGGGAAGAGGTGAGGGTTTGGGGGGAGGGGTAAGGCTCAGAGGCTCAGGATGCAGTGAATGATTCTTTCATAAGTACACGAAGACTAGAAGGCAACGATGCGAGACAATTTGTACTAAAACAGGTGGACACATGGCTTGCCTGGATTGGCTCTAGGTGAGCGACAAGGGCGTCTGCAAGCAGCGGCTTGAACTGCCCCCAGCTCAGCGCCCCCACCTCCTGCTCCACCTCCTGGCTTGCATCAAGGTGTTGGGTCGTGAGAGAAAGGGCCAGAAAGATGGGGGAGCAAGGAGAGAGAGGCCAGGAAAGAGGGAGTTTGGGGAGTGACACTGGGCATTGAAGGCAGTGTGCAATGACGAATGTCCTCCACTTGCTAGCTTCCAGTCACCCTCTACCACCTCCGTTTTCTCCCTCCCCTACCCATCAATCCCCAACCCCCCTCTCAGCCCTTGCCTCTGCCCACTGGACTTACCTCTTTGGTTTTCCCGGTGACGATCTGGTAGATGGACAGCAGGTTCTGGCACTCGGGGCGCTCTGGATTGCCAAACTCCATGCTGCACGGGGATGGTTGAGTGAGGCGGTGCCACGGGGAGTGGAGAGAGGGAGGGGCAGTGAAGCGAGGAGGAAGATGAAGGTGCGAATGTGCACAGCACCTCAGTGTGGTGCGCAAGGGTAGAAGAGGGAAAACGGGTGACCTGAACTCCATTCCCCCCCTCAACCCCCACCTTCCCCCCTCTTCTCCTTCCTACACGGGTAAAACCCGCACAGGGAAAGCCCGCACGGGGAGAGCCCGCACGGGGAGAGCCCGCATAGGGAAATCCCGCATAGGGAGAGCTCTCCATTCCACCAGTCCCACCTTCCCACGGCCCCCACATCAGAACACCAGCTTCTCATCGATGCCCTCTCTCACCGAACCACCCTTGCTCACCCAGTGAAGCTGTCCGTCTTGCAGCGCTTGATCTTGTTGGCTATCACCTGCACTCAGCACATCGGCGAGGGAGAATTCGGGGGGGCGGCGGAGTGGTGAGTAGTGGCTGTCTGGGTGGAACTGGAGCTGAGAAGGATGGGCGAGGAGGGAAGGTTATGGATGCTGCGAGCAGTAGAGGTGGGGTGAGTGGAGCGGGAAAGCATGAATGAGGAAGCAAGGAGAACAGAAAAGAAGCAGGACGAGTGAGTGGAGGAAGGGAGGGCGAAGATGAAAAGAGTAGGCAAGGAGAGGTGGTGATTCGGGACAGACGACAGTACGCACTTGAGGGGGGTCGAGCAGGTTGATTCGGGACATGTCCGAGGGGGCAGACTTGGACATCTGCACGCATGGTATGGTATGGTGGTGCACGGAAGGGGTTGGAGCACGAGAGTGGAGGTGAGAGGGGCTGTGAACTGGGGAGGGGAGTTCAAGTGCGCATGTAAACATGCGCGTGGCATGAAAATGGGATACTGATGGCCTCTTGAGTAGAAATACGGGCAGGATGACAAGTGATTCTGCATGGTATGAGCCTGTGTACTGGCAGAGAAACCCGTCATGAATTGCTGATGTGAAATGGAAGGGGCAGGGAAGATAGACATAGAGAGTTGGACTGTTTACCTTGGAAGTGCCATCTGTGAGCGACATGATGCGAGCCCCAGCAGGGGGGATCATGGCCTCTGGCACCTTGAACACCCTGCCGCCCCGCCTGTGCACGGAGGGAAGAAGGGCAACAGCCGGCAATGGGGGGAGAGCAGAAGCTGCCTTACTATTCACTGAGCAGACTTGCAGAGCAGCGTGCGTGGGGAGGGGTAAAGCTCCATGCAATGCACGTGTGGGCGTGCGGTGTGGAGAAGGAGAAGATACATGAGCTCGTGTTGGGGTGTGGTTTATAGCCAAGGGCCATGCATACGATGCGAGTGGGGTTGTGGTTTACAGAGGCCCAATGCACAAGCGTGTGGAGTGGAACAGGGGGCGTACCCTCCGCGCTTCTTCCACTTGCGGCCGCCATAAAGGTTGTTGATCCGCGCTGCCACGTCTCTGGTGAGCTCCAGATGCTGCCTCTGGTCCTCGCCCACTGGCACCACGTCACACTGCACGTGGCAGGCATGCAACACACATGAGGCATGCACGCATGGCACGCACACATGGCACGCACGCATGGCACGCACGCATGGCACGCACACATGGCAAGGCAAAGAGAGATGAGGAAATTGAGCCATACACCTGGAGAAGCACAAGGGCAGCAGAGTAACACATGGAGACGCACCTGGTTCGGGAGATTGGCACCTGAAGAAGCACCTGGGCAGCGGAGTGACGAACCTGGTAGAGGAGGATGTCTGCCGCCATGAGGAGAGGGTAGGTGAGCAGCCCTGTTCCCACGTCCTCGCCCTGCATGCATGCAGGGTGACGCAGTGAGAGAAGTTGCGGACATAGGGGGTGCAGCGAGACAGGAAGGTTGGAACCAGTGTGTGCTGTTTAGTGTTATCCAAGCCAAGAGGAGCCTCACAACAGAAGTTTCTCTGACAAATACTACCCACAGTGGTCACGGCATAGGTTACATTACAAGTAGTTGGTTCTGAATGCTCACGGCCATCCATGCAAGCCTTTCTATTGAACTGACTCACAGCTTGTTGACTTTTAAATTGACTCAAAACTCATGGCTTTGCGGGCTTTCTCCTTGAACTGAATCATCTTGTCGCTCAAAAGTGCAACAGCTTTGCATGCATTCTTCGTGAACTAAAACATTTTGCCGAGACACAGCTTGATGGCGTTCGGCTAACTTCAAGACTCACCGCCTTGCGCGCTTTCTCCTTGAACTGAATCATCTTATTGAGCCATGACATGGGCGTTGTGCACGACAGCAGCCACGTCAGCTCCGCGTGCGCTCGCACGTGCGACTGCACAAACACGGTGGCCTTGGATGGGTCCACCCCGCACGCCAGGTACATGGCTGCTGCCGTGCATGATGAGCGTGATAGGTCGTCCACGTCATGGGGTAGGGTGATCTGCGGCGCGGTGCGGGCAGGCAGGGAGGGGTCAGAGCAGGTTGATACAAAAGGTCTCATGGCAGCACAAACACCGCCGCCTTGGATGGGTCCACCCCGCATGCCAGGTACATTGCTGCTGCCGTGCGCTAGCTTGTCTGCATCGTGGAGTCGGGTAATCTGCAGGTGGGGAGAAAAGGAGGAATGATGGAATTTTGCGGCGGATAGGAGTGAATCAGGACGAGAGAAGGAGATGACGATAAGAAAGAGCAGGATGGGAGTTGGGCAATGGGTAGATTGATGAGGGAAGGGACACAGGTTGGAGAGGAAGAATGGGGGCGTGGGACAGGGAATGAGAAAGCTAGCTAGTCAATGAGGGTGGGGAGTCCTGGAATCAGAAAGAGAGCAACAGCGCGTTTCTCTTCCCTTTTGCAGCAATATTTGCGATGAGGTCCTGAGGGCAAGGGCACGCAGGGATGATGATGCAACGCTTATTGCAAGGAGAACCTTTTTGCAGCGCTTACTGCGAAGAAGTGTCTGTAGCAGCACTTACTGCGTGCAGGTCGACCACGAAGAGGAAGGTGTCACACTCGTCCTGCACTCACACACACACACACACATGCATTGTCGCATACGCATGATATGCCATGCCATGCCGTGTCACACCACGCCACACCATGAATTAGCAATAAGAGGGAGAGATTGATGGAGTTTTGTCGTCAAGGCACACCACGCAGACATGACCAGAGCTACAAACGTTTGTCACTCCGGAACAGAGAAGTTTTCATAATGAAGTTAACTCCTGTATACTCCATGGCTTCAGGCTCCAGCTAATGGCTGACGCACCTGCAGCGGGATCCAGTTCTTGATTGCGCCCAAGTAGTTTCCCAAATGAATGCTTCCCGTCGGCTGGACGCCTGAAACGAGACGCTTTCTGAGGAGTACAAACGAGAAGGAACAAGCGGAGGAGAAAACGCGGGGACTAGCTCACGCGCAACGCTCAGTGCGGTATCAAATCGCATTCAGACACAACGGTTCACAAGACGAACCCAAAGCAGCAACCAAGACGGATTTCGAGAATTCCTCGAAAACCGGCTGTATTTTTGCCACGTACTGAAGCATTGCCTGCAGCCGACCTACTCCAACGCCCTTCGCTCTCTCACGGTCTCACCTCACAGCAGCCTTCCCCTCGCTTGTTCCCGCTCCGCCAGACTCGGCTGAAACGGTCGGCTCAGCTGCTCCCTTCGCGGGAGATGCCTCTGCGACGGACACACCGCTGCCCTCCGCGCTCGACGCCGCTGCTCTTATCGACAAGCAGAGGGATCTAGAACCGGTTAATTTGAGGGTTACGGGGCCGTGGCGTGGAACAGGGGTTATAGACTGTGTGGATGAAAGGAACGGTCTAGATGATAGTAGGAGAGACTGATAGTGCGGTGAACGTGGAAGCCTTGAAACTAATCTTCTAGGCGACGACGTTAATGCGGCAGTAGCAGGCGACAGTGATGTGGCTGCCGATTTGATGGCTCCGAGACGGAATGGCGAGCGAAGCGCAAACATGGCTGGCAAGCGGTGCAGCCGGCCAAGAACAAGCATTCAGTGCAAGAGATGTAGCTCCGATCGCCTCCTGGCCTAACGATGCTGAAGCAGCAAACTGAAGCCTAGCCTACTAAAGCTCACTTCTGCTAGAGAAAATGCCGTCGAGGCTCCCAAGGCTGTTCGCCCAGCGAGCGACACAACATGTACGTCGCAGGAGCTCCTAACGCGACCCAGCATTGGGATTGTCCGCCCCTGGTGAGATTGTGGTGGTGAGCCATTCGCCCACGTGTCAATCCATGTGACCACATTTTGCGTCCGCGACATAGAGGAAACCACAAGTGAAACGAGGACTAATGTATCTGATTCAAGAAATGGTCATTACCAATCTGTGCTGCCTAATTGTGGAGTTTTGCAGTAAAAACAACAAAGCCCTAGCTGCAACTCTGTATATATATATATATATATGTTAAAAAAAAGCTTGAGACAGTTTGGGAAACTTTGGACCAGGCACGGGATTAAACCAGACGCGCGATTGGCCAGGCACACAATAGGACCAAGCGGAGGAAAAGAGGTTGATGCCGGTGTGCAAGCGAGAGGAGGAAGGCATAAGGGTGTGGCAATAAGAGGTGAGGCAGATCAGATGCTACAGATCAGGAGTGCCAGTCATACAGGTGAATTTCATTTTAGAGCAGTGTGCATGCACCTACTATAGCATACTGGTAAATGTGAACTAGATAGCACATCTTGTGTTGACGAAGAGACGGGAAGGAGAATAGGGTTGCCAGGATTATGCGAGAAGATGGATTCGAGGCTATCTATAAGCACCATAATTGCTTCCACTATTGCCGTTTGTGCTTGTGTTGGCTCCTCTTCCGAAGGGATCTCTGCACATCACCCAGTACACGAACGCACTGTAACAGACAAGATACACCAATCGAGCTTCTGAATGCACAAATCTAAAATCACCACAACTGCTGGCCCATCAGCAGCAGGAGAATGTGCCAGCTCACCCAGAACAGACGACTTTCCATTCGCCTCCACGACTGCTGGTCCAGCAGCAGCAGCAGCTGCACTCGGTCCATCTCCCACCCTCATTACCTTTTCACTCTGAGCCCTCCTCATAGCAGGACTCGCCATACTGTCCGCACCACCCCCAGCACCGCCGCCACCAGCACCAACAGCAGCAGCAGCAGCAGCAGCAGCAACGGCAGCACTGCCCTTGGGTGTCAAAGCAGGAGGAGATGAGGGGGCCATTAGACTCGGCATGTCCCCACTCACCGCCAGCAGCACCGCCTCCTCCCGTGCTCTTGCTAATACTGGTTTTAATATCCCTCTGCTACCATCCCCCCCATCCCCTGCTGCTGCTGCACCTGCTCCTCCTGCGCCTTCCCTGGTTTCGTCTAGACTTAAGGAGGAAGGGAGGGGGAGCGGGAAGTTGAGGAAGGGGGCTTGGAGGAAGAGGAGTCAAAAGGGCCATCCAGACACCACAAAGAGCTGCGTGACGTCGCTGCTGCCGACCGTGGCGACGCCAGGGAAGAGGGCGAAGGTCATGAGGGGCTCGGGGAGGCACTTGAGGTATGCCAGCAGCAGCTGCTCCACGTCTAGGGGACTGGTGTCTGGTGGGATGTCCGCATCGGGGTCTGGTTTCATAGGGGTTGGATGCGGTGGAGAGTGGAAGAGTGGGAGAGGGGGAGCAGGGGAGCAGGCAAGGGGAGAGCGGAGTGGAGATGAGCTGGCAGCGGGGTTGGGACGAGGGGAGAGTGGGGATAATTGAGCAAAAAGCAGAGGGGAAATGAGGGATGAGTGGTAATAAGATGATATGGAAGCGAGGGGGGGGGGGGGTGGGTGGGTGGGTGGGGGGGGTTGTGGGGGAAATGGAGGGGAGATGAGATGACAGCGGATTGGGACGAGGGGAGAATTGAGCAAAGAGCAGAGGGGAAACGAGGGATGAGTGGTAACGAGATGCGACAAAAGCGGGAGGAAAAGGGGGGGGGGGGGGGGGGGGGAGACGAGGCAAGAGCGGGGAGGCGGAGGGGGGGGGGGAAAGAGGAGGTGGGGGAAGGGAGGGGAAAGATGGGGAGAATTGAGTGAAGAACAGAGGAGACATGAGGGGTGAGTGGTAAGGAGATGAGATGAAACTGGGGAAAAGAGCGGGGAGGGGGAGGGGGGGGAAGAAGGGGGAAGATGGGGATAATTGAAGGGGTGATGAGGGGTGATGAGGTGGGGTGAGATGAGGGGTGAGCGGTAAGGAGGTGGGGACGGAGCGGACGAGCCGGGGGAACGAGGGGAGAGCGGAAGAAGATGAAAAATACCCTCCCCACCCAACCGAAATCCCGCCACCTCCCCCTTCCCCCCCCCCCCCCCCCTCCCCCCCTCTCCCCCTCGCCCCCAAACCTCCCTTACTGTTCTCCTTACCGTTTTTTACGTCTTGCGTCGTAAACGTCCGGTTCAGTCCGGTTCAATGTGACTACTCTTGATCTCCTAAGGAAATCGAATAGGCACCGAAGGTATTAACGCGTCCGCGAATGTCCGCAATGTCCGCAAATCGATACTGGAAATATGTCCGCAAATCGATAATGTGCTTACACATCTATGTGTCCGCGATTGAAACTAATCCGTGCGCAAACGAACGAACAGAAATCGCAGGACAGGCTACAGTACAAACATTCGAAGCACGACAGTGGCGACATTGAAGCTAGCGATACTTGCTTAGTACTTACTTACTTTGGCGGCTCCTTCTGTGCCCGAATAATAGTCTACGGCTAATAAACGCGACTGACACTATCTACGGCGCCAAGCCCGAATTTAAGCTTAGATCTGAGAAGCCACGCGGGATAAAAACAAGAGAAGCGCTGGTAAAGCTTAGATCTAACAGCGATTGGAAACCTAGAAATGCTAGACGCGACAGGCAGAGGTGAATCACGGAACCGAACTCAAGTAAGGATGTAACGAGGTTGATAACACACGGAGGTAGTTGTGCGAAGGTGTCTAAACCACCTGAATTCCTACTGGCTCACGGCGCAACGTTGTCACCTAAAAGCACCATCTTTTAGAAACATGGCCAACTAAAAACATCGCCACCCAAGTACATAGTGATGTAAGAAACACTTCACGCATGTCATCATATGATAGCTACATGTTAGTCGCCACACACGTCTCAGCTGCTTTTTGCTTGTGGGCAAGATCGGTGGCATTTGGGTTCAACAGAGCTTGCAACGAGGCCGCCAGGAGATTGCTGCCAGCAATAAAGGGATGGGGAACACATGGAGGGGAAAAATGTAATGATGTGAGGAGAGGAACGGGTGACGAAAAGCTAAGGTAGAGGAAGGACGAGGTGGGGCAACTACATAGTATCAGGTGGGTGGATCTTTTTCAGAAGCAACAAGGAATCTCACATTCGGAAACTGGATTGGCAAGGTGTGCAGAGGCTTACTTAACGCGAAGCCAGGGGGCAGGCGGTGCAATGGCCCTTGCATGCATGTCCATGTTCGGAGCAGCAGATGCAGTGGTGGGGGAGGGAGGTGAGGGGGCATGGAGGCTCGTGGCAGGGGGGAGGGGAAGAGTGAGGTGGCGGATGAAGTGCGTGAAGCACGCCTGTAGGGCATCGCTGCTCTGCTGCTCCGCTGGTGCAGGTGGGAAGGAGGCAGGGGAGGAGGCACATGGGAAGGGAGAATGGGGGGAGAGGCTCAGCAGGAAAAGGGAGGGAAGACGCACAAGGATGGATAGATGAGCGCCAGGAACATGAGAGATGGTGCTTGATGCAGCAACAGATGACTGGCTTCAAAACGGCTGAGATTGTAGAGGTCACAGGGCTATGAGTCTCATGGTGTGAGGGGCACAAGAAGCGGGTGGTTACCGCAAGGGCTGAGGGAGAAGCAGAGGCCGACAGTGGAGCCGTGTGGGGCTGTGGGCGCGCAGGTGCGGTGCATGTGGACAGCGTGGTTGTGGGTGAGAAGTGATGCCCTGTGGGGGGAGGGGTGGGGAATGGATGGTGGCATTGAAGACATGCGAGTTATGCTATGTGGCATGATATGTGGTATGATATGTGGTATGATATGTGGCATGATATGTGGCATGATATGTGGCATGATATGTGGCATGATATGTGGTATGATATGTGGCATGATATGTGGCATGATATGTGGCACATGATATGTGGTATGATATGTGGTATGATATGTGGCATGATATGTGGCATGATATGTGGCATGATATGTGGCATGATATGTGGCATGATATGTGGCATGATATGTGGCATGATATGTGGCATGATATGTGGCATAATATGTGGCATGATATGTGGCATGATATGTGGCATGATATGTGGCATGATATGTGGCATGATATGTGGCATGATATGTGGCATGATATGTGGCATGATATGTGGCATGATATGTGGCATGATATGTGGCATGATATGTGGCATGATATGTGGCATGATATGTGGCATGATATGTGGTATGATATGTGGCATGATATGTGGTATGATATGTGGCATGATATGTGGTATGATATGTGGCATGATATGTGGTATGATATGTGGCATCATATGTGGTATGATATGTGGCATGATATGTGGTATGATATGTGGCATGATATGTGGTATGATATGTGGCATGATATGTGGTATGATATGTGGCATGATATGTGGCAATGTGATCCGGCATGCAACGCAACATTGCATGCAATGTGGGATGGCAAGGGGTAGTCAATACATGACGGGGAGAGGGGGAGAGGTGGGGTTACCGGGGTTACCTGGAGGAGTGTGGGAAGATGGTGTGCAGGCGGGCCAGGAGCCGGGGCAGTGAGGGGCCTGCAGGGAGGGGCCGCAGCAATGGGGGAGAGACGGGTGCGGGGAGAGGACGAGAGGGAGAATGATGGGCAAGAAAGTGCAGCGAAGGGAGGAGAGGGGGTGAGGTGAATGGGTAGTCATGTGGCTGCAGGCTTGTGAGAGCGCACTGATAACAGCACATCACCCCCTCACCTCCCGTCCCTGCAACCACAAAATGGGCGGCGTTGCTTGTCACCATGTGCGCCATGTTGCCGCCCAGGTCCGGGAACGAGTCTCCCTGAACCTCAAAGCACTGCACGTCCACACCGGGCATGACAGCAGCACACACCACCACCACCACCTCCCGCTCTTCCTCTCCCCTCCCCTCAAGCCCCCCTGTCACACCATCCCCTCTAGATGAAACAGCTCCTCTTGCCGACAGCAACTCATTTCCTTGCAGAGTTTCATTACTTGGCCACATACGCTCCTGAATGGAGTCCGCAAGCCCCTGCAGCTTGTACTGAGGCGCCTCTAAACGCGTCTGCAGGCCCTCTGCAAGCCCCAGAAACCTCCTGGAAGCTGCTTCCAAGCGCTGGGTAACTGCGCCCTCAGCTTGTGCCACGTGGCCCTCTGTGATTGCTCGGATGGACTCAGCAAACGAGTTAGAGGGTTCTGTGAAAGGCGGAGCAGGGAGAGCAGCAGAAGTGGTCACAGGAGAGGCGGCAGAGCTCAACTGGCCGCATTTCAGCTCCCCAGTCACCTCTCCTGCCTCGTGCATCCCCTGCGCGTCGTCCCCGCCCTGCTGCCTGCCCTCCTCGTGCGGGGCAAAAGCAGCCATCTCGCGAATGATGTGGTCAGCGTCTTCAATCAGTTCCAACAGCACCACGCCTTCTATCACCTCCTCTGCTGCTGCCGCCATCACCACCTCCTCCCACTCCAACGCCTCCCCTTCCCCCTCATTCTCACTCTCACCCTCACCATCAGCATCATCCCTGCCGTGGTTCCCCATGCCATGCGCATCGCTACGGCCTATTCTCCCTGCGTGTGCCTCCCCCATGATCTCCCCCTCGCCGCCCCATGGCCCATGCGCCATGCCGCCACCAACCACACACCCAAAGAAGGGAATGTTTTCCCCTCCCGCACTCCCCTCTCCTCCGCCCCCTCCCGCACTCCCCTCTCCTCCGCCCCTTCCCGCACTCCCCTCTCCTCCGCCCTTTCCCCAAGCCCTCTCCACCTCTCGCCCCAGCGCTTCCAGCACAGCACCTGCCTCAGATGCACCTGCCCCAGAAACAAACGCAGCCACCACGGATGGCGAGCCGCCCAGCCTTGCAGCAAGCTCTTTCACTGCCGCAGCCACCGCTGCTGCTGCTGCTGCTGCAGCTGCTTCTCTTGATGCTGTTTCTCTCGATAGTGCTTCTGCTGATGCTGATACTGTAGGTCCACCGATGGAAACACGACACGTGGCAGTCACATACGAGGCTGTGCCGAGAGCAGTCGAGACGCTGCTCTCCTCCAATGCTACAACCGGCACGGCATCTGTATCAGCTACAGATGGTAAGCTGCTGTCTGTAGCAGTAGCACGTGCCGCACTATTACCCACTCTCTCACGCCCACGCCACATGTCACGAGCTGATTGGCTCGTACCGCTAGAAGTGTCACCATTTCGGCAATCCCTAGGATCCGTGGGACTCGATCCGAACGCAAGACCGCTCAAGTAGCCGCTACTACAGTCCACATCGCGATGCCGCATTCCCGCGCCGCCAGTATTATCATGGTAGTGACCAGCACTGCTGATGGCATCAGATCTGCCTGTATTCTCTCTCGGGTTCCCATGGACGTCAGCGTGCCCTGTGGCCGTCGTGACATCCTCTCCCGCCCTGTCTCCGGCGCCTGTGACGGTCAGCCGTCTGTCGAGCCGGTCAAGATGCTCAGTGCCGGCGGAAGTTGGAGTGGAAGGCGATTCTACCGGCGCGTGCGGGGAGCCGTCGGATTGAGTTCGCGTCGAGGGCGCAGTTCCAGAGGCTACCGAAGGGGCGGAGGAGGAAAGAAAACGCGCGCTATTGCGCGGATAGCTGAGCGGGTAATTGTGCAGATACCCGCCCAAGAACAAGCGGTCGACTTCCGCGCGCTCGGCGGGTGACGAGTGAGTGACGCTGCATTCTGGCCGTCCGATCTGCCGGCCACCCGCGAGCAACCGCGACGGCCGACGTGCGTTGCCGGACTCGCCAAGCCTAGCTCCGGACCTAACCGCGCGGATGAGCGCAACGTGCCTCGCCATGGATCCAAGTTCGTGAAGTGGTTGTCCCACGGCAAATGCAGCGAGAAAGCACTAAGGAACGGAAATGTATATCCAGTATTAACAGCCCACGATTTCCACTACGGTATTGCTTTTTGATAAACAATAAAATTAGTGACATGAAGGTTTGAATCAGAAACATACAAGCCACATCAGCTAGTCAATATTCCACCCTATCACGCCCACAGGCATACCTAGCATTAGATTTACTGTTCTACAACATGTCAGTCAACAGAAGCGGATAAACAAACGCAGGCAACTCCTGCTCTCCAACCGAGTCGACATGGAAAGGAGGAGGCCCTCGCATGTTGAGAGCGACAAGAAGAATTGCCGCCGCATGACAATGATGTCAATGTGAGTGCGGCCCAGCCAATCCAATCACCCACCCAGACGCACGGCAATGATGTCATAGCGAGGCGAGCGAGAGACAAGCCACCCACCAGGGCAGCCTCCGTCACTCACCTTTTTCTAAATACCGTGTGTTGTTGCCCATCCTACACCCCTGCCCCTCCAGCTCCTGCTACTGCCCCTCTGCTGCTCCCCCACCAGCCGTGCCAGCACCTGTAGCAGCACCAGCACTGGCAGCAGCCACAGCAGCAGCAGGGGCAGCAGCAGCATTAGTGCCGTTGGCGGTAGACTGAGGAGCAGTTAGGGCAGCACCTCCAGAGGATACTGCCCCTGACGTTGCTGCTGCTGGGGCTGCTGCTGCTTCCACTCCTCCTGCTGCCTTCTGCACTCCCCCTGCTGCCGCCTTGAGAGGCGAAACACCTGCTGCCTTGGCACCAGCAGCAGCAGCAGTGGCAGCAGCAGCAGGGGAATGGGGAGTGGTGGCAGGAGGGCCCCAGGCGAGGGTGAGTGCATCCCCTGATGCCAGCACCCGCCCGTTCATATACGCATACTCCGCTACGGGACGAGACGCAAAGCGCACGCGGACGGCACTGGTCGGCGTGACAGCTGTGCCGCCGCCCTCCACCTCCACGCTCACCACCTCCCCACACGCACTGAAGTGCTCCCAGAGCATGCTCGCCTGTGTGGTGGGCAGGACGAGATAGATCGAAAGGGGCAGAGAATGGAAGGGAGTGAGAAGTGAGAGGGCAGAGAGAGATGCAGACGTGCAATCACCACCTTCCCACACGTGCTCAAGTGATCCCATCCCATAGCATGCTCGCCTGCAAGGTGGCCAGGCAGTTGGGGCAAGGAAGGATTGGCAGACGGGGCAGACGGGGCAGACGGGGCAGATGCTCGCCACCTCCTCGCCGCAAAGACAAGGCAGGGTGACAAGTGATGGGATTAGCATTGGGACCATCAAGATCCCGATTTTGTGTCACCTGCTCTCCTCAGAGTTTAGGGTGAAAAAATGCTTTCAATTGCCCTCAGACAGGCTCGCTCATCTCAGTAATGGCGTCAGGGATGGGCGGTGTGACGCGCAACACCGTGGCGCAATTGTCCAGCTTGAATCTATTCCCCCACGCGCCCCCTGCACCCGCTCCCGCTCCCCTTCCCAGAAGCAAAGCTCTCATTTGCGCTAAGGCTGGCTTGCTCACCTCAGTAATGGCTTCGGGAATAGGCGGTGTGACGCGCACCACAGTGGTGCGATTGTCCAGCTTGAACTTATTCCCCCACGCGCCACCTGCACCCGCTCCCGCCCCCCCTCCCCCTCCGCTCCACCCGTAGTGGTACCCCCCTCCATACCCACCGTACCCGCCCCGCCCTCTCCCTCTGCCGCCCATGTAAGGTGCGTGGCCGGCAGGGGAGTGAGAGGAATAGGGAGCGCCGGGAGGCGCGCCCACTGCTTTGCCCCCTGCTGCTGCCGCTACCGCTGCTGCTCCTGCTGCTGCTCCCCCCGCCCCTGTTGCTCCTGCCCCCACACGTGCTGCCCCAGCGTCACCTGCAGTGGCACCTGCAGCAGGGGTGGCAGTGCTGCCTGCTGCTGCCTGTGCTGCACTTGCTCCGGCTGCTGGAGAAACACCTGAAGCAGCACCTGGTGATGCACCTGGTGCAGCAGCGGCAGGGGACTGCTTCTGTTGACTAGCCTCTTTGAGTCGCTCCAGGTACAGCCGGCGCTTCTCAATCTGCTCCTTCAGCAGCGCCTCCTTCTTCTTCTGAATCGCTCTCAACTCCTCCAACTTTGCCTTTGCCTTTGCTGCTGCCTCTGCTGGGTCAACTGCTGCTGCAGCTGCTGCTGTTCCCCCCACTGCACTCGCCCCACCCTTGCCAGCACTAGCATCACCCTTGCCGCTCCCTTTCCCGCCCTCCAACCCCGTCCCTGCTCCCGCCGAACCTTCTCCCGGGCCTCCTTCCCCTGCCGAACCAGCCGCAGCAGCCGCTGCAGCGGCAGTCGCCGCAGCCGCAGCAGCAGCCGAAGCAGGATCAGGCTGCAGATCAAAGTTAGCCCAGAACACCTTGATAAACCTGTTACCCAGCACCGCATCTGGTGCTGCTATGGCCGCTGCCGCATGCTCCCTCGCACCCAGCTGCACAAACGCACGGCCCTTGTCCCCATGCACCTTAATATCCACCACGGGACCAAACTTAGAGAAGTGCTTGATGAGAGACGCCTGCAGGCCCTTGCCTTCCGTGAGCTCTGACGGAATGCCGTTCACAAAGACCGTCATCTGGGCTTTTTGGTCGGGGTTCCGCTCGTTGCCTCCCCCACGGCCTCTCCCGCCGCCCATGCCCCCCCCCCCCTTCCTCTTCCGCCCCAGTCCCCTCTGCCCCCCCGCCCAGGCTGCCCTTGCGCCCCCTGCCAGCCCCCTTCCCCTGGTGCTCCTCTCCTCTCATACCCGCCTGGCCCCATGCCCGGTCCCATGCCCTGCCCCATGCCCTGCCCTTCCTCCCCAGCGCCATTCCCTCCAAACTCTGGCCCCATTCCACCCCCGAAATTCCCGGGGAACTGCGGATTGTACCCCATGTTGAATCCCCCATCAGGAGTGTATTCCATCCCCACGTCCCCGCCTATTGCCCCCATCGCCCCATCCCCACCACCTGCCCTCCTCCGCCCCTCCCACCTGCACCTACAGGCCCAATCCGGTCCCACACGCTCACCTCCCCAGGCGCACCCCGCCTGCCTCCCTGCATGCGCCCATTCCCGACCGCCCCATCGCCCCCATACACCCTCACTTCCCTCATCCCCTTGGCCCTCTTGGAATCATGCACCCATAGAGCCTCGTCTGGGTCGTAATGTTCACCCTCGTCTGCCATCACTCCTCCCCCGCCATCCACTGCTGCCGATACCCCACCCCCTCCTGCTCCTCCCCCCCTTCCCCTGCCCCACTCTCGCCTCCTCCTCGCCCCCCCGCTTCCCCTCCTCTCCCTCTGCCTCCTCTGCCGCCTTCCACTCTCGGCCGGCGGGTGCCGGCCAGCTGGCCGGACGGCGGCTGGGCGGCCGAGTTTGGCGGCATGCCGAGGGATTGTGGAGGGAGAGGAAGGTTGAGCTGCTGCAGGGACTGGAGAGGGGTGACAGGGGTGGGCGGAAAGGGGAAGGGGGTGCGTGGTTGAAGAGAGGAACGGACGCAAGGAGAAGATGAGACGATGGAGAGAGATGGAGACTAAGGATGGATACTGAGATGAAAGAGTGCGTGCAAGTAAGGTCTGCATGCTGCCTCATCTCACCCATGTGCCTCCCTGTCACTTGTGCTGCTAACCTGCACGCCCTCCGCCTCTCTGCACACCTACACACCCCTCCGTCTCACCTGCATGTCTTCCACAACGATGCGGTAGTTGCCATGGTCGAGCGGACACAGGTCGCCCTTCAGACAGAACCCCTTCTCCTCAAAGTCAGGGCACCGCGCGCGCTTCCCCTTGGGCCCCCCCGGACCTGCTCCCCCTCCGCCCCCCATTCCTGCACCCACTTCCGCGCCTGGTCCAGCCCCGCCCGCTCCCCCTCCGCCTGCGCCCATCCTTCCTCCGCCCATCCCCGGCATCCCTCCCCCGCCCCCGCCCCCTGGGAACATTCCAAACCCCGGTCCCCCTGCGCCGAACCCTGGTCTGATAAGCCCCGGAGCCCCTCCCCCGCCCCTCCCGGGGAAGAACCCCCTCCCCATGCCCCCGCCCATGCCGTTCCCCATGCCCGGTCCTGCCCCTGCGATCCCCGCGCCAGGCATAGGCGCACCAGGGAGACCGGGGGGAGGGATCCCAGGCCCGACCCGTCCGGGTAACATACCAGGCATTCCGCCGCCCGCGCCCCCCATGCCCCACTGCTCCCCCCCCATGCCCCTCCCCGGGCCCCCATCAAAGCGCCCAGGCATGCCCCTGAGGATGCCGCCACGGCCCCCCATTCCCCCCGGCATTCCCCCCATGGGGAACCGCGGCATGCCCATTTGTGGGCCTAGAATCGGCTGCCCAGGACCAGGTCCCCCCACGCGGGGAAAGTCCCGCCCCATGGGCCCGCCCCTTCCGCCCATGCCGCTCCCATCCCCCGGCCTGAAGGAACGGGGGCCGTCGCGGCTGCGGAACGATCTGCCTGCGCCACCCCCGCTAAAGTCACCTCCTCTTCTATCCCGCGCGCCCTCGAGGCGCGAGTGCACGCTACCGCGCCCTTCCGCGGGATCTCTGCTGCGCCCTCCTTCCCCTGCCGCGACCTCGTCGCGGAACGTGCGCTCGCCGCCTCTGCGCCTGTGCTTGTGGTTCCTATCGTCGTCATCGTCGCTCGATTCGTCCTCCTCGTGCCGCTTCCGCCGCCCTTCCTCCTCCTCCCGCTCCTCCCCGCCTGCTTCCGCCCTCTCCTCCGCCTCCGCTTCAACCGCGGGATAAGGTTCCCTCTCGCCCCTCTCCCCGACTTTACCATCTTCGTCCCGCTCCTTCTCCTCATCGCCCGATGCCCTCTCTCTCACCCCCCTCTCTCGCGACGTGCCACTTCTCTTTCCCCCTCTCCCCCTACCCCCCTCCTCATCCGCAACCCGCTGCCCGCCATCTCCCCGCCGACCTCCGCTCCTCCCTCCGCCTCGTCCCCCGTCCCTCGCAGACTCATTCGTTTCCGCGGGTTCCGCGTCGTCCCCCCGGCTGCGCTTCTTGTCCGCGTCGTCGTCTGCCCCAGCGTCCTCCTCCTCCGCGTCTTCTAGCGAGATCTCCCCGCGCTCGAGGGCGTCGAACAGCTTCGCTACAAAACCCTCGGTTTCTGAAACCCGTATATGAGGAAACGAAGAGGAGAAACATGTTGCGGAACAAAATAGGGGGATAACTAACGGCAAAAGACAGGCTTCCGTTGATTATTCGCATTACAAGGGATGACCCTCCAGTGCTAATTGAATCAATGGCAAAGTCAGGCACACAACCCCGCTTTCTTCATGAAACAAGCTAGAGCATCAAACAGGAAAATCTCCAATCTCCTGCAGGCTGCAATGAAGCAAGCGACGACGCGAGCGAACAAGTCGATGGCACTTGACGACAAATTAGGCCGTAGCTACAAACTAGGCGCGACGGTAAATGCGAAGAACCGCGCGCGCGAGTAGTTGCCTGCGACGCACCTTCCGTGCAAAAGTCTTGCAGGTGATACAGGCCAGGCAGGAACATGATGTCCCAGGGACGGCCATTCCACAGGGAAGACGTGCAATTTATCAACGTTTGCGAAAGATCTTCATCATGGGTTGCGCGCGACGTACCGTCGGTGAGGAAATCCTGGAGCTGGTCGAGGCAGAGGCGGCGCAACTCGTCGTGCGGCTTGCTGTTCCTCAGCAGCGCCACCACGTAGTTCGCCAGCAGCGCCGGATCCGCCTCCGATCTGCGCGCGCTCGCAATGGAGGTACACAGCCACGGGCCACGGCAGGGAAGCAGACAATTAGGGTTTCGATGCTGCGAAGGACGTGAAAAATGAGATCTGAATGCGACGTTCTCGAGGCGGAAAGGAATTGGAGGTAACAATTTAGGAGATGATAAGGATTAAGGTCTAGCGTTACTTACATGGGCTTGAGAAGGTCGATCAGAAAGCGTAGGAGCGGAGAGTCCGCTTCCTCCTCCATCGTTAATTAATGATCCGCGGGCCGCTGATCACGACTCGCGACTGGAAGCCGCCTGCAATGAGTAATGTCGTTCTATTCGAACGAGTGCGGAAGCTGGGGCTGCGCGCTATTCCATGCGGAAACTAGAGCAGGACTTGGCATTATCTTGGGCGTTCAGCTGCATAATGGTGGGGAGGGAGAGGCTTTTTCAGGTGGTTGAGGTTGTGCTATATCGGGATTCTCATTTTAGCGAGCCAACCGTCAATACACGCACACCACGATGTGCGGCTCAAATATATTTATGAAACTTGAATTGTACCACCCTCCCTTCCCCCTGTTACATTGTGCTTTCTAGTTCAGCCAGTCCGCCGCTAGGGGAGTTCACAAGCACGTTCTGCCATAGTCCCGTGTCGCTGCCCGTCCCTTCGTGTGGCGGTGAGGCGTGGCATTAGCTTGAGCGTAGTCCCGTTGCTGTAGGTCGTCGGCTTCGCGTATATAGGTCGTGATGGCGTTCCTAATGACGAGCGTTCAAGCAACGCCGTCGCTCCTTTTGACGCGCACCGGCGGAGAGGTGACGTCCTCGTTATTGCGACTCAAATTTCGCACCTTGTCCATCATAAAATCTAAAAATTTTAGTAAAAATGCTGAGATGCATTTCCTTCTTGTGGTGGTTCCCTTTTCTTTCGCCAATCCCGTTTCAGCTCGACGTATCGTCCAGAAATGTCTCTTCACTGGCGACTCGCACGAAGCGGCGCCACGTGGCCACATCCGCTTCTTTCCGCTCGTCAAATTCGCCGCAGCCGTCGCGAAATTCGCAGGACGACCAGCTCCAGCAGCAGCAAGCGGGCCAGGAGGAATCACCTCGCGTGGGGCGCAGAGGCGTGGCTCTCGGCGGGGCTGCCGCCGCGGCTTCCGCCCTCGCCACTTCCGTCGGCGCCTCCCTGCTCCCTGCTGACGTGGCCGAGGCCACGGAGTCGAATTTCGCTGACAGTACGTGCAACAGCCACATGTCTGCCGCACAGCCTCCTGTGTAACTGAATGTACAAGCCTTCGTTATTCCCAATTGTGTGCATTCTGCCCCTCCCTCCCCCTCCCCCTTCCCCAAAACACCCCCTTTTTCTCCCCCTCTCCCCATTTCCCCAACGCCCCTCCATTGTGTGTGTTCGCGTGTGGGGGCATGGCAGTGCCGGCGCTGAGGGGCAAGGACTATGGCAAGAGCCGCATGAAGTATGCCGACTACACTGAAACCGACTCCGGCCTGCAGTACAAGGTGGGGTGCGGTACTGAAATGTGGGGTGCGGTGGGTGCGGTGGGCAGGCCAAGGTGGGGCACGGTGGGCATTGCAAGGTGCTGTGCTATACTGTGTTGTGTATGCCTTGAAACGTACTTATCATCACAGTTCTGTGGCCACATGCATGGTTAAGTGTGCTCCATGAGTTGTGCGTCTATGTGGGTGGTTATACATGCACGTGACGTGAATGAGTGGTGGTTGTGTGGAGGAGTCAGTGTGTTCTGCCCCGATGGGAGATGCATGGATAACGTCATGATGCTTCCCTTCCGTGCACCACCCACCAGGACTTGAGGGAGGGCACGGGGCCAGCCCCCCAACCAGGCGACCTCGTTGTCGTGAGTGCTGCTCTGCTGCCCCGCTTATGCTCTCTGCTTTCCATGCCACATGTGCTGCCATATTTGCCATGCCTTATGTCATGCCAGATCTTGCCAAGCCATTTGCCATGCCATACCCGGCCATTGCCCCTCCCCACCCTGTGCCCCCCACCCCACCTCCTCCCCAGGTGGACTGGGCGGGGTTCACCATCGGGTACTACGGCCGCATCTTTGAGGCGCGCAACAAGCCCAAGGGCGGCTCCTTTGAGGTGCCGTGGGGGGGGAGGTTTGGAACTCTCTTTTGGAACTTGCAACGTTGAACGGGGTGCGGTTGAGGGCGAGGGGCTGCCACGGCTTTTCGTAGGCATGCCTTCATGTTAAAGCGCCACTCTCGGCTTGAGCTGATGCTTTCCTCCTCCCTGCTCGTCTGCTCCTCTGTGTGTATGTGGTGTGCGCAGGGCAACGAGAAGGATTTCTTCCGCTACCGTGTCGGCCAAGGGGAGGTGCGTGCTGCCACTCCCCCGCCCCTGTGCTGCTATGCGCGCACCGCATGATGCTGCCACTCCCCCGCCCCTGTGCTGCTATGCGCGCACCGCATGATGCTGCCACTCCCCCGCCCCTGTGCTGCTATGCGCGCACCGCATGATGCTGCCACTCCCCCGCCCCTGTGCTGCTATGCGCGCACCGCATGATGCTGCCACTCCCCCGCCCCTGTGCTGCTATGCGCGCACCGCATGATGCTGCCACTCCCCCGCCCCTGTGCTGCTATGCGCGCACCGCATGATGCTGCCACTGTTTCTGCCGTGCTCGCCATCACCTCAGTGCCACGATGTGCCATCACCTCAGTGCCACGATTTGCCATCTCGCACATGCACGCGCATTCGTCTCACCCCATGCTCTAACCCACGCGCATCTGTCCACCCGCATGCCTCGTGGGTGCCGGGCATGTGTGTGGCCGTTCCGGGCATGTGTGGCGGTGGCTGGCAGGTCATCCCTGCGTTTGAGGAGGCCGTGGCATCCATGAAGCTGGGGGGAGTGAGGAGGTGAGAATGGGGATGAGGGGGGTTGAAAGGGGGAGCTGGGTAACGGGGTTGAATCGATTCAGTGCCATCCACGCTGTATGGAACGGATGCAGTATGCATGGTGCCATGGACCCGATTTACGCTTAACAGTACCGCTCTTTTCCCACAATACATGCCTCCCCTTGCCATGCCTCATCTACGGTGCACTGTGCACCAATGACTTGGAACCCCTCCATTCACCAGGATCATCGTGCCTCATGTGCTGTGCTGTGCACTGTTCGCTGCACCCACCAGGATCATAGTGCCTCCGGAGATAGGCTATCCAGACAACAACTTCAACAAGCAAGGACCCAAACCCACTACCTTCTCCGTCAGTGCCCTCCTCTGCACCCACACGCACTGCACCCACACCCCCTGCACCCACACCCCCTGCACCCACAACCCCTGCACCCACACCCCCTGCACCCACACCCCCTGCACCTATCGCCGCAACAGTCCTCACTCTCACTCACTCCTGCTGTTTCCAGCTTGTGTTGGCCCACCTAGCTTCACTTCACTCTGCCATTGTTCTCCTGTGCATTGCATTGCTGTGTACTGCCAGGGCCAACGCGCGTTGGACTTTGTGCTCAAGAACCAGGGGCTCATCGACAAGACGCTTCTCTTTGACATCGAGCTGCTCAAAATCGTCCCCACCTAGCTAGCACCTCCCCTGGGTACTCTCTTTCTGTCACCTCCCCAGCTGGCTAGCACCCCCCTCCCCCAGTTACCGTGGAACCATTCCCAATGAGCTCAATTCTCGACGTTTCTGCCATCCAGGAATGAACACGTTATGGCCCAAATGGTCGTTAACTCGTTGTATGGAGTAATGTATTTACAGCTTCACCCAGCCTTCGCCACCGTTGCCAGTTGAATGAGATGAGAGCACAGTCAGATCAAGTAGCATTCCGGTACCAATCCAAACGTTGTTGAGTTGATTGAGGTGCGACACTTCACAGTTAGGTACATTATGTTGCGGTGTTGGCTGGTTGGGGGGAGATAGGGCTCTGGAATCTTCCAAATCTTCCACTAATCCTGTGCATGCAGAGCTCTCCCTTGCTGTTTCACATTCGTGGATAAGGATTATATTTGGAAGAACAATGGGGACAGCAGGACAAGTGCAGTGAAAGCATGCAAGGTGTGAGTTGCATCATAAGATGGTTACAAGAGGGGACGACCGTGCGGTGGCAAGCACAGCATCAACCACAGCAGTCCATCCCTCCCCCCTGGCATCTAAATGCACCACCCGCCACTCCCCCTCCTCCTCTTCCTCCTCCCAATCATCCTGCGCCTCCCACTCCTCTCCATCGTCTTCCCCCAACCTGTCACCCTCCCTTCCCCCGTCCCCACCTCTCATTTTCTCCCCAGGCTCCGCCCTCCCCTCTGCTGCCCCCACAGTCGCCCCTGCTGCTGGCTGTCCCCCGTGGAGCACATCAGGTTCGTCTGTGCCGCCCGGAGGATTCAGAGCGGGCGGCAGGAGGGAGATGGAGAGGTTGAGGCGGTGGGCGGGCAGCAGAGGGAGGAGGGGCTGCGCCCACTCGATCAAACACAGCCCTGACGGGGGGGGGAGAAGGTGGAGAGGGAGAGGAAGGATGGAAGGGGGAAGGGGAGAGGGGAGAGTAAGGGGGATGAAAGAGGAAGTAGAGATGGAAAAGGGAACGGGGCAAGGGAGGATGAGATGAGGGAAGGTGGAGTGTGCGAGGGGTTGAGAATGGAGGGGTTGAGAATGGAGGGGTTGAGAATGGAGGGGTTGAGAATCGGAGGGTTGAGAATGGAGGGGTTGAGAATGGAGGGGTTGAGAGATGGGTCAAGTGGGGAGGGTGGGGGGAGCACGGGGAGAGGAAGAGAGGTGGCGTGAGGCGCGCAGCGGAAGGGGAGGGGGGGTGAGGAGAGCGGTGGGCGTACCAGTAGCAAGCGAGTGTGCGAGGTCCAGGCGCTGAATGTCAGGCGATGCTGCTGCTGCTGCTGCTGCTGCTGCTGCTGCTGCTGCTGCTGCTGCTGCTGCTGCTGGTGGTGGTGGTGGTGCTGCCGTTGCCGCGCGTGTGGCGGTGTGCAGGGCAGCCAGGCGGTATGCATCATAGTGATGCACCGTGCTGGTGTGTGGGGGGGGGAGAGGAGGGAATGCGCAAGAGGGGAGAGGGTAGAGGGGAGGGGTAGAGGGGAGGGGGTTGCGATGAGTCGTGGGCAGGGTGAGAGCTGTTGTGAGAGCAGGGCACTAGGGGCAGTGGAGCAGGGCACTAGGGGCAGTGGAGCAGGGCACTAGGGGCAGTGGAGCAGGGGGAAAGGAACTCAGAGGGAATGGGGAATGGAGACATGAGGCTGAGGGTTTGGGGAGCGGCATGGGCAGACGAGGAGGGCAGTGAGGCGTACAGGTTGGGCGCGGGGTAGGAGTTGAGCAGCAGGAACGTGGGCGACGTCACGATGAGGTCAGGGTCGCCTGTCAGTGCTCGGATCAAGTGCCGGCTGGTTGGGGTTGGGGGAAGGGGACGAAGGGACGGAGTGGGTGTGGGGGAGGGGGGCGTGGATGGACCTTGAGGACGTATGACAGCTTGCCCAGAACAAGCCAGCACGCTCCCCCACAAAATGCCACGTGCCAGGCGAGGCAGGCGAATGCCACGTGCCATATGCAACACGGTAACACCCCATCCATTTCAATGGAACCTCCTCTTTCCTGCCCTTCTCTTTCCCTTTTCCTCGCCTCCCCACCCCTATTCTTCCCCCGCCCGCGTATCCCAAGGCGCACCAGAAAGTGGTTTTCCCCGCGCCCACCTCCCCCTGCAGGCACACCACGTCCCCCACCCCCACTGCCCCGCCGCTCCGCTCCCCCGATCCGCGCGCCTCGCCGCCCCTCCCCCCCTCATCCTCTCCGCCGATTCTCTCCGCCAGCTCTCGCGCCAGCCATGCCAAGGCGCTCTCCGTCCGGCAAAGGACACGTGGCACGCGGTCATTGGCTGACGGTAATGACTGCGGCCCTGGGGATTGTTCTGATTCGTCGAATTTTGCGTGAAGACCTGCTGAAACTATTTGGTCGGCAGGACTACCGCGCAGCCGTTCGTTGCCGGCTAGTGTGACAATTCGTTGACGGAAGGGGCGAGAGGAGGGCGCTGATTGGAGGAGTGACGGGGAGTGCGGGCGGCAGGTGTGACTGTAGGAGACGTGACCATAGGTGCGCGGTAGAAGCGCGCGGAGAAGCGCGGATGGCGGGCGGGCGCGGTAGGCGAGGGAAGTCCTAAATCCAGTAGCTAGTAGCTGCATGCTGGAGAGCGCGCATGGGCGATCGCACTGCGACGATTGGCGCCACGACTGATGCCGGGACGAACGAACTCAAGCTTGTAATGTACCATGTCCTGTCGTGCCTCATGGTTGCAAATCGCCCTCGAGAATTCGGCCCAGCACCGCATTGAACCGCTGATACTTGCACGGGATACTTCTCCACCCCATTCACAGCACAAATTGGCCCCTCTTCAACCCCCCTCCACCTCACCCAGCTGCGCTTCATTCAAACATTGCACGCCCGCAGCACCGCAGCAATGGGCGGCGGCGCGGAGGCGACAGAGCAGGCGCGCGGGCAGCAGCGCCCGACGATATCGATCGCGGTGCCGGGGTCCATCATCGACAACACGCAGTCGCTCGAACGCGCCACCGCCGTGCGCCTCCCGCCCCGCTCCTTCCCCCCGTATTCCGCTCCTCCCCACCGCATGCCGTTTATTTCCCGCGCATTCGGCTCCATCCCCGCAAAATTCCCCCCTTGCTGTGCCACTATGATCGCACTCCAACCCCTGCGTCTAATTAACCCTGCAATAAACCCTCAACCTTCGCGCCACACGCGCCTTCTCTTCAGCACATCCTCCCAAATCCGCGGATTACGCCTTTCAAATCATCTAATCTCTTAACGTTATCGCCTGATCCCCCAAACCTCGGCGCAGGTAGCGGGGCAGATCGCGCGCGCCGCCGTCATTTTCAAGGTGCACGAGGTGGTCGTGTACGACGACTGGGACGCGGAGGGCGACTCGAGCGCGCCGCGCGGGTGGCGCGGGGAGCGCTTCTCAGGGTCCGCGGGGTCGTTCCTTGCGCGCGTGCTACAGTACCTCGACACCCCGCAGTACCTCCGCCGCGCGCTCATCCCGCTCACGCCGGATTTGCGCCTCGCGGGGCTTCTTCCGCCACTGGACGCGCCGCACCACGCGCGCATGCACGAGTGGCCGGAGTTTCGCGAGGGCGTGGTGGTGGCGGACGGGGAGGGGGAGGGGGGAGGCGCGCGCGCAAGGGGGAGCTGCGCCGTGGACGTGGGGCTGCAGCAGGTGGGGGAGGGGGGATGTTTGGGAGTGGGGAAAGGAGAGAGGGGAGGGGGCTCTGGGGAATCTAAGAATATACGAGGGGAGGGAATTGCGGTCTCTTGGATCTATGGCCCCTTCTCCTGCGCTCTCCTACAAATCCCGATTCTCTCCTTCCCTCCATTCGCACATTCCCTTTCATCCCTCCATTAACGTGGGCGTGTGTGGCAGAGGGTGCGTGTGCGAGGAAGCTTCTCGGAAGGCACGCGGCTGACAGTGGCCATGGGGCTTGTCGCTGAGCGAGAGAAGGTGTTTCAGCCAGGTGGGGCAGGGGGATGGGGCAGGGGGATGGGGCGGGGGGTGGGTGGCTTGGGAGGGTGGGGTGGAGGGGGATGGAGGTGGGTTTGAAGGTTGTGATGTGTCAAGGAGTGGGGCGTGTAGAACACCACAGTCGCAGCACATTGGCCAAGTGACCCCTTCCCTCCGTCTTTCTCTCTTTACTTCTCTCACCGTCTCATTCAATCCACCTCTCCACCTCCCCTCCCCTCCCCATGCGCCTCACTTCCTCCCCCCAGGCGTGCTGCTGTCGCCAGTGGCCCCGCACGTGCCGTGGGGGGAGAGGGGGCAGTACTGGGGGTACTCTGTGCGCCTCGCCAGGGGCGTCTCTGGCGCCCTCTCCGCCTGCCCCTTCCCCCCCGCGCCTGCCTCCGTGGAGGGGGAGCGGGGGGGCCGGGGGACGTGGGAAAAGGGGCGGGGGAGGGGCGCAGCTCTGATGCTGCTGTGGTGGGGGGAAGTGGGGGTGCGGGGGAGGGGGAAGGGGTGGAGGAGGGGGAGGGGAGGGAAAGGGGGGGAGACGGAGGGGAGGAGGGTGAGGAGGGGCGGGGGAAGAAGAGGAGGCGGCGAGGGGGGAGGAAGAGAGGGGCGAAGCGGGGGTTGTATGGGGAGGGGGGTGCGGGTGAGGGTGGGGGTGAGGGTGGGCAGGGAAGGGGAGAAGGGGGAGCAGCAGGGGGAGGAGCAGGAGGGGGAGGCGGGTATGATCTGATCATAGGAACATCAGAGCACGGCGATGTGAAGGAGATCGGGCAGTTCAAACTGCCTCCCTTCCGGTGAGACCTCTTCTCCCTCCTCACTGCTTTGAAGCGTCTCAAAATTCTCTTCCTCCAGCTCCTCCGTGGCCGTTGCCACCACAGACTCACAGATAAACGCCTCCTCCTGTCCCTCCATCCCCTCTCTCCTCCCTCCTCCCTCGCTCCTCTGTTGGAGGAGGCGTGTGAGGAGTGGCCAGCCCCTTGTCAAGGAGGCGTGTGAGGAGTGGCCAGGCCCTTGTCAAGGAGGCGTGTGAGGAGTGGCCAGCCCCTTGTCAAGGAGGCGTGTGAGGGTGACAAGGGGCTGGCTACTCCTGAGACGCCTCAAAACAGACTCTTCCCACCCCATGCTCCCCTCCCTCTCCTCCCCTCCTGGCAGGCATTTATTGGTGGTGTTCGGGGGCGTGGCGGGGTTGGAGGAGGCGTGTGAGGGCGACGAGGGGCTGGCGGCGGACAGCAGGGACCCGCGGCAGCTGTGCCAGCTGTACCTCAACACGTGCCCCTTCCAGGGCTCGCGCACCATCCGCACTGAGGTGCAATATTGGGGGGGTGGTGGTGGGGGCGATGGGGAGGTGGGAGGTGTGGGGTGAAGGGATAGTGCTGTTTTGTGTGTGCATGATTGCGTTGAAGGGGCAGCGTTGGGGATGTGCACATGTTTCTGAGCTGTGAGCAGGTAGTCACAGCAGCATGGTGGGTGTGCTTATACGTGTTGCTATGGTGATGTCTCTGCCCAGTCGTTTGCTCACTGCTGCCTCCCTGCCTCACCACTTGTGCGTGCCATGTGTCCCTTCCCTTCCCTTCCCTTCCCTTCCCTTCCCTTCCCTTCCCTTCCCTTCCCTTCCCTTCCCTTCCCTTCCCTTCCCTTCCCTTCCCTTCCCTTCCCTTCCCTTCCCTTCCCTGCCCTGCCCTTCCCTTCCCTTCCCTTCCCTTCCCTGCCCTGCCCTGCCCTGCCCTGCCCTGCCCTGCCCTGCCCTGCCCTGCCCTGCCCTGCCCTGCCCTGCCCTGCCCTGCCCTGCCCTGCCCTGCCCTTCCCTTCCCTTCCCTTCCCTTCCCTTCCCTTCCCTTCCCTTCCCTTCCCTTCCCTTCCCTTCCCTTCCCTTCCCTTCCCTTCCCATCCCATCGCATCCCATCGCATCCCATCCCATCGCATCCCGTGCCGTGCCTCTGCCCGTTTGTCCCCCTGCATGCATGCGTGCATGGGGTGGAGCAGGAGGCGGTGCTCATCTCTCTGGCGTACATCGCAGCGCTCATGCCGTGACCACCACCCCATCCTCCACCACCCATCACATGCCTCCTCCATGTGGACCTGTCACCTGCCTCATCACCATGTTTACCAATGCCCATCGCATGCCATCGCATGACCCTCTGCCGTGCCTTCAAGTACGGTACCAGTTGCTGACACTCTACTTTGTGTTGACCCTGACGGTAATTATGTGAATACACATTGGATGGCCACAGTAATGGGCGGACTCTTTGTCATTCCTACTGGCCGTGTCCAGCCACTACTGTATGCATGCACATGGCAACCCTCGGGGACTAGGCTGTTGGCTGCTGCAGACCCTACGGACTACAGGCTTGTACACACTATCCTGCTTCACATCTCACTAATGCCCTAGAGCTCCTCTGTCGAGTTGATGCCCTATCCACTCTACCGCCCTTGCCCCATAGCATAGGGCTCTGCTTCGAGTACCTGCTGCATTCTAGAGCGAGTACAGTGGTGGCGCCAGGGGTGGGTGTTGCTGCACCCCTGGTCTCCACCAATCCCACGCTGCTTGTTTCCAATGGCTCGCTGCTGTAGCATCCACCTGCTCTGCACCCTACAGGTCTGCTCAGGCTCTATTTTGCCAGCTACGACGAGTGAAGGGTCTACTACTCTGGCAGGCAGGGCTGCTGTGAGTGCTGCACCCTTTCAAACCGGCCTTCTTGGCGGCGTCCCGGTGCTGTTGGCCCCTCACATGCTGCAATGGGTGGTGTTGTGAGGCCACTGAGCAGCTCCATCCTCTGCTGAACCTCCACCCATGCATGCTATGCATGCTGCACCCTGCATCACACCAGCCTACGCCTACTCACATCCACGCATACACACGCAACTTGGACAAGTTACACACATACACCTAACGCTACACACGCATGCACATGCTGAGTCACAAACATGCATGTGTCCAGTCAAACAAAGTCAAGCAAGTCAACGGTCAGTCAAAGGCGATCCACAGAGCATCCAGCAGGCACAAGGTACAGGGCGGTACACACTGGAGTGTGTTAGGTGGCCGTTGCTGCTACATGGCCAAGGCTGCTACATGGAAGGGCGCTACAGGGGCACATAGGGGGTTGGGGGGGTTGGTTGCTCGAGAGAACTCATGGTGGAACTCATAGGGCGGCAGCAGCTCCACAGGGTCATGACGGCAGGCAGGCAGAGAGGGCGGGAGGGGGGTGATGTGGGAGACAAGGTTCACAAGCACCTGGAACAACCCTTGGCCAGCGCTGCACGCACTGGGGCCTCCATCCGTGACTGCTTGCAGCGCTGGCAACCAGGTAGTCACACAAGCCACTGCGCGCACACCGCATCCCATCCTCTCCCCTCCCCTTGTGGCACAAGTTGCCTGCGTGACCCGCTGTGATGCTCCGTCCATGCGGCCAGGGGTGCGCGCCCATTCTTGCAACCCCACACTCTCCTGCACCTCGCATGCCCCAGGCTCTCCCCACCAGCCCGCCCCCCTGCACGCCTGGCCTCACCCCTCATGCCCACCGCCTCTTGCGTGCCGGCCTCTCTGTCTTGCCCTCCCCACCTCCCGTCCCTTCCCCCTCCGCCCTGCCACCTGCACCACCACTCGCCATGCTGCCCGCCTCTCCCCCCATTCTCACTCCCCCCCCGCTCTCGCCTGCTCCCTCCCTGTCTGCGCGCCTGTCCCCACCGTCATCTGACTTGCGCTTCCTCCCCCCCACACCACTCGCCCCGCCATACGCGCCACCACCACCCTCCTCCCCCCCCACTCGCCCGGCGACCATCCCCTCCCCTCCCCCTCCCCCTCCCCCTCCCCCTCCCCCTCCGCCCACGTGCACCACCAGGTGGCCCTGACTCTCCCGCCACGCCCCCCCTCCCCTCCTGTCCGCCGCCCCATCCCCTGCTCGCCCCCCCACCTGCACCACCAGGTGCCCGTCCGTGCGCTGCACCGCACTGCGCCGCACTCCACCGCCACCAGCACCAGCAGCGCCAGTGGTGTCAGCAGCAGTGGGGGAGGGCGAGTGGGGTGCACCACCTGTCCGCCTGCCATCTTCCACAGAAGGGCCCATGCCCCTGTGTGCATGCCGCTCGCCTGTCTCCCCCTCGCGTGCCTCCCCTCCGCGCCGCCTCTCCCCTGCTGTGTCGCCCAATCCCTCCATCCCACCGCCCCCTCCCCTCTCCTTTCCTCGCTCCTTACCCCTCTCCTTCTCATCCCTCCCCCGCCCGCGCTCGCGGCTCCGCTCCTCGCGCTCGTCGCCCTCCCAGTCCCGTGGGTCTTTATCCCTGCCACGCCCACCACGCCCCTTCTCCTTCTCCTCGCGAAGCTTGGCCCGCAGGTCCACCACCGGTCCCTCGTTGCCTGCACCCTCGCTCCCCATCCCCTCTCGACCCATGCCATCTCGCCCCAGCCCCTCTCGCCCCACCCCCTCACTGCCTCTCCATCCGTCCCTCTCGCCTCGCCTCCCCTCCTTGTCTCCCTTCATCCCCATCCGCTCCGCCCCCCGCCCTGCCGCCGCCCTATCACGCTCCTCACCCACACTTCCTGCCCTCTCCCTTCCCCTCTCCCGTTCCCTCTCCCTCTCTCTCCTCTCTCTTTCTCCCCGCCTTTCTCCCTCCCCCTCTGCTTGTGCCTATCCCTACCTCTCCCCTCCTCGCTCACCCTCTCCATTCCTCCCTCCCTCTCCTCTCGCTCTCGCCCCCCTCTCTCCCCCTTATCCCCTCTTCCACTCCTCTCACTCTTCTCATCCTTGTCCCTCCGCTCGCCTCTCTCCCTCCTCTCGCTCCTCTCGTCCGTCACACCTCTCCGCGCACTCCTCTCCGAGTCAGCACCCACACTCCCTCCACGCTCCTCCTTGAGGCCCCTCTCCTTCTCACGCTCCTCCTTCCACTTCCTTTCACTCCTTTCACCCATCTCGCCCCTCTCACCTCTCTCCTCCCGCTCCTCTCTCCACGCTCCCCTCCTCTCCCCTCCCTCCCTGTCCCTCTCCTCCCTCTCTCCCATCCCCACACCACCCTCCCTCGCCCCCTCCTGCCTTCGACCCAGCACCTCCCCTCCCCGCCTGCCAAAACCCCCACCGTCCGCTCCCATCCTGCCAAGTGGCGCATCCACTGCCACTCGGCCATAGCCCATGGGAGAGCCATGCCCATACTCCTCCCTTCCCCCCACACCCCCACCCATCATCCTCCCACCCTTCACCATGCCAACTCCCCCGCTCACACCCGGACCCATCCCACCCATGCCCACCCCCATACCTGGCCCCATACCACCCGGCCCCATACCCATGCCCATCATCCCCATGCCCATGCCCATGCCCATATCCCTCGGACCCATGCGGCCCCCCATCCACCTGCCTCGTCCATGCCGCCCGTGCCTGCCCCCATATGCATGCCCAGCTGCATGTGCATGCATGTGCCCAGGTGCCATGGGCCCTCCTCGCCCCCCCCTGCCCCGCCCTCCGCCGTACCTCCCGCCTTCATGGAACCTTCCTTCGTGCTGGTGAGGGTGGGCATGGGGGGGAGAGCGCCTGCCTGAGCCAGTGGCAACAGCAGCATCAAGCCCTTCATCGCCCTCACCACCCCTCTCTCGCGTCCATTTACCCCTCTGCCTCTCCCGGCCCTCCCTGCCCCCATCATCCCCCTCCTCCTGCTCCTCCTCTTCCTCCTCATACACGTCACCATAGTCCTCCCCTTCAAACGCCAGCTCATCTTCGTATTCTACCTCCTCCTCCCCGCCTCCTGCTGCCGCTTCACCCCCTGCACCCTCCCCCTCTCTCCTCTCCCCACCTCTCCTCTCCTCCTCCCGCCCCTCTCCAGCACCATTCTCTCTGCCTCCCTCACCTCTCTCCCCCTCCTCTCCTCCCCTGTCGCCCTCCTCCCCACCTTTCCCCTTCTCCCCTCTCTCCTTGCCCCCACCACCGTCATCCCTCTCCCTCATTCCTCCCTCTCCCTGCCGCTCACCATGCTTCCTCCTTTCCTTCTCCCCCCCTTTCTCCGCGCCAGCTGGCACTGCCACGTCATCATCGTCCAAGTCAGCAGTCTGACGTCAGGGAGAGGGGAGGGAGGAGGGCGGAGATAGGGGGAGAGGAAGGGGGACGGAGAGCGCAGGGAAAGTGGGGGGGAGGATGTGAGGAAAGGCGATGAGGAGAGTGGTATAGGGGTAACTGAGTAATGGAGTGATGGAGTGGTGGGGTGGGGTGATGGTGCCAAGGTCTTATGGGACGAGGGAGAGTGATGAGGCATGGGGGTAACAGGGTGAGGGCATGGGGGTAACAGGGTGAGGGCATGGGGGTAACAGGGTGAGGGCATGGCAGACTGAAGGGGTCAAGGGGCAATGGAATGATGGGGGGAGCACGGAGGAACGGACGTACAGGAGTGGGAGGGCGCTCAATGGCTGCGCTGCCTCGCTTATCTTCCTGCTCCGCCCCTACTGCTGCCTCCTCCTCCGCCCGTCCTTTCCTCTTCTCTTGCGCGTGCTCTCTGCCGTTCTCGTGCTCACTCTCCCGGTCTCTCCCCCGCTCCCTCTGCCTCCTTTCATCCCCCCTGCCCCGCTCCCTCTCACCCTCCCCGTCACTGTCCCTCTCCATATCATCCCGGCCCTCTCCCTTCCTCCCACTTCTCTCATCCCTCTCATCCCTCTCATCCCTATCACCCCTCTCACCCTTCCCATCTCTCCCACCTCCGCCATCCACCCCATTCCCCCCACCACTCTCCAGGGGGTGCATCCCCACATCCCCCTCGCCATCAGCGTCCCACATGCTGCCATAGTCCACTGCGTCTCCCCCCACATCCTCCTCCTCCCCCTGCTCCCCCTCTCTTCCTTCCCGTTCCTTACCCTCCTTACCCTCCTCTTCCCCTCTCTCCTCCCCATCTTTCCCCTTTCTCTCGCTCTGCTCTCGACCCTCCCTCCCCTCCTCATCCCCTTCCTTCTCTTCTTCCCGCTTCTCCCGCCGCCCCCTCCGCCTCTCACCCTCACCTCCTTCCTCCCTCTCTGCCACAGCACCCTTCCCCTTACCCCTACCTGCGCCCTTCTCTTCTCCCCTCTCTGCTGCCCTCTCCTCTCCCCTGCGCTCTCCCCTGTGCGCCCTCGCCCCTCCACTCTCCATCTCCTCGCCTCCTTCACTCGATTCTCCTCTCCTTTTCCTGCTCGCGCCCTCCCTCCGCCCGTCCCTGCCCCCAGACGCCCAGCTCCCTTCCCCATCCGCCTCCCCTCCGCCCCTCGCCTCCTCCATCCCTCCTTTCCCACGCTTCTCCTTCGTGCCCCTCCCTCTAGCACCTTCCTCATGCCTCCCCTCCGCCCAGTCTTCCTCTCCTTCACTCTCCCTATCCTCCCTCCACTGCCTCCCCTCCCGCCCATCCCTCTTCCCTCTCTTCCCCACATTCTCCTCCCATCCGCGCTCATCCCACTCCTCTCGTCCCCCCCGCCTGCCCTTCTTCCCCTCCTCCTCTCCCCGCCGTCCCCCCCGCCTTTCCATAGACGCGCCTCTCTCTCCCCACCCATCCCACTCCTCCCTCTCCTCCTCCCACTCGCCCCCTCCGCGCATTCCCTTGGCGCGCCCAAACTCCCCTCCCTTGTCGTCCTCTCCCCTCCGCCCCATTCCCCTCCTCCTCTTCTCATCCCCCCCTCTCTCTTCTGGCCATTCCCTCTTCTCCCGCCTCCCCTCTTTCCCCTCCCCAAACTCCCCCCCCCGCTTGTCAAACCCTGACACTCGGCCCCCCTCACCCCCCTCGCGCCCATCCCTCCGCCACCCCACTTCCCCCGCCCTCCGCCCCTCCTCCTCCCCCCTGAATCTCCCCCGCCTCTCCTCCCCTCGTTCCCCCCCCCCATAGGCCCCTCCCCAAACCCACCATCCTCCCTCCCCATGCCCCTCCCCCGCCGCCCATACCCCTCCCCTTCCCCTCCCCGTCCGCCCCTCTGGTCCCTCTCCCCCCACAGGCCCCTCTTCTCCCTGCCCCACTCCCTCTCCCCCCTGCCATCCCTCCCCCTCCACTCCCCCCGCCGTCCCCTCTCCTCCTCCCACTCTTCATCCGCTTCCTCATGCCCGTCCTCCCCCCGCACTCGCCTCCTCTTCCTCTCCTTGCCCCCATATTCGTCCCAACCTCGCCCTTTCCCGCCCTCTCTCCCTCTCCCCTTCTCCATCTCCTCCTCTTCGTCCCAATCCCTCTGCCCTCTCCTCCTATCCTCTCTCCTCCTCCCCATACCCTCATCCTCCCCAATACCCTCCTCATCCTCTTCCTCCACATCTCCCCGACCTCCCCTCCCCCTCCCCTGGCGCCTTGACTTTGCCCCTGCGCGCCCCTCCCCTTCCCCCATGCTCTCCCCCCCAGTCGCATAGCTGGCAGCATGGGAGGGGGAAAGAGGAGCGCGATGAATGCCCATCCCCCCGGAAAACCCCCCTCCGCCCCCCATATCGAATCCTCCCCGCCTGCCACCTCCCCCCATGGGGCCCCCTGCCCCCCCCATCCCTCCGCCCATGCCTCCGCCCATTGGTCCGCCCATGGGGCCAGCGCCCCCAGGGGGGCCGCGGAGGAACATGGGGTGCGCATGGGGGGGCAGCATGTGCGGGGGCAGCATTCCCCCCTTCATGCCCATGGGCGGACTGGGCCTGGGGGAGGGGGAGGGGAGGAAGGGGGAGGAAGGAAGAGAGAGTGAAATGGAGGGGGTTGTGGGCGCAGGGCAGGGGGGCGTGCATGTCGAATGGGAGAGAAGGGGGATGAGGAGGAGAAAACGGAGACACAGGGGTACGATGAGACACAGGGCCTACCCTAAACAAGCCAAGCACAGTGCCGCTGCGAACACCACACCACACCACACCACTCCAGGCCACTCTCGCAGCCCTACAAGACACGGCCTACCGTTCTCAACACAGCAGTTTCCATCAGCACTGCACACACTCACCCAACAGCATGCTCACCTCATCATGTGCCCTCCGCCTGGCCCCATGCCTCGCCCCCTCCCTCCGCCCTCCATGCCGAACCCCCCCACTCCTCCCCGCCCCATGCCCATGCCTCTCCCCCCCATGCCCATCCCCGCCCCCATCCCTGGCCCCATCCCCGCGCCCATGCCCATGGCATCGGGTCCCCCCGGGAACATCGGAGGGAAAGGGGGATGCTGGCCTCGGGGGAGAGGGGGAGGCGGAGGGAGGGCACCGGGCAGTCCTCCCCCTGCTCCTCCCCCTGCTCCCCCTGCCACTGCGCCAGACGCGCCCTCCACAGAGGCAGCACGGGAGGGCGGGCCAGCAGCAGCAGCGGCACCTGAAGAAACAGCTGGGGTGCCACCTGAGCTCGCTGGCCCTCCCCCAGGTGCGCCCTGCTGCCCTGTTACCGCCCTGCCTCCCTGCCCCTCCCCTTGCATCCTCCCACCTCCCCCCCCTGCACTGCCACTAGGTCCACCTGACCCTGCCCCTACCCCTCCCCCTGCTCCTCCCCCTCCGCCTCCCCCTGCTGCGCCCATCCCCCTGTGCGCGTCAGCAGCAGCATGAGGGGCGGCAGCAAGAGGGGGGCCGGCGGGGGGGGGGGGCTGTGGATGAGGCGCGTCCATGGCCAACCCCACCACCGGCACCTGCAGGCGCGCACACGGGAGGCCATGTGGGGGGGTGGGGGAAACGAGGGCAAGGAAAGGGAAAGGAGGGGAGCACTGAGCTGGGGGACGGGACGGAGTGGTGTGCATGGGGAAGCAGCAATCCCATCACCATGCCATGCAGCTGCTGTCACATCACTCGCCTCCCCATGGATGGATGAATGGACCATGTGCCTCACGCCTCATGCCACCATGACGTCAGCAGTCGCCTCACCTCTATGATGACGTCAGCATCCACCGGGCGCGGGCGGCGGGTCTCCCAGGAGGGGCGGCGCTCGACGAAGAAGACGGCGTCGGCGTGCGGGCGGCTGACCATGGCGTGCGTGACAGCTGTCACCAGCTCGGGCGGCATCTCCGGGTCTATGTCCTGCCGAGGGCGAGAGGGGGTGAGGAGGAGAGGGGGTGAGGGGGAGGGAGGGGTAGAGAAGGAGATCACGGGAGGACGGGGAGAGGGGAGGTGGGGTATGAGCAGGGGGGTTACGAATGGGGGCATGGGGAAGAGAAGCAGGAAGGAGAGGAGGCTGGAGATATTTGAAGGCTGGGGGGGTTGTGAGATGTGCGATTGATGCAATGCATACTATTGTTGCATCCCTCCCCTTGTCTTCTGCACTGCCTGCTGCTGCTGACTGAGTGGGTCTGCAGCATGTGTAATGCCACTACGGTTTGACTCGAATTGACTTGCGGCATTGCGTATGCTGGAATTGCTGGCACATACTGACTGGCGTTGACAAAATTTGACTGACGTTGACTGGCGTGGAGCACTGACCTCAGTGGGCATGCGCGACTCAAACACGGGGATGCGGCTCTGCATGCTCGCCTCCAGCCGCAGCTGCGCCTGTTGGCATAAGGCCAGAGGAAGGCACAAGGGGGTGGGGGAGGAAGGAGTGTGGGGAAGATGAGGAGGGGTGGGAAGAGAGGATGGGGAAAGTAAGCGGGAAAGGGTGAGGAGGCGTGAGGAGGAACACACCCAGAGCATAGCAGGCGGTGGGAGGAAGGAAGGAGTGTGGGGGGGATAAGAAGGAGGGGTAGGAAACAGGATGGGGGAAGTATGAAGGAAAGGGTGAGGAGGCACGAGGGTAAGGGAGAGAGAGGGGAAGGGAGCAACACACCAGGCGGTGGCAGTAGTGGCGCCATGCGCCCTCGTTGAGGTCGAAGTTGAAGTAGTCGCTCACATCCGCGCCTGGGCGCCGCCATGGCTTGTCCTCCAGACTGTCTATGTCCAGGTCAAACACCGTCCTGCACACTCAATCCAGTCACACCAATCAAAACCAGTCAAACGAGTCAAACAAATCAGAATCAGCATGGTAACCACCATCCTGCACGGTCAAACAAGTCAACCAAAGTCAATGGTCGCAGACGTTTCTGGATCGTCTGAAGAAGTGTTAACTGGCAGCTGGAAGGAACGGTGATGGCACTACGATGGGACCTTCACTAGAGTGGCACTGACTTGGTGGGTGGCAGGTTGATTTCTATGTGATAACCCCTCCCCGACCCATGCTGCCACACTGCCGGCGGCCTCCCCCCCTGCCCGCCCGCCTGCTGCTGGTACTGCCCCTGCTGCCCCGCCCCTCCCCCCATTGCTCCCCCCCCTGCGCCCATTCGCGCCCCCATGCCTCCTGCCCACCCTCCCCCCTGCCCGCCAGCTACCCCTGGCCCTCCCCCTGCTGCAAGCGCGCCAGGGGCGGAACCAGGGGGGCCGGGGGGGGTAGCGCCCAGGCCTGCGCCTTCCATGCCCATGGGGGAATGGCCCTGCGGCAGAGGGGAACGGGAAGCGGGGGGGGGGGGGAAGGAAATGGATCATGGGCGGACAGGGATCGGTGAAGCAGGGAGGAAGGGGGGGGGAGGTTGTGCGCGGGTGGGGGTGCATGTGATGACCAAGGGCGCATGCATGGCAAGCAGGTGCAGGTGGCAGGTGGCAGGTGGCAGGTGTGGTAAGGTAAGGAGCAAGGCAAGCAAGCAAGGCAGGAGGCAAGCAAGCAAGGCAGGAGGCATGCAAGCAAGGCAGGAGGCAAGCAAGCAAGGCAGGAGGCATGCAAGCAAGGCAGGAGGCAAGCAAGCAAGGCAGGAGGCATGCAAGCAAGGCAGGAGGCAAGCAAGCAAGGCAGGAGGCAAGCAAGCAAGGCAGGAGGCAAGCAAGCAAGGCAGGAGGCATGCAAGCAAGGCAGGAGGCAAGCAAGCAAGGCAGGAGGCAAGCAAGCAAGGCAGGAGGCAAGCAAGCAAGGCAGGAGGCATGCAAGCAAGGCAGGAGGCAAGCAAGCAAGGCAGGAGGCAAGCAAGCAAGGCAGGAGGCAAGCAAGCAAGGCAGGAGGCAAGCAAGCAAGGCAGGAGGCAAGCAAGCAAGGCAGGAGGCATGCAAGCAAGGCAGGAGGCATGCAAGCAAGGCAGGAGGCAAGCAAGCAAGGCAGGAGGCATGCAAGCAAGGCAGGAGGCAAGCAAGCAAGGCAGGAGGCAAGCAAGCAAGGCAGGAGGCAAGCAAGCAAGGCAGGAGGCAAGCAAGCAAGGCAGGAGGCAAGCAAGCAAGGAAGGAGGCAAGCAAGCAAGGCAGGAGGCAAGCAAGCAAGGCAGGAGGCATGCAAGCAAGGCAGGAGGCAAGCAAGCAAGGCAGGAGGCATGCAAGCAAGGCAGGAGGCAAGCAAGCAAGGCAGGAGGCAAGCAAGCAAGGCAGGAGGCATGCAAGCAAGGCAGGAGGCAAGCAAGCAAGGCAGGAGGCAAGCAAGCAAGGCAGGAGGCAAGCAAGCAAGGCAGGAGGCAAGCAAGCAAGGCAGGAGGCATGCAAGCAAGGCAGGAGGCAAGCAAGCAAGGCAGGAGGCAAGCAAGCAAGGCAGGAGGCAAGCAAGCAAGGCAGGAGGCAAGCAAGCAAGGCAGGAGGCAAGCAAGCAAGGCAGGAGGCAAGCAAGCAAGGCAGGAGGCAAGCAAGCAAGGCAGGAGGCATGCAAGCAAGGCAGGAGGCATGCAAGCAAGGCAGGAGGCAAGCAAGCAAGGCAGGAGGCATGCAAGCAAGGCAGGAGGCAAGCAAGCAAGGCAGGAGGCATGCAAGCAAGGCAGGAGGCAAGCAAGCAAGGCAGGAGGCAAGCAAGCAAGGCAGGAGGCATGCAAGCAAGGCAGGAGGCATGCAAGCAAGGCAGGAGGCAAGCAAGCAAGGCAGGAGGCATGCAAGCAAGGCAGGAGGCATGCAAGAAAGGCAGGAGGCAAGCAAGCAAGGCAGGAGGCAAGCAAGCAAGGCAGGAGGCAAGCAAGCAAGGCAGGAGGCAAGCAAGCAAGGCAGGAGGCAAGCAAGCAAGGCAGGAGGCATGCAAGCAAGGCAGGAGGCAAGCAAGCAAGGCAGGAGGCAAGCAAGCAAGGCAGGAGGCAAGCAAGCAAGGCAGGAGGCAAGCAAGCAAGGCAGGAGGCATGCAAGCAAGGCAGGAGGCAAGCAAGCAAGGCAGGAGGCAAGCAAGCAAGGCAGGAGGCATGCAAGCAAGGCAGGAGGCAAGCAAGCAAGGCAGGAGGAAAGCAAGCAAGGCAGGAGGCAAGCAAGCAAGGCAGGAGGCAAGCAAGCAAGGCAGGAGGCAAGCAAGCAAGGCAGGAGGCAAGCAAGCAAGGCAGGAGGCAAGCAAGCAAGGCAGGAGGCAAGCAAGCAAGGCACGAGGCATGCAAGCAAGGCAGGAGGCAAGCAAGCAAGGCAGGAGGCAAGCAAGCAAGGCAGGAGGCATGCAAGCAAGGCAGGAGGCAAGCAAGCAAGGCACGAGGCATGCAAGCAAGGCAGGAGGCAAGCAAGCAAGGCAGGAGGCAAGCAAGCAAGGCAGGAGGCATGCAAGCAAGGCAGGAGGCAAGCAAGCAAGGCAGGAGGCAAGCAAGCAAGGCAGGAGGCAAGCAAGCAAGGCAGGAGGCATGCAAGCAAGGCAGGAGGCATGCAAGCAAGGCAGGAGGCAAGCAAGCAAGGCAGGAGGCATGCAAGCAAGGCAGGAGGCATGCAAGAAAGGCAGGAGGCAAGCAAGCAAGGCAGGAGGCAAGCAAGCAAGGCAGGAGGCAAGCAAGCAAGGCAGGAGGCAAGCAAGCAAGGCAGGAGGCAAGCAAGCAAGGCAGGAGGCATGCAAGCAAGGCAGGAGGCAAGCAAGCAAGGCAGGAGGCAAGCAAGCAAGGCAGGAGGCAAGCAAGCAAGGCAGGAGGCAAGCAAGCAAGGCAGGAGGCATGCAAGCAAGGCAGGAGGCAAGCAAGCAAGGCAGGAGGCAAGCAAGCAAGGCAGGAGGCATGCAAGCAAGGCAGGAGGCAAGCAAGCAAGGCAGGAGGAAAGCAAGCAAGGCAGGAGGCAAGCAAGCAAGGCAGGAGGCAAGCAAGCAAGGCAGGAGGCAAGCAAGCAAGGCAGGAGGCAAGCAAGCAAGGCAGGAGGCAAGCAAGCAAGGCAGGAGGCAAGCAAGCAAGGCAGGAGGCAAGCAAGAAAGGCACGAGGCATGCAAGCAAGGCAGGAGGCAAGCAAGCAAGGCAGGAGGCAAGCAAGCAAGGCAGGAGGCATGCAAGCAAGGCAGGAGGCAAGCAAGCAAGGCAGGAGGCAAGCAAGCAAGGCAGGAGGCAAGCAAGCAAGGCAGGAGGCAAGCAAGCAAGGCAGGAGGCATGCAAGCAAGGCAGGAGGCAAGCAAGCAAGGCAGGAGGCAAGCAATCAAGGCAGGAGGCATGCAAGCAAGGCAGGAGGCAAGCAAGCAAGGCAGGAGGCAAGCAAGCAAGGCAGGAGGCAAGCAAGCAAGGCAGGAGGCAAGCAAGCAAGGCAGGAGGCAAGCAAGCAAGGCAGGAGGCAAGCAAGCAAGGCAGGAGGCAAGCAAGCAAGGCAGGAGGCAAGCAAGCAAGGCAGGAGGCAAGCAAGCAAGGCAGGAGGCAAGCAAGCAAGGCAGGAGGCAAGCAAGCAAGGCAGGAGGCATGCAAGCAAGGCAGGAGGCATGCAAGCAAGGCAGGAGGCAAGCAAGCAAGGCAGGAGGCAAGCAAGCAAGGCAGGAGGCAAGCAAGCAAGGCAGGAGGCAAGCAAGCAAGGCAGGAGGCAAGCAAGCAAGGCAGGAGGCAAGCAAGCAAGGCAGGAGGCAAGCAAGCAAGGCAGGAGGCAAGCAAGCAAGGCAGGAGGCAAGCAAGCAAGGCAGGAGGCAAGCAAGCAAGGCAGGAGGCAAGCAAGCAAGGCAGGAGGCAAGCAAGCAAGGCAGGAGGCAAGCAAGCAAGGCAGGAGGCAAGCAAGCAAGGCAGGAGGCAAGCAAGCAAGGCAGGAGGCAAGCAAGCAAGGCAGGAGGCAAGCAAGCAAGGCAGGAGGCAAGCAAGCAAGGCAGGAGGCAAGCAAGCAAGGCAGGAGGCAAGCAAGCAAGGCAGGAGGCAAGCAAGCAAGGCAGGAGGCATGCAAGCAAGGCAGGAGGCAAGCAAGCAAGGCAGGAGGCAAGCAAGCAAGGCAGGAGGCATGCAAGCAAGGCAGGAGGCAAGCAAGCAAGGCAGGAGGCAAGCAAGCAAGGCAGGAGGCATGCAAGCAAGGCAGGAGGCAAGCAAGCAAGGCAGGAGGCCAGCAAGCAAGGCAGGAGGCAAGCAAGCAAGGCAGGAGGCATGCAAGCAAGGCAGGAGGCAAGCAAGCAAGGCAGGAGGCAAGCAAGCAAGGCAGGAGGCAAGCAAGCAAGGCAGGAGGCAAGCAAGCAAGGCAGGAGGCAAGCAAGCAAGGCAGGAGGCAAGCAAGCAAGGCAGGAGGCATGCAAGCAAGGCAGGAGGCAAGCAAGCAAGGCAGGAGGCAAGCAAGCAAGGCAGGAGGCAAGCAAGCAAGGCCGGAGGCATGCAAGCAAGGCAGGAGGCAAGCAAGCAAGGCAGGAGGCAAGCAAGCAAGGCAGGAGGCAAGCAAGCAAGGCAGGAGGCAAGCAAGCAAGGCAGGCGGCAAGCAAGCAAGGCAGGAGGCAAGCAAGCAAGGCAGGAGGCATGCAAGCAAGGCAGGAGGCATGCAAGCAAGGCAGGAGGCAAGCAAGCAAGGCAGGAGGCAAGCAAGCAAGGCAGGAGGCATGCAAGCAAGGCAGGAGGCATGCAAGCAAGGCAGGAGGCAAGCAAGCAAGGCAGGAGGCAAGCAAGCAAGGCAGGAGGCATGCAAGCAAGGCAGGAGGCAAGCAAGCAAGGCAGGAGGCAAGCAAGCAAGGCAGGAGGCAAGCAAGCAAGGCAGGAGGCAAGCAAGCAAGGCAGGAGGCATGCAAGCAAGGCAGGAGGCAAGCAAGCAAGGCAGGAGGCAAGCAAGCAAGGCAGGAGGCATGCAAGCAAGGCAGGAGGCAAGCAAGCAAGGCAGGAGGCATGCAAGCAAGGCAGGAGGCAAGCAAGCAAGGCAGGAGGCAAGCAAGCAAGGCAGGAGGCATGCAAGCAAGGCAGGAGGCAAGCAAGCAAGGCAGGAGGCATGCAAGCAAGGCAGGAGGCAAGCAAGCAAGGCAGGAGGCAAGCAAGCAAGGCAGGAGGCAAGCAAGCAAGGCAGGAGGCATGCAAGCAAGGCAGGAGGCAAGCAAGCAAGGCAGGAGGCAAGCAAGCAAGGCAGGAGGCAAGCAAGCAAGGCAGGAGGCAAGCAAGCAAGGCAGGAGGCATGCAAGCAAGGCAGGAGGCAAGCAAGCAAGGCAGGAGGCAAGCAAGCAAGGCAGGAGGCATGCAAGCAAGGCAGGAGGCAAGCAAGCAAGGCAGGAGGAAAGCAAGCCAGGCAGGAGGCAAGCAAGCAAGGCAGGAGGCAAGCAAGCAAGGCAGGAGGCAAGCAAGCAAGGCAGGAGGCAAGCAAGCAAGGCAGGAGGCAAGCAAGCAAGGCAGGAGGCAAGCAAGCAAGGCAGGAGGCAAGCAAGCAAGGCACGAGGCATGCAAGCAAGGCAGGAGGCAAGCAAGCAAGGCAGGAGGCAAGCAAGCAAGGCAGGAGGCAAGCAAGCAAGGCAGGAGGCAAGCAAGCAAGGCAGGAGGCATGCAAGCAAGGCAGGAGGCAAGCAAGCAAGGCAGGAGGCAAGCAAGCAAGGCAGGAGGCATGCAAGCAAGGCAGGAGGCAAGCAAGCAAGGCAGGAGGCATGCAAGCAAGGCAGGAGGCAAGCAAGCAAGGCAGGAGGCAAGCAAGCAAGGCAGGAGGCATGCAAGCAAGGCAGGAGGCAAGCAAGCAAGGCAGGAGGCATGCAAGCAAGGCAGGAGGCAAGCAAGCAAGGCAGGAGGCAAGCAAGCAAGGCAGGAGGCAAGCAAGCAAGGCAGGAGGCATGCAAGCAAGGCAGGAGGCAAGCAAGCAAGGCAGGAGGCAAGCAAGCAAGGCAGGAGGCAAGCAAGCAAGGCAGGAGGCAAGCAAGCAAGGCAGGAGGCAAGCAAGCAAGGCAGGAGGCAAGCAAGCAAGGCAGGAGGCAAGCAAGCAAGGCAGGAGGCATGCAAGCAAGGCAGGAGGCATGCAAGCAAGGCAGGAGGCAAGCAAGCAAGGCAGGAGGCAAGCAAGCAAGGCAGGAGGCATGCAAGCAAGGCAGGAGGCAAGCAAGCAAGGCAGGAGGCAAGCAAGCAAGGCAGGAGGCATGCAAGCAAGGCAGAAGGCAAGCAAGAAGGCAGGAGGCAAGCAAGCAAGGCAGGAGGCATGCAAGCAAGGCAGGAGGCAAGCAAGCAAGGCAGGAGGCATGCAAGCAAGGCAGGAGGCAAGCAAGCAAGGCACGAGGCAAGCAAGCAAGGCAGGAGGCAAGCAAGCAAGGCAGGAGGCATGCAAGCAAGGCAGGAGGCATGCAAGCAAGGCAGGAGGCAAGCAAGCAAGGCAGGAGGCAAGCAAGCAAGGCAGGAGGCAAGCAAGCAAGGCAGGAGGCATGCAAGCAAGGCAGGAGGCATGCAAGCAAGGCAGGAGGCAAGCAAGCAAGGCACGAGGCATGCAAGCAAGGCAGGAGGCATGCAAGAGCAGCACCTTGGAGGGCGGAGTCACTTGGTAACCGCGCCCTGCTCCTCCTCCCCCCGGCGCTGCAGGGGTGCCCGGCCCCCCCGCCCCACCTCCTCCCCCCCCCTCTCCGCCCTCCGCGCCTTCCTCCCCCTGGCCTCCCCCCCCGCCCCCGGGCATGCCCCCGTACTCCCCCCCTGCGCCCATGCCATACATGCCCTCCTCCCCCATGCCCTCATCCCACTCGCCGACAGGTGGCACCGGGTCATTGGCCACAATGATCAGATCGTCATCGTCATCCTCACTCTCATCATCCTCCTCCTCTTCCTCTTCGTCCTCCTCCCCTCCCTCTCCCTCTGCTCCGCCCACCCCATCCGCTTCCGCCTCCTTCCCTTCTGCGCCCCCAATCCCCCTGTCCTCTTCCGCCTTCATTTCCGCTTCCCCTTCCACCCCCTCCCCCTCTCCCTCGCGCTTCCCCGCCTCCGCCTCTTCATCCCCTTCCGCCCGTCCCCCGAGCCCTTCACGCGCATCCGCATCAACGTCCATAGCTACCCGCTCGTCTCCGCCTCGCCCGTCTCCTCCGCCCCCTGCCTTCCCCTGCTCGCCATGTAACGTCTCCGCCTCCTCTCCCGCATCTTCCCCCGCCTCCTCCGCCTCTTCCGCCTCGAGCTCCGCGAAGGGATACAGGCTCTGCTCGCCCTCCGCGCCTTCCTTTCCGCCAACATCACCGTCACCGTCTCCCCCACCATCACCGTCGCCCCCGCTGTATAAAAACTTCTCCAAATCCTCTTCTTCTTCCTCCTCCCCCCCTGCTGCCTCCTGCTCGCCCCCCACTCCGCCGGCCCCAGCCCTAACCCCCCTTGAGCCACCTCCCCCTGCACTCTCCGCGGCCACACCACCTTCCGCCCTTGCGCCCACATCCTTCTGCCCTTCCTCCGCCTCCCCCATTTCCGCATCCTCTTCCCCCTCCGCTTTCATCCCCCGAAAAAACTCTTCCTTTTCGTCATGCCGCTCAACGTCTCCCGCTACAGGCACATTCGATACAGCAGCAGCGTCAGCGGCGGCGGAGGCAGAAAGGTCATGGGAGTTCGAGGTCGGCCCAGCGGCGTCGGCGCCCCACGCCGCCCGCTCGCCCTCATCAGCGCGGTTTTCCCCGCCAATGCCGCCTACTTTGCAGCCAGTGGGGCTCGAACCCCGCTCCTCCATCGCCTCCTCGTCTGCACGATCCTTGGCAACCCCGTACAGCTGATTGTAAAATGCATCCTCCTTGTCCTCATCGTCCTCCTCCTGCTCCTCCTCGCCGCGCCCGCGCTCCTGCGATCCATCTCTCCCCGATGGCGTCGACGAAGCACCGGGTGCCGCTCCCCCGTCCGCGTCATAAGCTTCTCCGGCATTCGACGGACGAGTGGCAGCAGGCGAAACAGGCGGCGAGGTGAGAGGGGTAGGGATTGCTGCTGCTACCGGCGTAGCGTGCACGGCCTCGCGGCCGTTGGGTGCGGATGCGGCCGCAGCGGGTGGACTCGACGGGGCTACATCAATAGACTTAGGAGGCTCCGCTTTAGGTACGGTGGGGGTCGAGGACGGCGGTGCGATCTGTTCGACAGGCTCGGGTTTCGCGGGTACAGTAATCGCAGGAGCGGGTGGTGCGGCAAGCGACGAGCCGTAGAGCAGCGCCTCGTCGTCGGCATCCTCGAGGTCGTCGTCGCCGCCCAGCCCGTAGTCGTACGCCAATCGCACGGATGCGGGAGCGGCGGTGGAGCTCGCGGGGACGGATGCCGCGCCCACGTCGCCGTAGAGATCTTCGAAATCGTCGTCCTCCATTCCGCTCAGTCCACCGACTAAATGTCAGATAGCAGTGAAGGGAGTCGCATACTTGAATACTATGTGCACAAACCTGACGAGTAGGCAGATTGAGTGGGCTGGTTCTTTGCTTTCTAGATCGTGAACTCGATATAGGTAGGTGTCCATTGATGCACCTGACGGGTGCACTCTGGATAGCCACTTGTTGTAGTGTCAATGATAAGAATGCATTCAATGCAATGTATGGTTGAAAATGGCACAGAACTTGGTGTAGTAATGGTCAGTTCAGGAACCTGACCCTGCAAGATTCTGGGCTTCATATCCCAGGCCTGTGGTTGTTCCTGTATACCACTCTTTTCTTGGCTTCCCTGATGCTCTTGTATCTTTGCTCTTGTTGTTGCCCTGCTCACCCTTTCCCCTGCTCGCCTTGTTCCATCCTCGATCCGTTACCCCACTGTTTTTCATGTTCCTCTCCTTCCCATGCATGCATCCCTACCTCCCTTGTTCCCCTATTTCCCGTGTCTTTCCTTGTACCGTATTTAAATATTTTTCGTGTCTTCCTGCTTGAATAGCTAGGTAAGTAGGAGAAGCATATTTTTCCTTGCATATCAAAAATAGGGCAAATAGAAGAACTAAGGTACTGAGTTACATATCCCACAATAGCTGCACTGTTTCAATTCCTTGTTTCCTTAGATGTCTCCATTCAATACAAGCACACAAAAGACACGAAACACCTTTTCGAATAAACTCGGACAAGGAGCGGTTCCCTCTCCCTGTCTTTCCAATCACACCAGGTGCGTTCATGTCCTCGACGAGGACTCGCCAATCATCCTCCACCGCAAATCGCAAGCTTCACCGGATTCAACCGCACGACTGCTGACATAAGCACTTTCTCCCAGCCACTCGACCTCTCACGTCCTTGGGATGGATTGGAGCCATCTTTCCCCTCCCGCCCCCCTGGCCCAACATCGGGCCAATTCTTTTCAAGCCGGAATTTCCTCCCAGATGCAACCCCTCTCGGATCGCGCGTTACCTGGGGAGGGGAGGATGCACCAAACCTCCGAATCGCGAATCGTGAAATCCATCCACTGCATAGACTTGTGGCAAATGCAAATCCTCGCCACATCCCACACACAAATAAATCTCTCCGGCATTCCCAAGATTACCAATTCAAGGTCATTCATTGAATCATCAAAGCTCCTTGTCTATCTGCATAATTGTCGCGACGCTCCATCTCGCCGCCATGGCTCGCACTCTGATCTTCGTCGCCCTCGTCCTCGGCGTCGTCGCCCTTGCAAATGGCGCCTCCGTGCCCTTCTCTTACGACAAGAGTGGCACTGATTGGACGGTACACTCTACGCCCCCATTTTTTCGCTTCTCTCCGCAAAGTTCACAGCATTTTCGAAGTTCCTGACCAACAAACGCGACCAAATGCGAAACCAAGGACATATTTAATAACGCCTTGCCATTTCTGACATTGCGCAGGGCGCGTGCGCGTCGGGAGAGCGGCAGTCGCCGATCAACATCGTGATGGACGAGGCGGTGCTGGGCGCGTCCAAGGAGCTCTTCCACCTCAACTACTCCAAGGCCGCCACCGTCGCCGTCCTCAACAAGGGCTCCACCATCCGTGCGTGCCGCTTCGCCACCTCATTGCTCTACTTTCCGTTCAAGTCGTTTTCTGTTTGTTGGTATGCGAATGCGTCATGGCGAATGCGAAGCATTGCCTCACATAAGAACGTGTTCCTCTTCGTGTTCCGCTCCACACAGAGGTGGTGCCGGCGGCGTCGGAGTCGCACCAGCTGCACCTGTCATCGGGCACGTACTCGCTGCTGCAGATGCACGTGCACGCCATGTCGGAGCACACGGTGAACGGGCTGTTCGCGCCCATGGAGGCGCACTTCGTGCACGTGCACGTCGATGATCCCAAGAAGCTCGCAGTCGTCGGCGTCATGCTGCGCCTCCACCGCGACGACGCCAACTCCACCTGGATCTCCCAGTGAGTTCCCCCTCCCTCGGAGGCCTCAATTACTGCAGATTGCATGGAAAATTCAATTAATTGAACCAACGCCACATTTCGCACGAGAAAGGGAACACTTCTAGTCTCCCCTCATCTCATGCTGTTTGATCCCGAATTTCCCTCCGCGCCTCCGCAGGTGGCTGGACCGCGCGCCCGCGGCGAACGGCGCGAACGTGACGGTTCCCGTGAGCGCGGACTTCTGGACGTCGATGATGGCGCCGGCCATGGGCTTCTGGACGTACCCGGGATCGCTCACCACGCCCGAGTGCGACGAGATCGTGCAGTGGCACGTGCTTCGCAAGTCGCAGTCGCTCTCCGTTGCACAGACCATCCAGTTCATGAACATGATGGCGGTTACCAATAACGGCGAGCGCACCGATAACCGCGTGCCGCAGCCCATCAACGGGCGCATCGTTTACTTCTACTACCCAGAGCTGATGTCCCAGTAGGCCCGCTCCACGCCGCGGCTAGCCGTAGCTTTTTCCGTCGGCTGGATTCGAGTTAGAGGATGGGTAGGATGCCGACGCAGTGGGAGCGATTGGAGGGCATGGTCGCATGTGCTTGCCTCTGCCGATAGTAGTGGTTTGCTTCAGCTGTGCTTGTCACCCTCATGTGCATGCCTTGCATTATCAGTAATAAAGCCAGTCCTTTGAACGCAGAGGCACTTCATCCAACGTAGCCGCTCTCACTTTCCACGTACTGCCGTACCTTAACACCAAAAGCTCAGAACAGTTTCAATATGCCTGACGCAATGGTCTAATGAACAAGTGTGGCTGCAACATCACAGCAATATGTGTGTACGTTCACGTTGAGAGTTGACCTTCTTGTCCATTCCAACTTTGCCTGGGAGTTGTCAAGTGAGTGGCGGCAGACGTGCCACCAGCCTCTCATAAAACACAACACTGTCAGAAGGTGAGCAGGGAAGCAGGGAGTTGATTGGCCGCTGAAGGAAACCTACATGCCGTAACACAGTTCAGAGAACTACAGAGTACCAGCCAACCCTCAGCAACCCAAGCAAGAACCCACATGCTCTATGCAACATTTCGCTTGGAGGGTGGGTACATAGCCAGCTAACACTTGTGCTGAATTGTCCACCCACACCATGATATGCGACGAGTGTGCTAGCTAATCATATAACATAATTTACAGCTACGGGCACATTCCAATCCACTAGTTAAGTGCGAGCACTTTCTTCATGTGCTCGTACGTGACGTAGGTGATGCTGGCAGCGGGCACCACCTTGAGCAGGTTCGGCACCACACCTCGAAAGAAGGCATGCACGCCGCCCTCCTGCCACAGCTCCCGTGTCACCTCCCCCATCGTCGGCCCCCTGCCTGCCGCACCCATGCCCGACAATGCTGCTGCTGGCGCTGCTGCTCCTGCTGCAAACCCTAATACGCTGCTTGGTGCATGCGGTGTGCTGACGTGTGCTTGCAGCCTGCCACGCAGGGGGCCAAGAGGTATGGTGTCTGGTTTGGCAAAAGGAAGCGTGGCAAAAGGTAGTTTGACCAACGGCCACGTGAAAAGGTGCAATGAATGAATGAAACATGTGTGATGGCAGGAGAGTGCAGGGGTCTCACCGGGTGCGGATGACCTGCAGAGGGAACACGAGTGTGGCGGCCACCGTGGCTGACACCGTGCCACACGCCAGCTGCAGCACCGGCGCCGCCTCTGATGCGCACACAGGGGTCACACACAGAGCACAACACAGGTGGGGGCAGAGGGGATTGATCGGAAGGAGGAATGAGGTCAGGGGATCAATGGGCGGGTTCCAAGTGAGGATTAGGACGAGGCTTAGAGTAGGGCAGCACGTTGAGTGCAGCAGCAGTGGGGGCAGAAAATGGAGTGTTGTGCCATGAGTGCCTGCACCCACCTGGGCGGCGTTCAATCCACGGGGTGAAGGCATCTCGCAGCGTCTCATACGCCGCCAGGTCGATACCGGCGAATGGGATCATGCCCAAGATGGACGGCAGCAGTCCTCGGAACATGGCACCCGCCCCCTCCCTCTGCAGAATCTCCGCCGTCAGGGCGGCGAGGGGCGGCGGGTTTCGGCCGTATGTGAGGTGGTAGGTCTGCAGGCGCGTTTTGACGAGGTCGAGAGGGTACACGGCGGCCTGTGCCACGGCGCCCGCCATGCCCCCCGCCACCAGCCGTGTCAGCGCCGTCTCCCCTGACTGCTGGCCACAGGTCATACGGGCGGGAACAGGTGGGGTTGGAAACGGTTGAAAACAGAGGAGGGAGTGGGGGGGAGAGTGAATGCACATGTGCTTGGCGAATGGAGTGAAGTGAGAGTGGTGAAACGCAGGTGGAAAGAGGGAGGGGCTGAGTGAATGCACGGTTGGAGTGAATGCACGGTTGGAGTGAATGCACGGTTGGAGTGAATGCACGGTTGGAGTGAATGCACGGTTGGAGTGAATGCACGGTTGGAGTGAATGCACGGTTGGAGTGAATGCACGGTTGGAGTGAATGCACGGTTGGAGTGAATGCACGGTTGGAGTGAATGCACGGTTGGAGGAGAGCAGTTCCTATTCCAGCTGGCCTCACCTCACCACCACCAGCACCAGCACCAGCACCGGCAGCAGCGGGGGGGGAGATGGCGCGTTTGAGCAGCTCATAAGCGTAGAACTTGATGGCTGACTCGGGTGCCACCTTCACCACGTTGATGCCGTTGCCCTTGAAGAACGAACCCACGCCACCCTCCCCGTACACCTGCTGCACCGCCCTCCACAGTGTCAGCCGCCCGCCTGCCACCTGGTGCTGCCCAGCGATTGTGCCCTGGCGGCCAGGCTGCATGTGCTTCCACCAGAGTGGCATGTTGGGCGGCAGTGTAGAGGGTGGAAGCGGGAGAGAGGAGGCCCAGGGGGAGGGGGCGTGGAGGAGAGAGAACTGCCAGCGGGAGTGGCGTGGACGGGGGCGGTGAGGGGCAGGGGAGGAGGCGGAGGAAGAGGGAGGAGTGGCCTGGGATGGGGATGGGGGTTGGTGGTGGGGGGGGGGACAGGCGATTGAGCTGCTGCTGCTGATTGCGGTGGTGGTTGTGGTGGTGGTGAGATTGTTGGTTGGCGTGGTGCGGCACTGCTGCCAGCATCAGGAAGAGCGCCACTGGCCAGCCTTCCTCCCACGCCTGCCCTTGCTGCTCCCTCCGTTGCTCCTCCTGTTGCTGTTGACACTGCTGCCACTGTCCCTCGGGTGCCACCTCCACCAGACGCACCTGTCTGTGCGCCCCCCCCTGCTGCTGCGCGCACAGCCCTCCCTACTGCACCACTCGCGCCAACAGCCCTTGGGGCGGCGCTGCCAGCACCAGCAGCAGCGGCTGCCACCGCACCGGCACCAGCACCAGCAGCAGCACTAGCCAGCGCACCAGCACGGACAGCAGCAGCACCAGCGCCAGCAGCGGTGGGGGGCGCATGGGTGGTGGTGGTCTTGGCGCACTGCAGCAGCACCTTGAGGCGGTCCAGGGGTGCCGTGGCGGTGCGCGACACCGCACCCGCCACGCCGCCCGCCAGGAAGTAGCGCCACGCCAGGGCGGAGGCGTCGGGAGCGGTGGAGAGCGATGTGGAGAGGCCCGAGGGGATGACGGGCTGCTCGCCTATGTCCACCTGCTGCACCCGCTCCCAGTACTGCGACAGGAGAGGGGGGTGTGGGGGTGGGGGGGAGAGGAGTTGGGGGGGGAGGCGGGGATGGTGGGGGAGGAGGAGAGACGATTTTGGAGGCGCCTAATCATCCCACTGCTCGTCTATGTCCACCTGCTGCACCCGCTCCCAGTACTGCCTGGGCGGGGGGTAGAGGGGAGATAGGGGAGCAAGTGGCATGGCAGGGGATGGGCGCAGAGAAATGGGAGTCAAGGGAGAAGGCATTTGCAGAGGCGGCAGGGACAGTGATGCAGAGGGGGGAGGGTAAGGTGAAAACATGGGTTGTGGGTACGGTGAAGGCATGGTGAAGGCATGGTGAAGGCATGGTGAAGGCATGGTGATGGCATGGTGAAGGCATGGTGAAGGCATGGTGATGGCATGGTGATGGCATGGTGATGGCATGGTGATGGCATGGTGATGGCATGGTGATGGCATGGTGAAGGCATGGTGAAGGCATGGTGATGGCATGGTGATGGCATGGTGATGGCATGGTGATGGCATGGTCATGGCATGGTGATGGCATGGTGATGGCATGGTGAAGGCATGGTGAAGGCATGGTGATGGCATGGTGATGGCATGGTGATGGCATGGTGATGGCATGGTGATGGCATGGTGATGGCATGGTGATGGCATGGTGATGGCATGGTGATGGCATGGTGATGGCATGGTGATGGCATGGTGATGGCATGGTGATGGCATGGTGATGGCATGGTGAAGGCATGGTGAAGGCATGGTGAAGGCATGGTGATGGCATGGTGATGGCAAGGTGATGGCATGGTGATGGCATGGTGATGGCATGGTGATGGCATGGTGATGGCATGGTGATGGCATGGTGATGGCATGGTGATGGCATGGTGATGGCATGGTGATGGCATGGTGATGGCATGGTGATGGCATGGTGAAGGCATGGTGAAGGCATGGTGATGGCATGGTGATGGCATGGTGATGGCATGGTGATGGCATGGTGATGGCATGGTGATGGCATGGTGATGGCATGGTGATGGCATGGTGATGGCATGGTGATGGCATGGTGATGGCATGGTGATGGCATGGTGATGGCATGGTGATGGCATGGTGATGGCATGGTGATGGCATGGTGATGGCATGGTGATGGCAGCAGCAGGCGCACACGTGCAGACACGCACCTGGTAGGCGGTGGCGATGGAGGTGGCGCGGTAAGGGAAGAGCAGAAGGAAGTCGCGCCACTCGTTGAAGGACAGCACCCCATCGTGGTTGCGATCCATCTTCTCCATGAACGCCTGTAACTCGCCCTCCACTAGGTGGATGCCTGCCGTGGGACAGGAGGAAGGGGAGAGGCATGGGCATGGGGGACAGCACCCCATCGTGGTTGCCATCCATCCTCTCCATGAACGCCTGTAGCTCGCCCTCCGCCAGGTGGATGCCTGCCGTGGGACAGGAGGAAGGGGAGAGGCATGGGCATGGGGGACAGCACCCCATCGTGGTTGCCATCCATCCTCTCCATGAACGCCTGTAGCTCGCCCTCCGCCAGGTGGATGCCTGCCGTGGGACAGGAGGAAGGGGAGAGGCATGGGCATGGGGGACAGCACCCCATCGTGGTTGCGATCCATCCTCTCCATGAACGCCTGTAACTCGCCCTCCACTAGATGGATGCCTGCCACGCATGGGGGGGAAGAGGAGGGGGGAGAGGCATGGGCATGGGGAAGAGCACGCCATCGTGGTTGCATCCGTTCAGCTGCCACCACCCAATCTAACAGCATCATTCACACATCACCATCTTTGACTGTACCCATTGATTGAACCCACACACCTCATTAACTAACCCCATAAAGCCGATTGACAAACCCTATTGACCTGATTGACCGACCCCATCGACCGACCCCATCGACCGACCCCATCGACCGACCCCATCGACCGACCCCATGCACTCCAAGCAGATAGGTCACAATGTGATCATCGGTCGCTGCTGCATCATCTGCGGGCAAACCGGCATTGGCGGCATCATCTCGTCCACGTGAGTTGGCCAGTCACGTGGAAACCAACATGCTGCCCGTGTTGCTTCCCTTCCAAAGATTCCTTGCCGTGTGCCATCACTTTCCCCCATCAGTTTCCCCCATCAATTTCCCCCATCAGTTTCCCCCATCAGTTTCCCCCATCAGTTTCCCCCATCAGTTTCCCCCATCAGTTTCCCCCATCAGTTTCCCCCATCAGTTTCCCCCATCAGTTTCCCCCATCAGTTTCCCCCATCAGTTTCCCCCATCAGTTTCCCCCATCAGTTTCCCCCATCAGTTTCCCTCATCAGTTTCCCCCATCAGTTCCCCCATCAGTGTCCCCCATCAGTTTCCCCCATCAGTTTCCCCCATCAGTTTCCCCCATCAGTTTCCCCCATCAGTTTCCCCCATCAGTTTCCCCCATCAGTTCCCCCATCAGTTCCCCCATCAGTTCCCCCCATCAGTTTCCCCCATCAGTTCCCCCATCAGTTCCCCCATCAGTTCCCCCCATCTGACTCTTTCCGAGCTTACCTTCTCAATCTTGCTCTCACTGGCATGCACAAATCCCTCGGTCACTCACATGAACACATACATGCATGGCATGAATCACTCAAATGCGTGTGTGCATGCATGCAAGGCAGTCTGGGTGGCTACGTGGTGCGAGCAGGCAAGTGGGCGTGGCAGATCATGTCACCATAGCAGATAACGTACTCCCCTCACCACCCACTCACCACCCCGCAGCATCGCTTTACACCCCCTCATTACCCCTCGCCACCTCTCACGACTTCCTATTTCCAGATGCCGCTGTAGCAGCCAAGTCAGGAGTGGCATGGGACATCAAGGAGCCAGGGGACATCGGACATCAAGTCAAGGAGCCAGGGTACTATGTGTGACGCGCCGCAAAACGCTTCTCATTGCGTGTGTCATTCACATATGTGTGCCATTGCCGTTGCCTGTGCACCCTTGCCTCTCTGGCTGGCCCCTGTAGGTAGGTGCGGGTAGCAGCCAAGTCAGGTGCGCGTGGTGCAGGGCAGCAGCGAGGTCGTGCAGCGAGATGGCGCCATCCAAGTCACTTTTGAGTCGACTCAAAACTTACCGGCATGGTGGAGGGCGGCAGCAGGGGCGGGGTGCGCACTCACCTGCGTGGTGCAGCGCGGCAGCGAGCTCGTGCAGGGAGATGGCGCCATCGAAGTCGGTGTCGATGCGCTGGAACAGCCGGTACAGCTGCACCTCCTTGCTGTCCATGTACCGGTGGAACTCGTTATAGTCACACACACCGTCCCCGTTCTGTGCCCACCCAGGGGAAGACGGGTGAGGGGAGGGGGGAAGAAGGGAGAGAGTGGGCGGGAGAGGAGCATGGCGCGCAGGGTGCTGTGAGTGCAATGTTGATGGGCGGAACTCGCCCATCAGTCAGGATGAATGCCCTTGCACGCTCATCGCCGTTGCTGGGAGTGCACTTTTGAGGCGCCTCAAAGGGAGTGCGCAATGGATGTTATCAGCACCTGGTGGATGGCGGCGAGCGCGCACCTGGTGGATGGCGGCGAGCGCGCACCTTGTGGATGGCGGCGAGCGCGCGCGCACCTGGTCGATGGCGGCGAGCGCGCGCGCACCTGGTCGATGGCGGCGAGGAGGTCCTTGGAGAACTTGTAGTCCACCGGCACGCCCATGCGCGCCAACCCCCTCTCTATCTGCCGCCGCGTCAGCGCGCCTGCGCGCCACCGGGGGGAAGGGGGGGAATGGGGAGGGAAGAGAGGCAGCAAGAGGCGGAGGCAAGTTGCAAGGGGCGTGTCATGTCGGTGTGCAGAGCTCGGCGCGATGTGCTACGGAGTTCACAGGCCGCCGTGTCAAGGCGCATTGCGACAAGCCGCCATGCTGACACCATCTGCAGTCTCCGATTTACCCTACTTTAGAAATCGTGAAGCTTCGCCCTGTCACCATCTGCGCGCATTTCGCCGTGCGGCTATTCCCATTTCGCCGCATAGGTATTCCCACGCCCCCCCCCCCACCTCTATTCTCCGTGTCGAACGTCTGAAAAAGCGCGCGAATGCGCTTTTCGCGCGAAGCGGGGCTCTCGTTGGCGGCGAGATGCACCTCCACCAGGCCCAGCCCCACCGCCCCCCACTCCCCGCCCCTATCACCCGCCGCCTGCCCCAACTCCGCTCCGCCCGCCGCCGGATCCGCGTCATCCCTCGCGTCGGCGATCGCCGCTTGGCGCGCAGCGGGATCTCCGGGAGTCATGGCGGAGCCGCGGACGGCAGCGACGGAGTGCCGCGAGCAACGGCGGTAGCAGGGCTGTAATGCGGCGGCCCGCACAATGCCTAAAGAACGGATACGCAATGGAACACGGCTCTTCCTAAATGGTGTTTCTTTCGGAGGAAGCGCCACAGGCCAAGTTGGTTTTTTTAGTGGCTGACACGCGCCGTGCGAAGTTTAGGGAATGAGGGATCGACTGCTGGGTGGGTGGAACGCCAAGCCAAGTCGTGAATGGACTGCGAGCGGTGCCTGGCAGCCTCGCTGCAAGCGGAAAGGGTAACGGAAGGATGGTTCGCGAATCTCGCCTGCTCGTGCGCCCTGATGCGGATCGCGCGGAGCCTTCCCACGCAGCGCTCAGCTGCGCAGCACCTGAGCGCAGGGGGCGGTCAGCAGATACTGTACTGCACAGTGAAGGCGGGATGGGTTGCGAACGCGCGAGGCCTGGCGCTGATATTTCCCGCCCTAGCGGAAACAGTCCGCTGGGTGGTGAAATAGAGGTACAAAATGTAGTTCACATAAGGTGGGCTTAGACTTAATTTGATAACGCAAACTAGTGCTATACACTAATGCACATGGAAAGCACTGATACAAATACGGTACTAGCTTCACCTTGGAGCAGCTTCTTGGAACACAGCCTTACCAGCATTCACATAAGATCCGTCATCAATCCCACTCTCTGCGCCTCTGTCACTTCCTCCCCCTGCATCTCTGCATGATAACGAGCGCCAGGAGTTCAGCTGGCCGCTAGCGTCTCTACCACCATTCCTGTCTGCAGTGCTGTTCACCGTGGCCTCATTGGCGGAAGCTGAAGAGGCAGAAGCAGATCGGCTGTGGCCTCCCGATGTGGCGGAGACAAGGGAAGCTGATCTGCTGTGACCTGACACGGTGGACCCACTGGAGTCCGACCGAGAGTGCGCGATGGCAACGATGTGTTGCATCGACTTCACCAAGTCCTGAATCTGCGGCCGTGCCACCGGGTCCTCACTGATACAGTGCTTGGCCAGAACAAGCAGCTTCTGCGCCGCCACGCGGGAAAACTGGTCCTTCAACCGCGGGTCTAAGATGATGTCTAGATCTGGGCGGCGCACTGAGATGTGTGGTCGAATCCAGGCTGTCAGGCCGCCCTCCCCGTTGGCGTCCTGGTCTTCATCGCTTGAGGGCGGGCGGCCAGTGAGCAGCTCCAGATACACGACCCCGAGGGCGTAGATGTCACTCTTGGGGGTAAGGTGGCCTGGTCATGGCCACGGGCGGGGAGGGAATCGGGATAGCAGTGGGTGGTGCGATGAGTTATGGCACGAGAACGGTGTGCATGGAACAACCCTGACCGCCTGAACGGTGTTATGAAAGCGGTGAATTGAGCCTCTACTACCATGAAAGCGGTGAATTGAGCCTCTACCAGGCCATCCAAGCAACCCCATCCCATGCAGTGGGTTGGGCGCGCACCTGTCTCGAGGTACTTGGGGTCGAGGTACCCCATGGTGCCCAGCACGCGCGTGGATATGTGCGTCTGCCCCGCCTCCGGCCCCACCGTTGCCATGCCAAAGTCCGTCAGCTTCGCCCGCATGTTCTGCATATGGAGGGAAAGGGGCAGCGCAAGGGGCATGGTGGTGTGAGTGAGGCGAGGATTCCTGGAAGAAACCAAGTTGCTGAGGTAAACCATTAGTAGCAGATAGGGTGCGGATGGAGGTGGGGCAGGTGGGGGCGGGGGAGGGGCGCACGTGGTCGAGCAGGATGTTGCAGGACTTGAAGTCGCGGTGAATGATGTTCTCCGCGTGCAGGTGCGCCAGCCCCATGGTCGCATCCAGTGCGATGCGCACACGCTCCTCCCACGTCAGCGCCCGCCGCTCACGCTTGCTGCTGCTGGAGTCGTCTGGGAAGAGCCAGGCGTCGAGGCTGCCGTTATCGAGGAGCTCATAAACGAGGATGGCCTCTTCCCTGTCCGTGCTGTAGCCCAGCAGGCGCACCAGGTTGGGGTGGCTCAGCCGCCCCAGCAGTAGCACCTCCGACTGATGACACGGAGAGGGGAGGAGGGAAAAGGAGAGGGGAGGAGGGAAAAGGAGAGGAGAGGGGGATGGGAAGGGAGGGAAAGGGAGGTGAGGAGAGACAGGAAGGGTGAGGGGTGCTGCACCGCGTTTATTGCATGGCTGCCACGCTGCTGTCACGCGCACATCATGGCGCATGGCCCGTCACATATCCCCATGACCCACCACCGACCCACCATCCATCCCATGACCCACCATCCATCCCATGACCCACCATCCATCCCATGACCCACCATCCATCCCATGACCCACCATCCATCCCCATGACCCACCATCCATCCCATGACCCACCATCCATCCCCATGACCCACCATACATCCCCATTGCCCACCATCCACTCGCCGAAGCCCTGAAAGCCATCAGAGTCGAGCACTTTAACGGCCACTTTGCGCTTCTGTCCACGTGGCAGCTCGCCCAGCCAGTCCGGCACGGTACCGCGGTACACCTTGCCGAAGCTGCCCTCGCCCAGCAGGTTGCCGCGTCGGAACCGCCCCGTGGCCGCCTGCAGCTCGCGATACGAGAAGCGTCGCAAGTCGTTCGCGAACGACGCGTTCGACGCGTTGTCGTCGTAAATGTTCGCCACTGAACCGGGGACAAGGGGGCGTGGACCAAGGGGGAAGACGGGGACGTGGGTGCGCGTAGGGGACGACGGAAGGACTCGCAGGCGCGCAACGGGTCGCTCCGGCAGCGGATGGGGGTTCGACTTATGGGTTGCGAAGCGCGAGGTAGGGGAGCATGACGACTCGCATACCTGGCTCTATCTCGGAGGAACCACCCGTCGGAAAACAATCCAAAGGCCCGCTTTTATGCTTGCCGCGATGATCGGCGGGACTACTGCAGCACGCCCCCATTGTTTTGCGTTCCGAAGAAAATCAAATTAGTAATACGCGTGTAAACGGCGTAATGAGGCACTTGCGACCAGCGCTGGTCGGTTCTAACTCGGATAATAAGCGGCGGCCTCAAGACGGAGTGTTTCTCCTAGTAGAATCTTCACGGAAACACGCAACATGTCGACTAAAAATATCACTGGACCTAGTTACGCCGATATCGCGGTGCCGACTTGACGAAACCCGCGCTTATCTGAATGAGGATGGGATGGGATGAAGAGAGCGAAGGCGAAAGGGGGTGCTGTGTGCGCGGGAGACTGAGCAGCCTGCATGAGCCTTGAACTTTCTGCACAGGAGAGAAGGCAACGCAGACGACGACGACAACAGTGGTGGTGACGGAGACTTGGAAGAAAATCTGGCGATGGTCGATTCTTTCGCTTGCTCCCCTTCAGACCGTCGATTCTTTTCCCACAGGGAACAATTGGCGGATGTGTCAGCAAACGGAGGTCAGTTTGACTCGCTGACTATTAATAACGCGAACAGCAATGAATAACGCGAATTATTCTCCCTTACTTTACATGGCATCATTGGTATTGCGATGCTCAAGATAAAAACAGTTTGTGGAGAGAAATCACAGAATAAGCTCTGTGACACACGTCACCTTGGTTGCATCTGAGACGGAGGATTTCTTAGGCTCTAATATAGGAGGCTTGGTTGACTCAATTGTAGGGACAGGCAAAACATACGGGATAGCGTACAAGCAATTTTGAGACCCAGCAGACAGTGCCATACACGTTACTGCAGATGGCATGAAGAGAGGAAACATCTTCCTTGATCTGGGGCCATTGAAAAAGCACTATCAGCTTTTAATTAAAAAACACAATGGCTCATTCCTCGTCACTGTCTTGCTCCAGCCGATTGATGTATTTGTCATAATATATGGCAGCTTTCTCTGTATCTCTTAACTCAGTATAGCAGTCCGCAATGGCGCCGTATGCCTCTGTATCACCAGAATGCTCTCCTGTTGCCATTGACTTCTCCAGAACCAGTTGATGATATCCAATCGCTTCCCTGTACTTCCCTTGCCTTTGACAAGCGGCTCCTGCAGGGGGGAAGCAGCATTTGAACATTCATGCAGGGCTTTGATTGAGTCACTGCATGCTAATTTAATCTTGAGAAGCAAGCATAAATATGAGAATGCAGGTCCTGTCACAGCACTTACCGAGTCCTCTAGCAGCTTTCTTCTCTTCAACCGCATCTCCCAGCTCCCTTGCCTTGCTCAGAGCCACATGGAACTCCACAAACGCCGAACCTGGGTGTCCATCTCGCAGGTGCTTCTTGCCCTCTTTCAGCATGCGGAGCAGCTCTGCCCTCTCGTCACTCCCAGCATGAGCCGATGCACCCACAGCCGCTGCCATGGCTTCATCAGCAGGTGCTTCAGCAGCGGAAGCTGCTGCTGCCTCTGCCGTGCGGCTTGTGCCGGCTGCAGGCGAGGCAGCGCTAGCAGGAGGTGGGGAGTAGGTGAGGGAGGGAGCGTAGGACTCCAAGCGGGCCTGCCTCTTGAGGCTCATGTTGATCTGCCTCAACTGCTTGTTAATGCGCTCCATCTCCTTCCCCTGCTGCAATGCCATGTACCCTGCCACGCGTCACATACATGACAGTCAGGGATGGGGTGCACACGTGTCTGGCAGGGATAGGTTTGACCTGGCTGCGCATCAGGCGCCACGGCCACCACGTGGAACTGCACTCATCTTGCTGTGCCAACATGTTCTTCTGCTTTGTTCAATTCCAACTCGCAGATGTGGGAATGCGGCGAACGAGACCGTGTCTGCACCACACCTACACACGAACCCAACGCTACCCAGTTTTGAGGACCTCCCCTGGGCCATCCCCCCCTTTCACTCACCTCCCCTGGGCCATCCCCCCCTTTCACTCACCTCCCACAGCAGCGCCAGTGAGCGCAATGAACTCGAGCGCGCACGTCACGGCCACAACAGTGTTGAAGTCAGCCCCGCCCAGCAGCTCCCCGCACGCCTGCGCCGCTGCTGATGCGGCGGAACCCGCCGCTGCGCCATCAGCGGCAGCAACAGCGGCTTCCGCAAGAGCACGGGGGCCGGAGACCAGCAATGCCGCTGCCAGCCCCGCGGCAATGAGCGGCTGGCGGAGAGGGGAGTCCCAGCTGGCTGAGGAATCCCGGTCCATGGAGCTGATTCGACCCAGGGAAGCTGCCAGAAGGAAGGGGACGCAATGCCGAGCGCGGGAGGGTGCATTGGGACATGGCGAGGGAAGCCGCGGGAAGGCGTGGAGAGTGCATGGATTTGGAGTTTATCTCACCAGCAGGCCGCAATGGAGGGAGTCGCGTTGAGGAAATCCAACTGGCCGGCGAGCACCTTTGTTGGCTGGTACAAAATGACAATAACGAGGAAACTCGAGTGACTCTATCGAGAGCAAGCGAACGGGATATCGACATCGTGACAATGCGTCCCTGGACGCAATGCGTCCGCGTCGCCTCGAGAGAACTGGGCGGTGAACCTGCTTGGCTGACGTCGTCGGAAAGAAGTGCTGGCAGGCAATCTGTTGCAAATTCCCTGCTCCAAGTTTCTCGTCTGGCGTTTTGGTGGTGTTCGTCGCACTGGGGAAGTGAAGTAAGAAACGCTGAGTGACCTTGGAATGTCGCTGCCGGTGGAGATGGGTTTCGCGGAGTGACCCTGGAATATCGCTGCACTTGCCATGCTGGCAGGGCGATTTGCCCAGCACAGCGTGGCAACCAGATCAGCCAATTGATGAAACGCTTTTGGTTGGCTCGTGCATTTCTGCTGATTCGCGTGCGCGAAACGTGGCAGGAGACCTCGAGAAAGGGTAACACGGCAATGGTTATGATTTCCGCAAAACTAAAATGTAGTACGACTTGCAAGCCAATGACCTCACGTCGACTTGAGGAATTCAGAGCAGTTTCGTTAGTAGCACTCGCCTGGCTGTTGGTGGAGGTTTGTGGATTTGGTCTGTGATGATCCAACAGTGTCTTCTCTCATCAGCCACGCCAAACCAAGTAAATTTCGCACGTCGTTCTATTCACCGCATCGTCATTCTCAGATTCACAACGCGTGCTATTGGGCCTCATACTCCTTACAGTCTCCTGGACAGGCTTGCGTATTAGTAACGGAAAGCTGAAGAGTTATTATGTTAACCTTCCAGCCTTCTGGTAGTCTTCATCGCATAGATTCCTCCGTCACAGTCAGTCAGAAGCGTTTCGATACGTGAACATTCGCGGATTCGTTCACGACTTGTCCTGACGCCATTCTGGATGTCCGCCATACCGCGAGCAGCAGCATCGTCGGTCGTTGCGTGTAGGAACCTGCACATGCGAGCTGGCGTGGTGTAGCGGGGTGCGCATGGGCATCGCGTGGTCGCGCTGGCTCGACGTGCTGCACGGCGGCGAGTCGGAGGGCGTGCCGCCGCCCGTGCCGGCGATGGTGCAGCGCGCGTACGACCAGTACGCGGACGACAACGGCGTGATGACGAGCAAGGCGCTGCTCAAGTTCTTCCAGGAGTTCCAGCAGGACAAGGTGCGCGCCTGGGGGGGGACAAGGTGCGCGGGTGGGGATGAGTTGCGCGCGGGGGAATAGGTTTGCCGGGGGAAAGTAGGAGTTGCTCAACTTCCTCCCTACGCCACTCTCCGCCCTCCCCCCCCACTCTCCCCTCCCCTCCCCCCATTTCTCTGTTAATTTTACTCCGCCGTTCCCCGCGTGGGCGCAGGGCGTGCTGCACGGCCCCATGGCGAACCTGCTGCTCTCCTTCCCCTCGTCCAGCGCCAAGCCCGCGGACGGCATCCCCCAGGTGCACCGCAGCCGCTCGCACCGCGCGCAGCCGCAGGGGCACCGGCACTCGCGCACGCTGACGCGCTACTCGCTGACGCTGGGCGGCAGCCGGCTCAAGGCGCAGGCGGAGCCGAACGCGGACCAGTTCCTGCACGTGCTGCTCGCCCCGCTGCTCACGCCCGCCCTCACCGCCCGGGTACTGCACGCTGGGGGATGGGGAATGGGGGGGGGGGAAGGGGAAACTGGGAGCGGGTGACGGCGGGTGAGGAGGATGTGAGGCGGGTGAGGGAATGGTAGGTGGATGTATGAGGGGGGTAGAGGCAGGATGCGGCTCCAGGACACGCACCATCATAAACGTGCGCTTCCCCCTTCCCCCTCTGCCCCTCATTTCCTCTTCCCTCCCCCATCCCACCCCTCCCCCGTTCCCTTCTTCCCTCCGCCTGGGTGGTGTGCGGTGGGGTACGGTGCAGGTGAGTGCGGACATGCGGTTACCGCTGTCGCACTACTACATATACACGGGGCACAACTCGTACCTGAAGGGCAACCAGCTGACGAGCGACAGCTCCGTGAAGCCCATCGTGAAGGCGCTGCGGCGTGGCGTGCGCGTCATCGAGCTCGACCTCTGGCCCTCCAGTGACAAGTCGGAGATCCTCGTCATGCACGGCGGGTGAGTCATGCACGGCGGGTGAGTCATGCACGGCGGGTGAGTCATGCACGGCGGGTGAGAGAGCGAGAGGGAGGGAGGGGTCACTTGGGGTGAGAGCGATTAGGGCAAGTGAGAGGATGGCTTGTGGGGGATGTGATGGTAAAGTCGCGTGAGTGCTTCAAAGTGTAAGAGGCTGTGGGTCCCCTGCCCGCCCTGTTAAATAGCCAAGCCAATCCTTTCTTGGAACCCGTTCCCAACATTCCCCTCCTTCCCTTCCTCGCCCCTCCCTGGTCCGTGGGTGCAGCACGCTGACGCGGCCGGTGGGGTTTACGGAGTGCATAAGGGCGATAAAGGAGCATGCATTCACGGTGTCGGACTACCCCGTCATTATCACCCTCGAAGACCACCTCCCGCCCCCCCTGCAGGCCATGGCTGCTCAGGTGATGCATGTCTCCTTCCATGCTCTTTGCCAAGCCGCTTCATATTCCTCTCAACCTCCTCCCCACACCCCTCTCCTCCTCCGCATACCTGGGCCAGAACCCTCTTTTCCACCCACCCACTCCCCCCTCCTCTCCTCTCCCCCCCTCCCCTCCTTTCCCCCCCACTCCTCCCCCCAGGCGATGTGTGAGGTGCTGGGCGACATGCTGTACATCCCCGAGGACGAGTCCCCCCAGGGCGACTTCCCCTCGCCCTACGCGCTGCGGCGCCGCATCCTCGTGTCCACGCAGCCGCCCAAGGGGCCCAAGGAGCTCTCCACTGTCGTCGCCCCCGCCCCTGGGGGATCCTTCCGGGAGCCTGCGGGGGCTGAAGCATGCTCGCCCCGTTGCATGTCCCCACGTGGTCGTGATGCTGATGTGGCACATGTTGACTCGCCCACCGATGTGGCACGTGCTTCCTCATCTGCTGATGTGGCACGTCCTTCCTCATCTGCTGAGGTGTTATGCGCTTCTTCATCGGATGATGTGGCAAGCGGTCGTGTTGTTAATGGTGTGCTTCGCACTCTACCCGCTGCTGACGTGGCATGCAACTCCCACGGTGCTGAGCTGGCACGGGGCCAGGCGGACTGGCTATCATTCAGAGACCTGGCAGAGGGGTCATCATCTGCAACGCTGCCTTCTGGTGCCCCTGCTGCTGCTGCTGCTGCGCCCCCGCACTCACATCCCCTACCATCCTCACATGCACCTGCTAGCGACAGCCAGCTGTCTGGCATAGAGGAGGTGACGGATGATCCAGGGGGAAGGGCAGGAGGAGGTGCGGGGGAAGCGGGGGAGGGCATTTCCGCGGAGGCAGGAGCAGCACAAGGGGGGAGCGGGCGGACGCGGGGGGGCAGGGAGTCCTTTTCCTTCCCGGTGGCAGCGGAGGGGGGCGAGGATGGGGGAGATGACCCTACAGTGGCGCTGGGGGCGGCGCTGAGCATGGGGAACAGACAACGCGTCAGCAGAGGCAGCCCTGTGGGGGTGTCAGGAGGGTTTTCTCGGCGCAGCAGAGGGAGTGTGTCTCGAGGCAGTGGCAGTGGGGTGGGGTGGGGCAGCATGGGGCACAGCATGGGGCACAGCATGGGGCACAGCATGGGGCACAGCATGGGGCAGTGGTCGGGGCGGTCGTTGCAGCTGCAGCAGGTGGACGAGACTCACCTCCACCAGGTTGGTACTGCCTCGCCTGCTTAACACTCCCTTCTCCACACACCGCCCCGCTCCAGTGCCTTGCACGTGGATGTATATCCGTGTTTTGAAAAAAAAACTGGCTCGCCCCCAGCACCCCTGCTCGCCCCCAGCACCCCTGCTCGCCCCCAGCACCCCTGCTCGCCCCCGCTCCTGCTGGTGTTGCTTGCGGCGTGTGGTGTGGCAGGTGGAGGTGCAGTGGACGCAGGAGGACGCGGCGGAGGAGGCGGCAGACGACGCGCTGACAGCCAAGGTGCCGCAGTACCGCCGCCTCATCTCCATTCCGGGCGGCAAGCTCAAGGGCGGCAGCGTGGAGGAGGGGCTGAGCGCGGGGCAGGGCGAGGGGGTGCGCCGCATCTCCCTGTCCGAGACACAGCTCGCCACCGCTGCCCGCTCGTCGCCCCACCTGCTGGTCAGGTGCGTGGCGTGCAAGAGTTGAGGCTTCAGCCGTGCTGCATGCGCACCCTTCTCCCACGAGCACAGCTCTCTGTGTCCTGGGACGCCGTGCAGATGCATGCCAGCAGCGCCTCCCCACTCTCTTCCCCTCGTCTGTCATCCCTCCCCATGCCGTGCCCCCCTGCGCAGATTCACGCAGCGCCATCTGCTGCGCATCTACCCGTTTGGCCTGAGAGTGACGTCGTCCAACTACAACCCCATGCAGGTGCAGCTCCTGCCCCTCCTATACCCACCATCCCTTATGCCTCCTTGGTGCTTTGCTCTCAACGTGGCAAGAATCTGCATTGCACCTCCACCATGTAGTCCAAGCTGTCATGCTCAATGGGGATACAGCCACGCACGTGAGTTTCTCTCAACCCCACCCGCCTGTGCCCTCCTTCCCCCCGGCGCACGGCACATCAGGCGTGGCTGCATGGGGCGCAGATGGTGGCGATGAACATGCAGGGGTACGGCCGCCCGCTGTGGCTCGTGCACGGCTTCTTCCGCGCCAACGGTGCCTGCGGCTACGTGCGCAAGCCCGCCTGCCTCATGGGGGCGGTGGAGGGGCAGGCGGAGGGGCAGGAGAGGGAGAGGGGGGGCGAGGGGCAGGAGAGTGTGCCGTACAACCCCCAGGCAGTGCGCCCCGTGGAGCTCATTCTCAGGGTGCGTGTGGCCGCCCTTGCATACCCTCCCACACTGGCCATCACATGAGCATGTGTTCAGTGTGCATCACTTGCCCGCTGAGCCCATGTGCTGTGCCCATTCCCACCCAGCACGGCCGCCATGTGCACCAGCGCCAGCACCAGCAGCCAACCACCGCCCCTCCTCTGACCAAGCCACTCTCTACTGTGGCTTTTCTTCCCCCCCTTACTCATCTTCCTCCTCCCCCCTGTGTGTGCGGTGGCAGGTGCATGTGATCCTGGGCACGGGGTGGTACACGCGCTTCTCCCACAACAACTTTGATGCTGGCGGGCCCAGCCTGCTGTGCCGGGTGCGTGCATGCATATGATTGCATGGCAAGGCTGCCTCATGGGCCCAGCGCCACAGGGATGTGCATTCAGTGCCTTTCAGCCCTGCATTGGGTGTTCCTTCCTCACCCTCTCCTGTGCATGCCACCCACCATGCATCGTGCTTTATGCGCCATGCACCATACGTGTGCTCACCTCTCTCCCCCTGTCCCCTTACCCCGGTCCACGGCACGGGGGCCTCACAGGTGGCAGTGGAGGGGGCGGTAGCGGACGTGGGGGAGAGGCGGTTGGACATACGGGTGGGCAACTGGAACCCCTGCTGGGACGACACGCCGCTGCTCTTCCCCCTCACCCTGCCCCAACTCGCCCTGCTCTGCTTTGAGGTCTGCCCTGAAGTCCCCTTTGACCTCCCCTGCACCTGCTCTCTTTCTGCATTACCTCTATCCGCCCTGACAGTTGCTCCTAAACAAAGCTCGTAATCCATCCATCCATTGTCCTCCATTTCTACCTCTTCCCGCCCGCCCTCCCCCCATTCGCCTCTCTGCCGTGTCATGCATCCATTTCTCCTTGTCCACGAGCTCCATCTCCTTCTTCCTGTGTTGCTCTCTCTTTCTCCCCTCCCTTTGTACCACACAGGTCAAAGTGCTGGGCCTTTCATCGTCCTGCTACCCATTCTTTGACTATGTGAGCTGTCCCCTCCCATCGTTTCAACCCCCCTTGCGTAGCTCACAACATAATCTCTCTTAGCTCTGTTGCATTTGCCCTCCTGATGCTTGTACCCCCATCGCCATTGCATGTTTGTGCCGTGGCCCTGGGTCTGATTGTCTGTTCAACCCCTGTGTGCTGCGTTGCTCCATGGCACAGCTGTTTGAAAAGAATCTGTATCAGGACGACTTCGGAGGGCAGGTGGTGCTGCCAGTGATGGGCCTGAGGCCTGGCTTCCGCTGTGTGCCGCTGTACGACCGCAAGGGCCGGCCCATGGCGGGGGAGCAAGGCGATGAGGCAGAGGGGCCCAGGCTGCTGTGTCAGTTTGAGCTGCTGAAACCAGGGGAGGAGAAGGAACCACAGGATAAAGTCCCCAAGTCGTCCACTTGGACGGGAGGAGCCGCTAGCAGCAAGATAGGCAGTGGGCAATCACCGCAAAGACCTAAGATTGGCCGAAGCCATGAGATTTGAAGGATCCTTGCATGGCGAGGCTTTCCTTCACCATATGAGAAGTGCTCAAAGGATGTATTGGTGTCTGCATTCTACTGATTATACAAAGACTTTACTAACAAAACAAGCGTGTAAGGCAGCACCGCCTTGGTGCCTAGTGGCATCTATTGTAAGGTAAAACATTATGGTTTAGAGACACTGAAATCCAGAAGCTGGAATCGTTGTGTAACATTCGGGCATGTGGTCAACAACTGCCCACGTGGAGGGCTGCCTTTATTCCCGCGAAGCACCTCGATGTCACCACTCGTTCGCCACCACCACCTCGGCTTCACCATTGCTGTACTGCTGCGCCTGCTCTGAATTGTGTGAAGTCTCTCCATTCTGCAACATTTCGAGTTTCCCACCAGGTGCTTCCCTGATCAGCACTCCTGACAGCCATGGCGTCCTCTCTCGCATTCCACGTTACCACGCCGCTGCTCGCGGATTGCTCTAACAACCATAGAGGGTTGATTGATAATGTCCCGCGTGCCTTGAATCAGGCGAACCCGAGTGCACATGGAAGGAAGGTCCATGCATTGTCCTCCAGGCGTCGAGGGAGACATCTCTCGTTTGCCTCGCTTCTGAGCCCCGGTAGGTCTGACATATTCAATCTAGGCTCGAATGCGAGCAATTCCAAATCTCAGTAGCCAGGCTCGGCCAAGACGGCCTGTTGTACACGTGATGCTTCTATGCTCGGTGTTAGTCCTTGACAGAGAGTCCCCTGCATGTATGAACCAGGCAATTACAGAATTAGAATATGATTTCTGTCAACGGAGTGTGTCTGATGAAAGGCTAGTGTATCTAGCCACGCTTGGCGGAGTGATTCTCCCTGATATTGGATGTAGCCAACATGCAACGTTCGCCTTCCTTACCACGCTGTGCCATTTCGATCCAAATTCCTGCGGCCTGGCCACTCCCTGGCCTACCAGGCATCGCTGCTCCGCTGGAGAAGCGAGCACCGCCTCAACGCCGGGCTCTGGCAGTGAAAGCCGCTGCTGCCGCAGATGGCGCTGCTGCGGATGGCGCGGGTGCGGGAGCGGGCGAGGCAGCAGCCCCTCGAGTGGGCGCGGTGCTGTTCGACATGGACGGCGTGCTGTGCGACAGCGAGGACCCCTCGCGCGAAGCCGCTGTAGCTCTGTTTGCGGAGATGGGCGTGGCTGTGACGGCTCAAGACTTCGTCCCGTTCATGGGAACAGGTGAGGGGTGAGCCAGTGAATCACATCATATTTTTGTGATTCTTTCCACCAGGCAACAACTTTAGTCCCCAATATAAAGATGTCGAATGCCCAGGTGGTTTCTGCTGGCGCCGCAGTAGCAACAAGCGTAATGCAACTAGAGTGGCATCGAATTGTTCCATTCCGCCCAGCTGAATTCAGCTGAACTTGCTGTTCCCGTTTCAGGGGAAGCCAACTTCCTGGGCGGTGTGGCGCGGGTGTATGGAGTGGAAGGGTTTGATGCGGACAAGGCCAAGAAGAGATTCTTTGAGATCTACATTGACCGGGTCAGAGCAAGCCTCAACATTGACCTGCCAGATATAATCTCTGCAATGACCTCCAAGTCAATTTCAGCATTGACCTGCCCGACTTGAATGTATGATCAACGCTTGCTCTAGAGATGACTTTAGATGGCGTCAGCAATAACATTGATCGCCTTCACCTTCCCTCGCGCCACCCATCTCGCCTCCCCTGCAGTTCGCTCGGCCCAACTCGGGCATTGGCTTCCCCGGTGCGCTCAAGCTAGTGGAGCAGGTGAGGCGCACGCCCCTGTGCGTGTGAGTGAGCGACAGAGTGGAGTGGAGGGTTGTGAGTCAGTGTAAAAATTTAACAGTTTCTATTGCAGAAGCCTCGGACTTAAGAGACAAACCATCTTAGCGACATTATGGCCTTGTTATGAGTTCCCTTACATGCCCCCTCCCTTGTCCTCGCTCTCTCTCTTCCCCCCAGTGCCGCGCGGCAGGGCTGAGGACAGCTGTGGCGTCCAGTGCGGATCGAGTGAAGGTGGACGCCAACCTCGCAGCTGCAGGCATCCCGCAAGACAGGTGCGTGCATTATATGAAGGGGGAGATTTCAGTCCTTTGCATTGCAGAGGGGGCACCAAGGCTGGTACTCGCAATGCATGTGGGGAGCAGGGGGGTCAGAAGCGCGCCTGAGTGTGTGGCGTGGCGTCGGAGCAGTCACGACTCACCCCACCTGTGTCTGTCCCATACCACGCCTCCAGGTTCGATGCCATCGTATCAGCGGACAAGTTTGAGCGCCTCAAGCCGGCGCCTGACATCTTTTTTGCTGCTGCCAAGGAGCTGGGCGTCCCCACGCACCAGGTGAGCTTGGCGTGGGGGGCGTTTCTTGGGGAAGACGCTGACAGCAACAGGCAGTGAGGGGTTCCGGAGGGAGATTTTTTGTCGTTCTTGGTGTATTTCTGGCTGAATCCGCGTGTTTCTTCCACTGCTCCTGTCTCACTGGCTCGAGTGATGGATTGTGTACCTCCCCCGCAGTGTGTGGTGATTGAAGATGCCCTTGCGGGCGTGCAGGCAGCTACAGCTGCTGGCATGAGGTGGGTGAGTGGGCTCTGTATGGTCGTGGTGAGTTGAGCGGAAAATATGGTGAAAGTGTGACGGCGAAGACGGTGAACTCAACAATTCACTGCCTGTTGCTTCCTTGCACTCTCTACACCAACAAATTGCACACCCCATCAACCTTTTCTATCACACAGATTTAATTTCTGCTGGGTTGTCCTTCAATCCCCCCACTTTTTTCCTTTCTCTTCCCCTGCCCCCATTGCCTTCTCCTTTTCCCCCTTCCTTCCATTCCCCTTCCGCTTTCCCCTTTTCCCTCCCCCATCCCCCTCCCCCCCCTTCAGGTCCATAGCCGTGACCACCACCCTGTCAGCCGCCAGCCTTGCCGCTGGCCGCCCTGCTCTCATTCGCCGAGACATCGCTGACATCAGCGTGGCTGCCATCACCTCTCTGCGCTACCCCGAAGATGAAGACGACGGCTCATCTGGCGCTGCTGCCACGGCTGCCACAGCTGATGGTAGCTCGTAGCCAGCTTGTGCCTCCTGCAGGCCACCCCTGTCGCTTACTTGTTTGCTAGCATCGAGCAGTACGGTAGCAGCTACCAGCCTTATGTGCACTGTAGCGGGCAGCGGACCTAGTTTTCCTACAATATTGGGTAGAAATGGGCCATGGCAATGTGACACTAGTGTGCTGCTGTGATCTGGCGCCTCCTGTCAAGCAGCTCGATGCTGTTAATGATGACTCGCATTATGTTATGAATTGCCTCGCCTTCTCTCTCACGCTCACTTCCTCGTACCCACATTGCGTGTTTGTCCATCTCCTCTTTCATGTCATCTCTTCCCTCACACCATCCGTATGTTCAACATATTCTTTCACTGCGGCTTCTCGTTACTGCCCATTATGAATTGTTTCTGACCTTGTCCACGTCCTCATCTCATCTTCTCTCGCTCTTCTCCCTGCAAACCCCAGCAGCATCATTGTCTCCGCCTGCTGCATCAGGGGAGAGCAAGGGGCTGTGGGCGTCCATAGATGAGCCGCTTCCCTTGCCAGGCGGGTGAGTTTCTGGGCAGGAGGGTGCGAGCGTGGACTGGAGGGTGTGCCATTACCACACTCCTGTATGCTGCAACTCACTATGCTCACACCCTCTCACTGCCTGTGTTGTGCGTGCGCGCCCGGCATGGCAGCATGAGGGTGACGCGGCGGGACGCCATGCGCTACACCAGCCTGGCCATGGGGCTCGCCACCACCGCCTTCACTCTCGACAACCTCAAGGTCCGCCCCTCACCCTCCCCCCACTCTAGGCTCTGCCTCCCCCCACCCAAACGTCCCCAACTTCACTCACTGCCCTTTCCTCTTGCCTCCCGCCCATTTACACCCCCCTCACCACCCCCTCACCCCCTTTCCCCCGTACCTGTCTCCCCTCTCCCTTGTGTGCCCCTCGCCCCCCAGGCCTTCTCCTACGCGTCCCCCAAGGCGCTGCTCAACATGCTCACGGGCACGGCCGTGCCTCCAGCCAATGCGGCGGGGCCACGTGGGCTCGTGAAGTACATCCAGCAGCTGGACCGCAGGTGCGTGTCACCGCGTCAGCCACAGGGGGACAGGGGGAGAGGGTGGTTTGGGGGGTGCTGACGGTGTTCGTATGGAAGAGTGGAAATCGGAACAAGGTGAGGCAGCATCAGCATCAGCTGTGGCATCAAATGACCCCATTTGTCACCACCACATCTGCCAACCGTCTGCTGCCTCCCTCCCTACCGTCTCTCCCCTCTCCCCCCCTTGATTTAGCAGTGGTGCGGCTGACGTGGTGCCGGACTTTGAGCCGCGCCTGCAGTGGCTCAACAGCGCCCCCCTCTCCTTCGACCGGGTCTGTGCCTCCCCGCTTGCCCTTGCTCCTGCTCTCATTTTGCGTTCATGCCACCCACTTCACATGCCCCACCCACCACACATGTTATAATTTGCCCTAACTTCCAGCTACGAGCGCCTCCCAAACTCACCCCCCTCTTCCTCCCCCCCCCTCCCCCCCCCTGTGCGTGGGAGCAGGAGCTGCACGGCAAGGTGGTGCTGCTGGACTTCTGGACGTACTGCTGCATCAACTGCATGCACGTCCTGCCAGACCTCGCCGCCCTTGAAAAGAAATACGAGGGCCAGCCGGTAGGGGAACAGAAATGAGCATGTTCTGGGGTTGCATGTAGAAATAGTGTTAGGATGCTGTTGTGCATGTGCATGTGCATGCATGCAAATGTGGGGGATGCCCCTGTGCATGCAAAAGAGTTTTTGCTGCACTCTCACTCTTGTTCCTTGCTCATGTGTGCGTGTCCCCATGGCACGTGTGGGCTGCATGGGTGGCACCAGGTGGTCGTGGTGGGGGTGCACTCGGCCAAGTTTGACAACGAGAAGGACCTTCAGGCCATCCGCAACGCCGTGCTCAGATATGACGTCGCCCACCCGGTACGCCGCGCTTGCTGCTTCTCCCTCACACCCCGTGTGCTCCCAATCGTCCTACCGCACCACAATCACCTGGGCCAAAGGTTGGATTTCAGAATCCTCAACAACACTAGCCAGTGCCTCGCTTGTGTGTGTGGTGGGCTCGATTGTGTGCCTGTGGGCGTGGCTGTGTGGGTGCCGAGCAGGTGGTGAACGATGGGGACATGCTCATGTGGCGGGCGCTGGGAGTGTCATCGTGGCCCACACTGGCCCTGGTGGCGCCCACAGGGCGGCTCATCGCCATGGTGCCGGGGGAGGGCAACAGGCAGCTGTTTGACGACCTCATAGCGGCCTCGCTCGAGTACTACGGTGCCAAGGGCGCTCTCAGCGATGCGCCCATCCCGCTGGCGCTGGAGCGCAGCCGGGACCAGCGCGTGGTGGCGTCGCCGCTGCGCTTCCCCGGCAAGGTGGCGTCGGACCTGGCCAACGGGCGCCTCTTCATCTCCGACTCCAACCACCACCGCATCGTCCGTGCCCCCACCCTGCCTCACCTGTGCACTGCTGTCCTTTCTCTTCGCACCTTAGCCTCACACCAGCGATTCAGATCTTGGGCCATCCACCACCCTAACACGCTTGCTGTGCTCCATGGTTGCTGGTGCTGGCCTGTGTGTGCAGGTGGTGACGGACCTGCAAGGGAACTTCCTGGCGCAGATAGGAGGGGCGGGCGATGGGCTGCTGGATGGCTCGTTCGAAACGGCTCAGTTCAACAGGCCTCAGGGCGTGGCATATGATCCTTCTCGGAACCTTCTGTTTGTGGCGGACACAGAGAATCATGCGTTGCGGTAAGAGCACAGTGAGGCAGGCAGGATGTGTCGTGGTAGATGGGTGATGACAGAGCCATGCAGTTATTGCTGCTGCACTGGCACCCGCTGGTAGACGCTCACATGCTCGCACCCACACTTGCGTGCGCACGTGCATGCAAAGCCATGAGAGTGCTTGTCTTCACTCATACAAACTACCTGCCCTTCTCCCCGCCCCTGCCCTTCTCCCCCCCCTGCCCTTCTCCCCGCCCCTGCCCTTCTCCCCCCCCCTGCCCTTCTCCCCCCCCCCTGCCCTTCTCCCCGCCCCTGCCCTTCTCCCCCCCCCTGCCCTTCTCCCCCCCCCTGCCCCTGTGTGCATGGCATGCGCGCAGGCAAGTGGACCTGGTGAGCGAGAAAGTGACCACGGTGGCAGGGGATGGGCGCAAGGGGCAGGACTACAAGGGCGGGGCCAGGGGCAGAGAGCAGGTGAGGCTGGGCCAGGCATTAAGAGTGGTGCTCCGCCATGAAAGCAGGTGAGGCAGGTGAGGCTGTTGTGTGCTTGTGCTGCCATGGAAGCTGCATGCCCTGCTGCTGTGCTCCGCCTCTCCCAGCACTTCACATTCTTCACTTCCGGCGTCTTCTCTTCTCCCTCATGCATCATCATCCACGCCCTCATCCCTGCCCATCTGCATGCACATGCGCCCCATGGGTGGCAGCCATTGAACTCGCCGTGGGACGTGGAGCTCACGGGGGACAGGGCGGCAGTGATGGTGGCCATGGCGGGGCAGCATCAGATCTGGCGGTTTGACCTCGACACGGGGCGATGCGTGGTGTTCAGCGGGTCGGGCTACGAGCGGAACCAGAACGGCCGAATGTGAGTGCAGGCCTTTCGTAAAGGCGTCATTCCCCCATGGCGGTGCCAACACATCCATCTGCCTTCCCTTACTTCCGCCCCCTCCTCACAACTCGTCGTGCTCCTTGCTGTTTCTACCCCCACCCCACCTCCCTCTTCTCCCCAGGGGCTCTGACACGGCGTATGCGCAGCCGTCGGGGCTGTCCCTGGCCCCAGGTGAGTAGCCTCTTTATCATTTTGCTCGTGGACGGGCTGGGAGTGATGACTCATGCTGACGTGTGGCATGGAGGACAGACGAGTACGCAATGCATTTTGCGTCATTTCCTGACGCACTTCTATTGAAACAGGCTGACCCTTGCCTTTCTTCCCTACTGCAGCCCCTTGCACTGTTACGCATCTTCCCCATGACAGTGAGAGCACCACCCAACGTGCCTGCACACTCTGTGTCCCCACATCCTCTCTTGCCCCACCCCACCCCCCACCCCCAACGCCCCATGCCCCCCACGTGTGGGCAGGCGGCAGGGAGATGTACGTGGCGGACAGTGAGAGCAGTGCGCTGAGAGCACTCAACCTGCAGACAGGGGGCTCCAGACTCATCGCTGGGGGCGACGCCAACTTTGCTGAGAACCTCTTCAAGGTCAGCCCTCTGACTTGCCTGCCCAACCTCTTCAAGCTCAGCCCTCTGACTTGCCTGCCCAACCTCTTCAAGCTCAGCCCTCTGACTTGACTGCCCAACCTTGTTGCATCTGCCCGTCTGCACCTTGCCGGTTGTGTGCCGCCTCACCCTCATTCCTGCCCCTTTACCTCTCGCCCCCTCCTGCCCTGCAGTTTGGTGACCGTGATGGCTCTGCATCCAGAGCTCTCCTGCAGCATCCACTTGGCGCGCTCTCATTGGACGATGGCACGGTGCTTGTTGCTGACTCATACAACCACAAGGTGAACCAGCCACGTTGGTTTTTGTCCCTTGCTGAATCTTCCCCCCATGTGCTTGTCACTGCACTCGCCCTAACCTCCCTTGCGTGTTCCATATAGCCTCTCTATCTTGCTTTGTTGCATGCCTGATGCCATACCGCATGGCATCATGCCATCACACCTCACGGCATGCCTGCCGATGCATGGTGCAGATCAAGCTGGTGGATCCGGCTCGCGGCTCTGTTGTCACACTCGCAGGCACTGGCACAGCTGGTTTCAGAGACGGCCCGGGATTACAGGCACAGGCAAGCAAAGCTCTAACTGTGTTGGGGCAAATCGGGATTCGGAACTCTTGGGTGGTGTGGAAACCAAAATAAGTGCATGGTCTTCAATGCTTTTTCACGCTTCAATCGCCTCTCACCATTTCCGAAATTGTGCTTGTCCCCTGCTTGCCTTTTGGACACCCGCCTCTCTCCTCTCCTTCACCTTTCAGCTCTCAGAGCCAGCAGGCCTGGCACATGGTCCAGATGGTATGGCCTCGCACTCACCTCATATGCACCACATGCATGCACATGCCGCATCGCCGTTTATCCCTACACTCAAGTTTTCCAGTTTCTGCGAAGTCGGCCTTCTGTTTTCATCTTCATCTGTCTGTATTATATCAAATGTGCCTCCTTTGTTCCTGCTTCACATATATTATCAACCCATAACATCCTTCATTCATATTTCTTTCGTTCTTCTTCCACTCCCCTCTATTCTCTCCCCCCTCCCCCCCCTCTCCCCCCACCAGGTACGGTACTCATTGCCGACACCAACAACAGCCTTATTCGCTGCCTGCATCTCCCATCCGCCTCCTCCCCCACCGCCCTGCTCTCCACTCTCGACCTCTCCTCCCTCCCCCCTCCTCCCGCCGCCTCCTCCTCGACTCAGCGGCGGCGCCTGCGAAGGCGGCAGAGGGCGGACGAGCAGGTGGTGGAGGTGGCGCCAGTGGCAGCCGCCAGGGGCACACTGCAGCTTGCGCTCTCCATCCCGGCCGACTACCACTTCACTGCTGTGCGCTTCGCCTTGCTCCCCACCCTGCCCTGCTCCCTCGTCACCCCTCCCGCTCATGCTCGTGTTTCTCTTCCCATACACCTTCTACCCCTGCTGCCCCTGCATTGTTTCTCGCTCATGTCCTCTGTGCCACCTCATAGACACCGGGCACTGGTATGCACCTGCCCTGTGCTGCGTGCGTGTGATGCGTGCAGGGTGCCACGAGCAAGTTCAGTGTGGAGCTGCCAGAAGCAGGGAGTGCAGTGACAGTCTCACAGCAGGCCGGTGACCTCACTCTTTCCGGGTCGCTCGCCCTCGCCTCACTGGATTTCACTCAGGAAGAAGCGGTTGACAATGGCGGGAGCTCAGTGGTGCAGGTCCACTGCAAGGTACTGCACACTGTTTGCACATGCATCGCTCACCTGACTGTCACATTCCCATGCCAGGACCCTTCCTCATGCACCATCTTGTGCTGCCCCCCCTTGTGCATCCTGACCAGGTGTACTACTGCCAGCAGGACGACCTGTGTCTGTACAAGGCTGTCAACTTCAAGGTCCCGTTCACACCGACTGCAGCAGGTGAAGCACAGGACGTGCAGCTGTCATTTGACATCACCCCTGCCCCTGCAGGCAAGGCTCTGCTGCCAACAGCATGAACAGATGTGCAATACATTCTGCAAAATTACACCTATATTTACAATTTCAACTTTCAGGATCCACCATTCACGAAGTGTTCAGCAAAAAGTTATCCAATCACTGATACGGGAGTGACTCAGTACTGGCTGACTTGTGGTTTCACCTCGCCAGTCCTCTCAACAGGCTGTTTGCTGGAGCTGCAGGAGGCATCATGCACTCCAGGTGGAGCAGGCTCCTCCATGCTGAGGCATCGGGTGTACTCCGCCAGGTAGACGGAGCGGGTGAGGCCCACTAGCACGAGGGACAGGCAGGAGGCCACCACACAGGCAGCAGCCATGACCAGGAAGGTGACTCTGAAGCAGTGCGCTCCATGGCACATCAACGCGGGGCCTCCTGACGCTGGTGCAGGCGCAGGTGCAGGGCCGACGGGGAAAGGCGGAGAGGAGGCAGCCTCGTGCTCTGCCTCGTAGTCGTAGAGGTAGCCCGCGATGCAGACGGAGAGGAGGTATGAGCCGGTGGGGTTGGTGATGGTGAGCCAGTTGTAGAGCGTGCCGAAGTGCCGCAGCCCAAACACCTCCGACGCCACCGCGGGCATGAGGCCCCACTGCGAGCCATACGCCAGCCCAACGATGGCAGAACCCACGTACAGCGAGCCAGGCAGCGCGGAGGCAAAGAGCAGGTGGCCCGCTGCCATGGCGAGCTGAGTGCCGGCCATGAAGGCAGGGCGCGGCACGGCCCGCTCGTGTAGGAAGTGCTCTGAGATGTACCCTGCTCCCACGCGGCCGAGGAAGTTCCAGATGCTCATGAGCGACACAAAGATGCCCACTGCCTGCTGCTCGTAGCCCAGCGACCGCCCCACCTGCCCCAGGTTGTTGATGGCTGTGAGGCCCGACCCTGAGGCCAGCGTCATGGCTGCATAGATGAGCCAGAAGGGCACCGTCTGCACCGCCTGCCACAACGTGTGGTCGTCCCCCACCTGTGGAAAGGCTGTAGCAGCTCCTGAGTGATCGCTGCTGGGGTCATGTTGCTCTGACCACGCCTCACTCTCCCTGGCTTTGAGCGGAGCAGCATGTGGTGCAGCAGCAGTCCGCACCCCACTGCTGCCACTGCCCACCAACGACTGCCTCTCCTCTTCATCCTGTGTGTGCCGCTCACCCATCACTCTCTGCCTCACCACAGCACGCCTATCAGAGCCTTCCTGTCCTGCTCCTTTCCCACTCAGCCGTACTTCTGAGCCACTGCGGCTTGCCTGAGCTGCCTCTGGCCCTCCTGCTCTGACATTTCCCCCTTCCCCATGCGCCATCCCCTGACTGCCGTTGCCCTCCTCCACGGCCTCCCCTGCTGCCAGCCTGGCGGAATGCACGGTGCGCTGCTGCTCCGCGACCAACTCTTGACTGACTGCGATGCGAGCAGGCCACGCCAGGATTGCAAGCGCGCCGAGCGAGATGAGCGCGCTGACGTGCCAGGTGACGTGCACGGAGTGGTCCAGCAGGCTGGCGGCGAGCAGGTAGAGCGCCAGGCCCACGCCTGCTGCCAGCACCGCCATGAGGTTCGCGCGCTCTGTGGGCTCGCTGGCGGGCGGCAGCTGGTGAATGGCGGGCGTGGCGAGCACGGCGACGAGCGACGGCAGCCATGCCGCCATGAGCAGGAACGCATCGCGGTTGGGCGCGTAGAGAGCGAGGTAGAACTGCGTGAACAGTGCGCCACTCAGACCGATGAAGCCCTGCCATGGGACGAGGGATGGGAGGATGCGCAACAAGGGGAAGAGGGTGGGTGCGCCAGGAGGATGCGCAACCAGGGGAAGAGGGTGGGTGCGCCAGAGAGTCGACTGTGAATGCGCGTGGAGAAAGCACAAGTGCGGAGGGGAACGTTGATTCAACAAGGATATTCAAGAACCGCAAATCCGTGTCGAAAAGCGAAAACAAGCGATACCTTGAGCAGGCCAACTACAGGGCCACGGCTGTGCGGAAAGTTCTTGACGCAAGTGACGAGGCCCGCCGTGTTGAAGAAGGTGGCGCCGTTGGTGCCCACGCAGATGAACGCCATCACCACCCACACTGGCGGCTGCCACGCGCCGCCCAGCCGCCCCGTCAGAACGAGCCACAAGAAGCCGTAGCCAATCACGTTCAACACGGCACCGATCGTCAAAACGACCCATGTGGGTGCGATGTCACCAACAAATCCTGACACGATCCCTACGTTTCCGCCAATATCCTTCGCCATGCCAACCATGTCGAGGATCTGCTGGTTGTAACCCAGCGTTTCTTTGAAGCTCTGTGAGTACAGCCCGAACATGTAGCTGACGCCTGAACACGCCTCCACCCATGACGCTGCCGCGAGACAGAACCATCGATTCGAGAAAAGCGCGAACCACCACCGCGGATGCAACGCGAAGCGCAAGAGTTTTGCGCCATTAAGTGGTGTGGTGTTATCCCACGGTGAGCCTGACAAAACTGCCGCCATAAGATGGCCATAACTCTCAGCCAAGGCCGGAGGAGGAGGTTGTGGTCAGGGCCGGTTTGGTCTGGCCCCTGGCAACAAGTCTTCTGGGGGTGGGCGGAAATCTGGTGGAGACGTGGAATTTTGGACCACTGCCGTTTTGCCACGCAACAAAGCTGTAACTCAGTGAAATGCATCAACACAAATTTTCGTGAAGTTCGTCCAACCGGTTTGATCACCCATCATGGCAAATAGCCCGTTCGAGTTTGCCCAACAGGTTCAATCAAGTGCCTGGTCATTTCAAAATTCTAGAATCCCTACTCTCAAACAGCCATTCTCGAAGTTCTCGTTGTGGAATGGCGACCATGCAAACAGACAAGGCATTTCGCCTGAACCTGAACGTTGCATCTGGGTCGTTAGCAGCTCTCTTGCTGGCCATTTCCACCGTTCTTGTTAGCATTCTTGCTGCCAGGTTCCCGTCCCGCACCGATTACTATGCACAGCAAATGACATGCCGGCTTTACTACAATCAGGGAGCTCCTAAGTGAGTGTTTGCAGCGTTTTGAGCAGCAACTTCTACTAATCCGTACCAAATAACACCTTGCGTAATGTTTTGTCCCACTTCTATCAGTGAAATCGAGTGCCTCAGCCGCTGGTGTGCGAATGCTGCAAACTGGCCATTCGCTCGTTGCAATGTTACTCAAGGATTGAAGGATGAAGGATATGACCCTTATTACAATCGCGCTTACCTTTCTGAGAACTTCCCCTTTGACAAGAGCAGCATGTCCCTTTCCTGGGCGTCGATGTCTTTAATCACTATAACACTCGTGTTAGAGGTAAGCAGAGTCGTTTTGAGACCCCTGGACCCCTTGTGTTTTCTCTATGTTCCTTATGGAAGTACAACATTGCAGGTCATAACTCAACTGCTGGACATGATCAAGCCGAAGAAGAAATCCTTTTCCTACTCAAAACGATATCGCGTGTTCCTCCACGCTTGTTGTGCGACATCATGGTTCGTACCTGTATAACAGTTGAACTGTGTGCAAGGATACCCTAGCGTAACATCACCATTTGTCGATGCAGGATAAGCAGTGCAGTTGCAGAGGCTTTGCTCATCTACGGATCGTCAAAAACATCAGAAACCTGGGGGTTGTACAACACAACTGAAGGATTGTGGATGGCCGCTGCTGTAATCAGCGGTCTTGCATTTCTGTCGTCTTCCTTATTCCACTACTTGAGGCATCGGCACCTGCGGTACATTAAGACTGCTCCAGTATCAGGTATGGGGAATTTCATTCTGGATTTGATACGTATTTGAATTTGTGACGGGTCGAGTAGCTTATGCGTGTAAGCTTCAACAGGAAACCTGGATACCCGGCAGGGAGAATCGGTATTGCAGCATGCGAAACAGCCTATGGACCAGCTTGTGTCATCAAGGGATCAGGCAGCAATTGGCGTTACTGGCTCAGTTTCAGGCTCTCCTATATCATCTAACCTAACCCCAAATGCAGAAGCGTCAACGACCGCTGGCTTTGTGCATGCGGCAGCAGGGCACAGAGTATCGTCAGATCCATCACAGCAGAAAATGAAGTCAAAGGGAACCGATTTTAGTCTGGAGGAGCTCCAGCAGGCAACATTAAATTTCTCTGTTAAGAATCTTCTCGGTCGGGGTGGCTTCGGTGAAGTATACAAAGGAGTACTGGCAGGTGGTCAGACTGTTGCTGTCAAGAGAATTCACAGGCATAAACTGCTGCACGGAAGAGACGAGTTCAAGTCAGAGGTGTGTCTTGTCGGATCAACAAAGAGCAAATAAATTTTATTCTTGTCTTTTCCATCCAATGACATGCTTAACATTGTGATGGTTTCAGGTTGAGATTCTCAGCAGAGTTCATCACCGGAATCTTGTGCGGATACTGGGGTACCACATTGGGGAGACAGAAGAACTTATTGTCTTTGAGTTCATGGCTAATGGATCACTCGACCACCACCTGCATGGTCAGTAAGTGGTGTGTCATTGTCATGCATTACGTTTACACTGACTAAAGTTCTTACAGGCAATACTTGCACACCCATTGGCTGGGAAAGAAGGCTTCAGATGGCAATTGATGCAGCAAAGGGTTTGGTAGGTTCCCCCAAAAAATACAGGCATTCGCTGACGGAGGACAGCTCGAAACCCATTTTTTTGTCATGAGAGCAGTCTTAAGCTGATTGCGACGTTTCCTTTTCATGCTGTGTTTTTCAGGCATATCTTCACCATGATTGCTATCCGAAAGTGGTGCATCGTGACATCAAAGCTTCTAATATTCTTCTTGATGTGAACATGAATGCTCAGGTCTGGAAGGGCAGTTCGCATCCACTGAAATCCCTTGTTCCAACTTGTGACATTGTTTCCGATCATGCAGGTTGGTGACTTTGGCCTTGCACGCTTGTTGCAAGATGATTCTGAGCATGTAACTACGAGAGTCATGGGCACCATCGGCTACTTGGCCCCGGACTATGCATTCTCAGGGCAATTGACGGAAAAGAGTGATGTTTACAGGTAACACTCAACTGCCCGATTTTTGTGATAACTGCATGTCGT